TTTTAAAAAAATCAAAAGTATGGCTGTACCCAAAAAAAATTAATAACTAAATATTTCAGTTTTGGGTTAAATTTTTATTATATTATGACATAGCAAACAACATAACATTTTCAATTTTTTTTTACAGAAATTGTTCCATGTATACACCTATATAATAATACATATATATATATAAACTATTCATAGCATCTTTTCACCATAAATTATGTAAGTCGAGTTTTAAGTATCTAGTATTTCATATATAATTATATACTAGAATAAAAACATTTAAGCATATATTATATACTAATGCTAATCTATGTATAAATGAACCTCAATATTCATAAACTGAATTTACAATGTTATATAATTAAATTTTAAAATTTTTGATATAAATCAAAACATAAAAAATTAAAAATTTTGAAAAGTAATGAAAGAGAGGAAAACAAGGATGTTTTATGTGTTACTTATTTGTGTATTAAGTGAGAATTTTAAGTATCATATTAATAATTCTTATACATAATAATATTTCGTTTGTTTTCTAACAAAAATGTGTGCACATAATAAATTACAAAATTGATATAGCAAATTAATTAAGTTTTAACAAAAAGGTAAAAATTGTATTAGTTAAACAACCACAAAGTAATCAAATATACATGTATATAATGATTTTTTTTTGTTATACATATCTATAATAAAATAATTTTTTTAAAAAAGTTTTTGACAAGAAGTATAAATTGTACTAGTATTAGTTATACAATAACAAACTAATTTCAATTCTAAATTATCCAAATTTTTATGCATCCAAACACAAGAATTGAAATTAGAATCTTAATTCTTGTAAATTTTTAAGATCTCCCAAATAAAGGAATTGAGATTGAATTACAATATTAATATCTCATTTTCAATTCAATAGTATTATAATTCTAATTCAATTACAATTCAATCTAACCAAACGGAGCCTTACTGTTGAACCAAAAATTAGGATACGCAACAACTTTTTTCACCATACAATACCTTTTAAGGATTTCACTGTCATCTTGTACTCTTATATGCAGTAGTATATAGAGGAGAGGAGGGGGGGTGATTTTTGCAAAAGCAGCAAAAATTTGTTTTGAACCTTAATTATTATTTTTCTAAAGAAACTTTGGAAATGAGACTTCCCAAAAATTGCACACAACACAAAAATGCTAGTATGCTAGCTACCACTTGTTGAATTGATTATCTTTTTTTTTTTCCTTCTCACTTCTCATATGAAGTTAGCAAAAATAAATGGAAAAAAGTAGCGTAAGTATAAGTATTAATATATGTGTTCCATTAATATTGGCAATTGTTGTGGTGTTATTTATATGCAAAGCACAACTTCGTCCTGTCATGACGAACCTACAAAAACAGTCGATGATAAACATAACCTCCACGAGTATACAAAGTTCATATTCTTTTCATTATTTGATTAATTAATCCAAGTATTTATTTGTCATAGTACCTATGGTATACAAATGATAAAACTAAACATACTCAAACCTTGTGTTTTGAAATTACAATTGATGAGAAAATTTGTGCGATGAATTTCAGTCCGATATTAGTTGGTCCTTTTTTTTGTTTGTTTGAGTTCTTCATTTTCTTTCTTTCTTTTTTTGTACGTGGGAGTTCTTCATTTTCTAATTTCAAGAAAACTAGAATTACAATGTGAATAGAGAGAGTGACAATATTTAGGCACGAGTACAAAAAAGGGTACATCTGTGCAGATGCAAAAATATGGGCTCCAGAATGATCGGGGACAAGAAGGATAATTCCGTTTATCCATTCTCATCTATAATCGCCTCACAAAATAGAAGAAATTCTTCTGCTCACTATTCTGTACACACAATCACACAGTGAGCACAATATAAACAGCTTCCCTCATTCCCCATTCATCATCTCATTTTCTTCCGCCGGTTACTTTATTCTTCCTACTCCGGGGTTTCCTTTTCTCCGTTGAACTAAAAAAGGTATTGACCCTTGGCTACTGAGCGGTGGAATCCGTATGAGCCGGCTCCAAATGGAAAGACGACCACAATGCCGATAGAGTAGGACGAAGGCAAAGTTCCGTTCCCAATTGGAATTGCCAATCTTTAAGTAGAATGCGCGCATGGCAAGTGCAGTTACATCGAACAAGACTAGTTCAAATCTGATTCATTAGAACTTAAAAAGTGTGACATTCATTTACCACATAGTGTACAAGTAACTATAATTAAGTGAAATTAAAAATTTACATAAACACATTGACTACTTTTGATTCATTTAACACAATTTGTAACTAAGTAATTGAATAATTACACGAAAAAATTTATCACACTTAATCGAGTTTTATATGTTAAATTTTTAAAATTAACTATCCATTATGCCAAGCATCCCAAAATTTTTCTCTTTAAATATATGGAATTGTTACTATGTCGAGTAGAATAAACTCATCTTCTGTGAGATGAGAAACACTGTGAGATGAGAAACAAAACAAATGTATCAGAACTCCCTTTGGGAAAAGATGAGATATCATCAACTTTCCCATGAAGCAGATAAGAATAAACTTGATAACCTTTATTCCAACCAGTTCAGAGCTTGTAAAAAAGAACAACCCTTCATCAAGCCTTATATTGATTGTTGTTGTTATACACTTTACCAATGATTTTATCATCAATTTCGTTCATTTTCCATCCTTTTGTATTTGGGTGAAAATGGATCAATCTTTTTCTCTAGCATGTTTTTTAATTGATGGGACAAAATTTCTGGTTTAGGTGATTTTTTATAGATGGCCAATTTTTCCATGTTCATTTTGTTGTTTGTGTTATGGGCTATCGGGATTTATTTCATTTGTTGCTTGTGTTATGATCAACTTTGCCATGTTCATAAGATGATTGTGTTATTTTATTTTATTTATTTTTATTTCTTTTTTGCTTGTTTAACTTATCATGTGCTCAAGATTTCCAAGTCTACAAAATTTATCATTCTCATATGAACAACTTACAAGAAACACAACAAAATATTATGAGGTGTTACAATTAAATTATAAGTCTTCAAATTTATAGGGGAAAAAAACAAAAATCATGAAACATATTCTGATACCCATGGCACTTTGATTCTTCTCACTCGAGACTCGACCTTAAATACATTCTATTTTTGGAAAAATAATTCCTCTTTTTTAAAATATTTTTTTAGAACACTACTCTTTACTCTTTTTATGAGAAACTCATTATGTATCAAAATTGTTGTCCAGTTTGAATTTTTATCTTTAGTTCAAATTATACTAAAAGTAAAATTTTATACTGAACAATATTTAGGACAGAAAGAAGAATAATTACTTATATTTTGAACATAGATAGGTTTGCTTTAGAATCCCAGGAGAGGCAAACTGGGAATGTATAATTCAAAGTGAAAATGGAAACTTCTTTCAAGCTGAATGTACAATAATGGGTGAAAGTTGGAGTTGGGCAGCATAAATAGAAGTAATCCGACAGGGCCTAAGGTGTTGTCATGAAAAAGGTTTAAGTCAAATTATGGTTCAATTAGATAACTTGACAACTGTCAATTTTTTGGAGAAAACTAAGATTTATATGTGAAAATACAATGAACCTCTAAGCGAGAATAAAGATCTTTGGCAAAGTACGAGATAAAAAATTATGAATATATACAGAGAGATAAATTTTTTGGCAGATAGATAGATTATCAAAGCAAGCTTATAATGGAGCATCAATGCAAGATTTATTCTCAAGAGACTTGCCGACGGAGCTATGAGGCACGTTGTATCTAGATCAACAATATCTCCCATATTTCTGAGTAAAAATAACCAAAATATGTGCTAGATAGTTTTACTTTTCAATAAAACTGTTAGATCTTTCTCTAAAATAGAATAAGAATATATTGTAATAGATAGAGAACTGTTTCCATCTTTTATTTATAACAGAATTGTAAGTATTTTTAGTAAATCGTTTCTTAGTGTGATTACAATAGAATCGTTAGGAGATTTTTTTTTTCTTCTTAAAATTGAATGGTCTCGGTGAGAATTGAACATTCAACCTCCTCATCCCCATTCTAATTCCCAAATAACCCTACCCAACCTTTCCACCCATTGGATTGCCAAAAGATTATTAACCAATCTTTGTTAGACAACTCTTTCTTTCGATAAGTCTTAAATACTGGATTGTGTACTCTAGTTTGCAACTTAATAAAATCGTAGGAATGTCCGTCACGTACCGTAAGAAAAAAAAAGGTACTTATATACATATCAATAAAACCAATCTTAGTATTTGTCAAATATTTTATAAAGTTAATGAATTAACCATATAATATCATAATATTGAAGGAAATTGTGAGTTAAGTAGGGGAGAGAATAAATAATGAAAAAAAAAATCCTATTTAATTTTTTTAGTAAAATATATTATAAAAAGAAAAAAGAAATTGTCCAACCACATTTAATTTTTTTTTTCAAAATGTTAAATCACTTATAAACATGGAAAAAGAAAAGTCCAAATCATTTTGTAAAAAGAATAGAAGGAGTAGTTGGTATGCATCATGAATTCTATGGTTTTGATTTGATATATTTTCACGAAAGGAACTTTGCAATAACAAAAAGTGGTGTATTACTTCGGTAATGTACACCTCAGTAGGCTGCTTGAGTTTTATTTCCAGAAATTACAATCAATCTTGATGGTGAAGGTTGAAACTCAAAACAGTAGTAGTAGAGAAGAATGTGGATTGTGAAGTTTTATAAGCATCTTTCATTGCCTAAGTTGACATCTTCGATCTCACCCTCATGTTTGGCTGCTAGACTAACCAGACCACAGCTTTGCAAAGAATGCAAATTCTAAACATAAACCAATCACCAGTTTGTAAGTTCATATTGCCCTGAACAATCTAGAGTCCTAGTACAAAAAAAATTAACAAGGCTGCTTTTTAGCTACAAACAACTATAAAATCAATGAAACACTGCGACTAGCTTAGTGGGTATCAACACCTGTTATTAACCAACAAATCAAAAACCATATCTAATCAGCAGAAGAGCTGGCATTCTGTTTGAGAGACTGGAAAACTCTGGAACTTTTGTCGAAAATCTGGGCTCGCCGATTGTAATCAGTAGGCTGTTTACCTTGATCATCACCCATGATGGCTTCGCTTTCCAAGCACTCCAACAGCTCAGCAATCCCACCACTTACCTCGTTACACTTATCTCCCAATTTCCCCAGACTCATCACCTCTTCCTCTGTTATTGTCGTCGTCTCATCATCATCTTCATCTCCAAAGTGCTGCTGCTGCTTTTCTTCTGGAAAAGAAACAGAAGCCCCTTTTGTGCAATTCACTCCCTCCTTCCTCTTCTGTCTGATTGGCGAAGACCATGATCGATCCATCCGAGATGGCGGTAACAAACACGAGTTGATTTTGGTGTATTTACCATTGAACAGAGATGGAACAGGCGAGTATGAATTGGCAACTCCGGCGACAGGAATCTCCATTTTTTTTCTTCCTTATAAGAATTGAAACTTCAAGTGAATTTTGGGACGACGAGGATTTATAAAGGGACGTGATTGCAACGTGTCAGAAACAGAGGAACGTGTAAGGCAGAGGGATGGAGAATACTGGATTCTGGTAGGCGGATCACAAACGGCACGCGCTCCCAAGAGAGACCCGACACGTCGCTTTCAAGGTTGAGTAATCAGAATTTTTGTCGCACGTTGAAAACTTCGTACCAGGTTTTACGTCATCAGTGAGAAAAGCCCCAAGTTTTCCCGAGACCCTGGGTGGTTTTTTTTGGGAATGTTTCAAAGCTGCCGGAGAAATCCAGGAACTCGGGAGACGAGGAATAACACCATGATATGAATACTATACTTCTTTTTAATTTGAAAAATGTAAAACTATATATTATTGTCACGCTAAAGTGAATATAAATCATGTAAAAAAAAAATTTAATGATAAATCGCTCAACCCTAAATTATTAATGTATTTACCAATGGACTAAAAAAAAAATAAAAAAAAAAAAATGAGGAAACCGGCCTAGCTGCAATTTACATGCCGCTGTTTCTACTCCAAAGTCCAAACTTTGGATATTATTCAAACACAAGTCATCATCATGCCTTGCTCTCCAACAGCCTCTTCTCAGCAGCAATTGCAGCAGCCATGGAAGGTGGCAAGTTCGATAAGCTTCCATTCGGCTGCTGTTCGTCGGCTGCCTCCGCAGCAGATGGAATCACTCTGAATAAAGATTCAACATCTTTGAGGGTTAAAACAGGCTGATCCTGGTTTTTTCTGTTGCCGCCGACAAATGAACCCATGTTCCGGCTCCTGTTAAGTTTATATATGCTTTCTTCTACTGTATCTTTCACCTAACAACACAAACATGAAACAACAAGAGATCAACATTTCGAACTAAAACCAAATAAATATATTAAAAAAAAAAAAGCAACACCAATTTGACTGTTAAAAGCACCCCATGATGCACAAGAAAACATGACAACTCAGTGTTCTAAAGCATGACACTTGACACGACCATGACTGGTTTCTTTTTTTGCATTCCCTTTTCAAATTGTTAGGCACACTGCAAACTTCACAAGTTTCAATTTCATCACGTAGGAATGGCGTGACCAAAGAGGCCAATGGAAAGCAGACCAACACAACTTACTATGAAACGGTGGACTAGTGTTTTCTTGTCCTGACCAATCCGATGAACCCTTCCTATTGCTTGCGCTTCTGCTGCAGGATTAAGAAGTGGCTCGACCAGTATTACATGCTGGGCTTCTAAAAGATTGAGACCATTTGCACCATGTTGGACTAGGATCAATAAAACCTGCACAAAATCTGACTGCGATTGCTTGTTGGGTCTCTTTCCAGTTCCGGATATCTCACTATCCAATCCTCTGAAATGGCTGACAGCAACTTGTGATTTCCTGCAGGTGTGGACCATCGATAATCAATACTTCTTTTGGCATACATTACTACCACGGCAGCTAAACTTGGCAGACGTTTCATCAAGTTGTCTTACCTGCCTCCTTTCATCCGTACATAGCTTATTTTGTTGGCAACAAAAGCATGTTCCAACACATCAAGCACATCATTCCAGCTGGTAAAGACAAGGACCTTAGCTGTTGGATCTTTCGACTTGATTGACAAAATTCTTCTTGTGACCGCTTGGATCTAAAGACACCATCCACAACCAAGGAACAAGAAACACACAATTAAATTAGTGACAAGAAACGCAGGAGAGGATCATCCGTCAGAAATCAATAACCCAAGAAGGGTGAACTAGAAAAGTCTGAGAGTACAGGAAAACTGTACTGTCCATGTAGTAATGAGCGTACCTTTGTACTGTATGAACCCTCTACAGTAACATTCATTTCAGAATTGGCACATGCAACTGAGGAAGATGCACGAGAGGCTTCAGATCTATCATCAGCAAAAGCAATACTTCCATAATCACTATGCTGCCGACATGTTGGGCACATCACCCAGTTTTTTCCATGGTGACCGAATCTTCTTTCTGTCATTGCGAAGAAACCTGAAAATAAAAGAACAAATGATAGGTAGGCATCCAGGAAGAAAAATGTTCAATTATGAGATGAAGTTTCAATTTCTGCAGCATTATGCAATCCATAATTTCTCACGCAATAGCACACAACTCACGCCGTTAAGCAGACAACATCTGTAATTGGATGTTTCGACCTAATCGAATCAGACAACAGTTCAGAAAGAGACACTTACATTTAAAACAAACAATGTGCCCACATTGGAACACCATCTTTTGACCCTTGAGTTTCTCTTGACAAACTGGGCAGGATTCCCCCGATGTTATAGCTTCAGGTTTACTTTTATTCTCCGGGGTCGAAACTATAAACTCAGTGGCATTGGCTGCAGTTGATTCATTTGTAGCTTCTGACTGCAGATTTTGTTTAGATTGCACCAGACTCTGAAAAATAACCAAAAATAAACAAAGATTAAGTAAAAGCTAGACTAGTTCAATACAAAATAAAGATATCAACGATGCAAAGATTATTAAGCTATCTGCAAAAGCAGGAAACCAGTGCAAAATGAGATAAAATTCACCACAATAGCAACTTATGATAGCAGATGAAACGTAAAAGTAATCCGGAGGTCTAATACGTGACAAATCTTTGTTACCTTCAAATAACGAAATTGTCCTCTGATACGTGTTAGTGAAGACAATGCCAAAAATTTCTCACTTGAATTTTGGGTGCTTGCTGCATCAAGTTCCTCAGGACTTAAGGCATCGATAGAATTATCTTTATCGTCTTCTCTCAGACGCAACCGTGAGATTGCCATTTGTACTTCATCATGAGCACGAAGCACTTGAGCCTGGGCACGGGCTAAGGATCTTGCAAGGGCGTATTCCTTGCGCATTGCCTTCGGTGTATTGAATTCAAATATCAGTTCATGCAATGTTAAGCCACGGCAATTTTCAAAGCTGAATGATCAGCCATGAAAGTTCAAACATCCCATCCCCCCCAGTAAAAAAACTAAAGATGAGACAATAAATTGAGTGAACTACACAGAGACAAGAGAGGAACTGAAAAAGTCAAACTCAGATTTACCTCAAGAAGAGAAAGCTGCTTCTTGGCCGCTGATTTATCTTCTCTATCTAACAAACCCTTGGAGTATTTCTTGATGATCCCAAGCACCACTTCCAAATCAGAGGGAGACTTCGAGACCTGGCAATCAGTATAAAGGAACAAAAATTAGCCACCGAAATCTGATATTGGCGCATTAATGCATGAGAAGAGGTCCCAAATACTGAAAACAAAAGGAAATAAAGTGAACAAGAAAGACATACAAATCTTTTCAAATATGATACATATTAGCCCTCTTCTTTCTCGGGCACCCGAAAAAAGAGGAACAAAACTCAACTTTTCTAACTAACATCTCATGAAAACGTTTATATGCTCAAAGTTCATGCAATTGTTTACAGGCTTGATCCATATCAACACGACATTTCCATAACTAAACAATATAAAATACCCCTATAATCTTGGCTTACTCTCTAGTCGAACTTAACATTCATCACTAAGGCCCATTGCCTTTCTCCTTGGGAGTGAAAACAATCGTTGGACATTCTAAATCAAAGGGGGGAAACTGGAAGACAATAAAAATCTTAAAAACCTTACAGAAAGGGAAAATGAAATGATATTATCTCACCACCATGATCTTCTTCGCATTCCTCTTTCTCCCATCGTCTTCAAGCCTCGTACTAGAAGAACCAGACTTCTTGTCAGTTTGTGAGAGAGACCGATAAAAGCGATTCAACGCCGATTTTTTCCTTTGCATATCTACTGCATCTTCAGCTGATCCTATGGCTTCCCCTTTATCACCCGAAGTTTTGAAAAGCCTCGCCTCATAAGCCTAAGGACCACAATGATTGAATAAGAAAAGACAGATCCCACTTTCCACCTTCAGTAAAGAGTATGAACTCAATTTAAATCTTAAATGAAAACCTGAAATAAGTCATCCAGCTCACAATGGATGCACAGAAGACCATCACCACTATCTTGACAGTTGGGACAATGCCTCACGCGTTCAACATCATTCTGATTTGGATGTTCCATTCCAGAATCTATCTCTAAAACTCTGCCAAGTACGCTCTTCCTTGACTCTTCCAAAGAATCCAGACCAGTCTGAATATAATACTTGAGAGCTGTGATGCTACTAAAGCTGTAAAAAAGTGACAGCAGATGTCCCAATTAAGATTCAAAATAACGACATGACTCGTGAATAGTTCCAGATTTTCTACTTCTCCTCTGTTAAGAAATGTAACCTGTATTACAGCTGCAACTGAAGCAACATTTGCTATGCATAACAGAAAAGGAAGGATCAGGGAATAACTAACCTAGATGCCACTTTTGATGGACGTTTAGCATCCATAGCAGCAGATAGCGTCTCTTCTATTTTTCGGATCAACTCACGTGATAGGTCTGTGTTTCCCTGGGTGTAATGCAAGGCGTTCAGCCACCAAGTGCTTTCCTGACCTTTTCCGTCACTAAACTCGGAACAAATCTTCAAAAGGGTAAATAAAATGGGACCAATGAGTAGCATTAAACAAATGTTTAATCTTCGAAGCCCAAGAGCAAATTCATGAATAGAAGTACACAGTTCCAAGATATTCATGAACAAAAAGCTACAGTAGAAGTTTCATGGCTTCAAATAATTGGCTAGATCCATAATATTTCTGTAGTTAGACCCAAGTAAGCTCATCTCATCTGCTCCGAGATATTACGAAAACTGAACAAGCAAAAAGTTGCACACAAATGGGATGAATGAAATCAAATGCTGCAATACCAAGATATGGTTTTGATGGGCAAACATCTATATTCAAGAAGTCCGAAGTCACCAGTTACAAATCCCAGCAACACGGGATCAGAAGAATGCCACATGGGGGAAACCTTAAGGTTAACAAAGAAAGACACTCCCAACCCCATAACAAACAAGCACGTGAACAAAAACGTAATTCGAAAAAGGCTAAAAATCGTAAAAGGCTAACAGAGTAGGACGTGATTTGAAATACGGAAGTCCTTAACGTCATAGCTAACAACTTAAAACAACTATTACCTGATCATAGGAATTCCTGAACTCTTTTTGAGCCATCGACAGTTTTGAATAGAAAGCAGATAAGAATTTCTGCTTTAGATTATGACATACTGCACTTAAACTTTGAGAAGCTGCTAATTGAGATGAACAATGTGCTTTCTGGCTGGATTCCTCATCACTACAGGCATTTATCTGAGCAGAAGATGGCTGCTCAGGCAAATTCTCACGATCAATAACCACAGCAGAGTCTCCAGAAGCTATTCTAGCCCTTTTAAGAGGACGATGTTCACTCGGATCAAGACCACACATTCCATCTTCTGCAGAGCTTGCAGTGGCTTCCTGACATTGTTGTGGGTTGTCCAGGGACAAGGGGAGTATATCAGCTAGATTATGATGAATGTGAATATTCAACAAAGGGTCCAAGCGAAATTCTTCAGCGTTTTCTTCCGCAACAGCCAGTGCTTCTTTGTACAACGAAACTGCTTGGGCTATATCTTTTTTAAGTATTGCAATACCAGCAAGTCCATTTATTGCAGAAACTAATTTTCTCACTGCATCCTCTCCTTCTACCTTTGTTTTACCTATGAGAGCCTACACAGAAACCATTCCACACAGGACATCATGATATAGCATCAACATGTGTTAGTTTCTAGCTTAACTTGCAGAAATTTTAATTAAAGGTGTTAACCTACCGAGAGAATCTCTTCCATGGTCATGGGAGACTGTTGCAAAGAACGTAGGCCAGAACTTCCCACTTGAGGATGACAACAAGCTTGACGCAGCTTCAGGAGAGAATTGAACAGCTTTGCCGCCTCCAAATGTGTAATAAACCGATCAGATAAGACCTCAGATGCTCCGACACCTGTAAAAGGAATAAAAACTTTTACAACATAGTCAACTACATTCAACGATTGCTAAGAAAGTGGTAGATGTGCCAAACACCTTGTGCATTTCTCTTGATAACATCATGTTTCAGATTTTTAAGGACCTCATGGGCATCTTTTAGACAAGTATCGTGCTGTCTTTGGTAAAAATGCTCCTCAATGGGTGAAAGAGTGAGCCAAGAAACGCATTCTTCCTGTGCAGGAATCTGTAATTCTTCAGCAACATGCAACTTTGAAGATCGCCACATAATTTTCTTCAAAAAGCTATGGGTGAACTCTATAGCTCCTGGATCTCCTGCCTACAAGTAGAAAGCAAAGAGTAAGAGCAAACCCTAAATGCATATCAAGTGCATGTACCCATTCTTTACATAATGTATTCCAAGATCAGGTCCTCATGCTATTCAACTAGTCAATCCGTGGAAAATGTTACTTTCACATAAAACTTGAAGTCAAATTGTAGATAAATTCCACTTCAAGGACTACTACTGCTGCTAAACTTTTACTTTTGCTAGTTATATAGTTGTTTCTCTTCTGTTTGTCTTACCAGCTAAGTCTCCTGACCATTATGTGACGTACTGCAAACAGTACCATCAAGAACCAGATCTAACCAATGAATAAAATTATCTGTGTCCTGACTCAAGTGAGTCCCTGCGATGTTGGTAGGGTATAGAATGGGAAAAATGGCATGATTCTACAAACATCACTAAACATTGCAAGGTTCTGATCAAAGTTAAGACATAAAGGTACCTCATAAGGATCACGAATGACTTCTGCCCACCACCTAAAAGCATCAAAGGGACTCGCTCTAAGGAATTTCAAGAGTCCGTACAGATCATCAAGCTTTCTCTGCATGGGAGTCCCAGTAATACACCAGCGATGAGTACCATGTAGTCTTAGTGCCATTTCTGTTGCTGCGGCAGCATTACTCTCTACCATTTGAGCTTCATCCAAACATATTCTCCACCACAATATTCTAGTCAGGAGAGTTGGAACAACTGGGTATCTGTGTATCCAAAAGCAACAACATAAGAAATTTTTTCGGAAAGAATTGTCCCAATAAAAGAACATATACCAGGAGGAAATTTGATTATACGGTTGGGACTTGGGAAGCAAATACAAGCAAATCTACCATACACACTAGATGCACGCATTCTAACAATAAGCTAGTCCACTCAGATACGAGTCAACAAAAAAATAAAATAGAGTTACTAGGTTCCCGAATCCAGTTTCTCTAATTCTGCACTGATTGGTTTAAGGACAGCCCAAATTGTTACAATTATACCTCATGCACCAACCAGATTGACTAAATACAACTCAGCAACACAGGAAGCGTCCATTGTCTTCCTGCAAGCAATATGAAACTGTTTCAGAAGTCAAGGAATGACGACAAGCTTTTGGGTCATGTCCCCCAAACCCTAAGCACATAACTGGACCTGGCTCTTGATAGAAAATACTACTAGCTTGCTTTAGAACAATTAAGTCGAGTAGATAACTAGATGTTACTTTTTTCTTGTTTCAAAGTAATACGTGCAAAATTTGGCTTTATATTCTGTTAAAAATTAAAAGGATGCATTTTCCATGCTAGGGACAAAGGGTCAAACTCAAACTATGAAGTTTAACAGAGTTCACCACCTGAAATTTGGCGACTATATCCCTGATTTTCCCAACACTTTGATTTTACAGTATTTAAAGGCAAATCAATTTCAACCTCAGATCATTTGATTCAGATATGTGGTCATATCTTTCACACCATTGCATGTATAATTGAGCATGGGAGAGTGGAAAGGTTCCAAGACGCATTCATCATTTCAGGAAACGAAGCTAGTGTCCTAGATTAACACTATGAGGACGGAATGAGATTTGAGCTTGTTTCTGTTTCAAAAAAAATAAAGAATAAAAAATAAAAATCGAGGAAAGCTCTTCAAATTGAAATTTTTAAAAGAAGTCTTTTACTGTAATAAGCTCAAGATCCTAATCTAAAATTTTCTTCATCTGCACATGGATTATTGATAGTAGCATTAAATCCAATTAGCTATGCATATCACAAAAAAAGATGCCAAAACTCCCCCAATGCATCAATTAATGAATCAAGCAAAAGACCATATTCCCACAAACACTGGAAATTAATTATGTATTTGTAGTGAAATGTCAATCTGTTTGAGCAGTAGTAGGTGTAGTAAACTCAAATTTAACTAATCTATATCACCAGAGGCAAGTACTTTGATACAGCCAATCTCAAATGCAAGCAAAAAGAATAATAAATTCTAATGAAGCAAATGAAAGCAAGTCCGACTGTACCTCTTCTCAAATCTCAAGGAGCGACGATCGGCTTCATATCTATCAGAGTCATGTGACAAGTCATCTTTAAGAGCATCATATGTTGTCAAGACAATATCAGCATTAACAAGTTCATTTATGTCCACAGAGGAGGTATCCGAACACAATGTATCCTTGACGCCATCATATATGCAGATTCTAAGAGAGCCAGGAGTTGTGTGACTGCATGTTATAAAACCCAGAAAATAGAAATGTGAGGAAAAGGTAATTTCTTGGGATCATGTAAGAACAACTTATAAAAATATGCATACACATAATGTCATCAAGTAGACAGCATCCATGATGCAAAATTTTGCCCTCAAAATTTCGAAATAGTAACAAGTAAGATGCTCTGTGATTAAATTACATCTTCTACAATAAAAATGCAATTGTAATAAAGCAATTAATTGTAGCAATTACTTGAATTTTTCTGTATACACACAATGAGAGGATACAGAGCTTCAATGCAGTTCAATCACGATAAATGCAAGAAAACCTCTTCAAGAAACACTTAGAGAACCAAGACTATGGTGCTATTTTCCTTTAACCTTCACTTTCTATCTGTTACATAAGCTAACAAAAGTAGCCAAATCAGGATCTCCGCAAAATTTTATTTTCCTTTTAAGACTTTTCATACAGCAAAATTGTTTCCTTCAACTATATCATAAACTCATAAATTGGGAATTATCTAGTAAAATAGGAAACTTTCTCCTGCATAATCCTCTCGAATTTCCAGCTTCTTTATAGCTAATACTACATCCCATGAAAAAAAATCTACCAATTACCAACTAAAAACCTCAGGAGAAAAATATAGCAACTTTCTGGGTTTTGTTTTTTTTTTAAAAAAAAAACAGGGAAAAAGTTTTTTAAAGTAATGCAACAAAGGGTTTGGATCAGTACCGCTTTATCTCAGCATGCCACTGGGATAAGATCGGAGTAGGACACACTATAAGAGTTGCACCTGTAGCAACAGGAGATTCCGTAGCTTGGATCAATTCTGAACAAATACTACATATATGAACTCCTTCCATGACAACTACTTCGCTATTATTTGAGTCCTCTCCACTTCCTTGTTCATCAGAATTTAAGGGAATTGGTGCTCTCCCATTAGCTGAAAAACCAACACAATCACCATGCTGCCAAGCATCGCATATATCACATTGCACCCATAGCCCTTTGTACCGGATGCTCTCAGATACAGCACCACACACACATTCAATCCGCTCCATCTTCGGCCTTCTCAAATTGCTGCTTTTATTCTCATCACTTTGCCTTTCTTTATGAGGCAAACTCAAAGTCTCAGAAGCTGGCATCCGATGAGCAAAAACACAGGCAAGCAGCTCAACTGTTTTTCCTAAGCCCATTTCATCTGCAGTTCCACAATTACCGGCAGTAAAGAAACAAAAACACATCAATATTTATTCTCAGGATTAAAATTTCAAAGAAAGGATAGTCACAGTGGAAAGCACTAAGCAGTTCATGCTCATATGAACAAAATCCAAAGTGGCTCACCCGCTAGGATTCCGCCAGAGACATAAGAAGAGAGAGGCTCAGGATGCAAAGAGATGTTCCCACTGAAATAACAAAACAGGGTAAATGAATGCAAGAAGAAATAAATACGAGGAAAGGCACTACATACAAGTAACCGAAAAGGTTCTATATTTCTTTAAGAGCTTCAAAATTGTATACGTGATGTGGAGGCAAAACATACCAAAACGGATTATAATACACTGTTGATGAAGTGTCAATCAGATTAAGTGGCACACAAAGAGGATAAACAAGCTGATCTGTTTTATCCTCCCAGCATCCAAAAGCTCCTTTCTCGCGCTGTACCATCCAGTAAGCTGCACGGCGCTGGTATGGTCTAAGTTCCGGAAGCAAGCCAGGCAAATGAACATCTAGCATAGGCTCCGCCCTACAGTTAAACCCGTCAGCATGTCATACATCAACTGGATATGACAGTAGAATTGGACAAAAACAGAAAGACAAACAAACACGATGTAGAATTCCCAATGTTTACTCACTTTGATGGTGTAATTGCTTCGTAAAAACCTCCTATATCAATGCGAGCACGCTTTTTTGCTCCCGATGGATGATTTCCACCCTCTTCAGTGGTGGCGATACTCAACTTACAAGCTCTCAAGTATCGATATCGAGCCTCTGAAGTCAAGACTTCAGGGCGCAGCCAAGCCATGACATTCATCATACTCCTCTTCCAAAGTTTCCTTGACTCATCAACAAGTGAAGTACAAGCATCAAATGCCCTCTGCAAAATCTCAACCCTCAATCTCACAGACTGCGAACCCTCCGACAATGTGAAGCCCAGTTGCGGTCTCAATGTCAAAAAATTCAAACTTGCTAAATGAACGAGCCCGGATACGCCCTCATCTGGGCCGTCCAAATTCCCAGACATTATCACGGAAACGGTATCCATTCCCTCGTTCAAGTTTTTTTCAACAAATTCCAAATATATACTGGAGGAAGATAATTCCGGCCAATGCCCTAATTTAATTCTGTTAAGATGCTCCTCTACATTATTCAACCTAAACCTCAAAGAATACCTAGAATCCTGGTAAAATTCCTCGTTGACATTAAAACGATGAAACTCCGGATGAATATCAAAAGTCGGCAAAACAATTTCGGAAACATCATAATGCTCACCGGAAACTACCCAATTAGACTTGTCTACTTCAACAAAATACGGATTGTCTGTTCTGACCAAAATTTCCTCTTCCTGATGGTCAATCTTAACAATTTGTTCGTTCAGCTGAGCTTCCGAGTTCCGCGCTTCTACCGCCCGACGGGGCTGCTGTTTCTTTCGACCCATCAAATCCCCCAAAAAAATCAGGCGGTTTGGGAAGAACCCCAAGAACAATACCGAGAGGAAAATAAAATCCGAGTTTGAATCCCTAATCTAACCCACAGTTAAGGAAAATTCATCTCTAACTAGAGAAGAAGAAGAATCAGTTCAGAAGTACCTACCCACTTTGGGGATGGAAATCCTAACGGTAAAACCTGAAAGATATTCCGCGAGATAACCGAAGGAACCCGCGAGCCCAACTAGCGCAAATCCAGAGACCTTCCTTCTTTATGTCGGTTGGTCTTCCTAATTATTTTTGAAATTGGACTGAACTGGGTGGGTTCAATTTTATTTCGGCTGAACATGGACCTGTCTTATTTCACTGGACTTTACCACATCTAGCCCATTTGGTATAGTGAAATAATATCGTGTCCTTCCAGAATTCGTCACTTCCGCCTCATAGTTTCTCAGCAAACACCCCAAGGTCAGGTCTACTGTCAACGGCCAAGCGCCCGCCATTTCCGCCGGAAAGGAACACTACTAGCTGGATTCCGGTACGACCGTGCTATCTACTTTTCCTTATTCACCTTCCGTTCCTTTTTTTATTTTGCTTTTTTGTTAGGGATTATTGTTATTGCAGCGTTGGGAGCATTTGTTAATTGAAGCATTGGGATTTAGAAGGGTTTCATAATCTGCCATGGGAGGCGGGAGGAAGAATTTGATGAGAGCAGCTGAAGATAAGGTTTCTACTCTTCAATCAGGCCAAAGTATCATGCAAGTTTTAGACCTTCGGGGCTCCAATCAAATTGAGGTACTCCAACTGGGAATCTTCTAAATTCTTTTTGCTTGCCCCCTTTTCTAAGCTTGTAGTTATGTACGGTATAAAATTTTTGTTGTCTCTTGTAATCATATATTGACTTCATTTTGAAAAAAAAAATTGAAAGGTAATGGATGCAAAAGGTGAGAAATCATTAGCCTTATTTCCTGCCAAATTCCAAAGGAGCATGTGGATTAAACGAGGTTTGTTCTTTTTGCATATACCTCCACACAAATTGGTAGTGTGATTGAGTTAGACCCTTTTTTCAATTTTTAAGTGTACTTTATTGACTTGTTTTGAATTCAATGTGGATAGGGAACTTTGTGGTAGTTGATGAGAGTGGAAGGGAAGAAGCTGCTGAGTCTGGTAGCAAGGTCGGATGTGTCGTTGTACAAGTTCTCTTTCATGATCAAGTTAGGGAGCTTCAAAAATCCCCTGAATGGTGTGTGTTATCCAACTCATCTTTGCTTTCTTGTTCCATGTTTTTTTTTTTTTAATCTTTGCTTTACTAGTTGAAATCTGTTGCTTCTTTAGCCTGTGATCCTGGGGTGTTTTTGTACACGCTGCGACTTGAATCAGATGTCAAAAGTATTTCTTCTGACTTGAGTTATGTCTGTTGTCTATTATCTTTCTTAGCATCATGCTCAGTAGACATAGTGTAAACTTTGCAACTGTTTCTTTGTATCCGCCATTGTATATTTGAATCCAGGTTGTTATCTTTAGTTCTGAATCTACAGACTTGGTAGGAGTATTAATCTTTGGTTCTGATTGGATTGGTATGTTATCAAGTAAATGTTGGTGGTTTTCTTCTATCAGATCCTCTAGCATCTCATATCTGTTACCATTATTTCAGGCCTGAAGTCTTCAAAGCATCGAATTCGAAACAAGAGTTGCCACCGTCACAAACTACCCAGGTAGAAGGGGATGAAAACTCAAGCGATGATGATGGACTCCCCCCTCTAGAAGCCAATATGAACAGATTAAGACCTTACCAATTGCATTCAGATACGGAGTCTGATTCAGAATCTGATTCCTGATTGTCAACAATTCTTGAAGCATGCATCTCAAGTTGTAACCGCTGTACTGGCATGCTAGATGTAATTACTGATTGAAATGCCACTTAACTGAACTAGTTACATAGCATTTGTATTAAGTCAGGAACACCACCTATACATGAATGATCTTCAGAAGTAGTACTACATTTTGTACTATTTAGACACCATCTATCCCCCTCGTTTGCTCTTCCTTGTTTTAGTGCATTTCAGGACGCGCAAATGTAACCTGTTGGAGCTCTTAATGAAATCCGTATTTTATGATTGTTGTTTTATAGATTGAAACATGTTTTGCCTCGTCTCAGATACTGCGGATTCCAAGCTGTGTGGATCGGCAATTTGGCGAAATAATAAAGCAGCCATTTTTTCATTAGTGGAGCACAATTATACACGCTAAGATATTTTTTCAGTCATCCGCCAGTAAAAACAATACGTAGACCAATGGCTAAATAAATAAAGAAATGGTACGTTAAAGAAACACACACACACACAAACACAAGAAGCTCGTGTCGAATCTTCGCTTAATAAACTACCAAACTGATTGGAACACACAGAATCTACCTGTCCCAAGAAAAAGTGAAGGAGTTGGCTTCAAGGAGCAAAGCAGTGTGACAGGGACGACACACTGTAGTTCTGAAAATTCAGTGGGAAAGAAGCTTCTAGGATAGCAATTATAAAGGAAAAATGGCTGGTGTATCGGTGATGAGAGGCTTAGCCCATCATGGTCGCTTATCGAAGGTTTGTCTATAATCTTTTCATTTATGTTTTGCTTTCGAAATTTCTGAATTCTGGGAGCTGTAATTGCAAGATGACGATAGAATATTGATTGCAGATACCGGCTTTCAGGGTCTCGACCCGAACAGCAAGAAGGAAGCAGCTTCAATTCCAGCCTAAAAGATTCTCCCTTTTGGCTAGATATTCCCAGGCGCAAGATCTTTTCACCTCTCGGGTTCAAGGTTAATCGATCATCTTCTTCTTTCTCTTCTTTTCTCCTTGTGCTCGAAATGATAATCTTTTCTAGGGTAATATAAGTATGTTCCTATATTTATGCTCTGATAGTATGTGAACTGAGTGTGAATAAGAAAGCATCCTACTTTATCCTGTTGATTTGGATGGTCTTCTGAATACAGTATATACAATAGTTCTTGTATAATTTGCTGCTATCAAAATGATTTGCTGGTTTTCTGGACGAAGTAGGAACTTGGTTATTACAGTACTGTGTTTCATAGGTAGGTTAGCACTCTAAGTTTTTTGTGCAGACAGCATTCAGAACTTGCCCAAACTCGTGGAGGATATCGTCCAGACTTCTTTAAACACAGGCCCACGTGGAGCACTTCGGCTAGCTCAAGGGGTTCAAGCTGTCATTGGGGTGGGTAGTGAGTGGCTGGCAGATGTGTCTAAGGTACAAGCAATCCTAAAAATGATTTTGAGTCACGTATGTTCAACCCGAGGTAATGAGCTACCATACTCATCTAAAAATATTTCTGATTCATTTTTCTAGGTTGCCAACTCCTCTACCGGATTACCGACTGACTTGCAGCTTGGATTGTTGTCGCCCGTTTATTTGAGAAGATTGTTTGAACGAATGGGTGCAACTTACATTAAACTAGGCCAAGTATGCAACTCGAAATCCTTTAGATTTTAGTTCTTAACTTGACCTAAAATACAACACTTTTACTTTTCTGGCCTTTTTCAATTAAAGATAGTTCTACCATGATGCAACCAGCTCTCTAGTTTCTCTTTTTTTACTGATTATACAATCACTTATACATTTTTTTTCCCGTGCAAACTTCTGTAGTTCATTGCTTCTGCACCCTCTTTATTCCCACCAGAATATGTCGAGGAATTTCAGTATTGTTTCGATAGGGCACCTGCAGTTCCTTTCGAAGAGATTCAGACAATCTTACGGGAGGAATTAGGCAGACCAATTGATTCCATCTTTGAGTATGTTGATCCCACTCCACTTGCCTCTGCATCTATAGCACAGGTTTGCTTTTGTTTCTACCTTCGAATGATCCTGTCTTTATCGCATTTCTTGTGTAGTGTTAAGAGCGTGTTTGTTTGGTTATGATATTTGATTGTGCCTTTTTTTTTTCGGACTTACAGGTACATGGTGCAAAAATTAGAGGCACCCAAGAAGATGTGGTTATAAAGGTTTTAAAACCTGGAATAGAAGACGTATTAGTCGCAGACCTAAACTTTGTCTTCATTGTTGCACGGATCTTGGAGTTTTTGAGTCCTGATTTGAGCCGGGCATCTTTGGTGAGACACCCCTTCTTTAATCTACAAATGCCATTCAGTGATTAAGTTGTCTTTTCCCTCCTATCTCGCTTCATTTTCTGTGTTTTCTGAATTGGAGTTACGGTTAATCATTCTTTAAGTATTTCTATAGGTTGCCATTGTCAAAGATATAAGAGAATCAATGCTCGAAGAAGTTGATTTCAACAAAGAAGCTGCAAATATTGAGGCGTTTAGAAGATATCTAGAGGCTATGGGACTCACAAAACAGGCCACTGCTCCAAAAGTTTACCGGCAATACAGTGGCAAACGAGTTCTAACAATGGAGAGGCTTTATGGAGTTCCACTTACTGATCTAGATTCCATAAACTCACTTGTACCTGATCCTGAATCCAGTCTTATAACTGCCTTAAATGTTTGGTACGATTTGTTTCTCTACTTTTAATGGCAATGTTAGTTATATTTGATACCAACATCTTATCTCTGAATATGTATTTGTAGGTTTGGAAGCTTGCTTGCTTGTGAAAGCTTTCATGCTGATGTCCATGCAGGCAATCTGTGGCTGCTTCGTGATGGCCGCATTGGGTTTCTCGACTTTGGTATACAACTGATTTTTTTGTTTCTTCCTTTCATTTGTCTGTTTTTTTTTCTTGTATTCTCTTGTTGTTGCTCTGTAACCCTTCAGTTCGTCATGCCTTTGTCCTCTCTGATCATATAAATTTGCATACAGGAATTGTTGGTCGAATATCTCCAAAAACATGGGCTGCTATGGAGATATTTTTGCAATCACTGGCAACTGAAGAGTATAACTCAATGGCTTCTGCTTTGATTGACATGGGTGCTACAAATAAGGATGTTGATTCATCTGCGTTTGCAAGTGATCTTGAAAAGATATTTTCTTCAATACAAGTATGCCCCATTTTACCATTGTTAGAATTTTTTTTTTTAATCTTGTTATGCCTTTCAGATTTCCATTTAATGTTTCTGGTTCTCTTTATCTCGTGGATTGAGTCTCCCATGAGATTTTTGTCTACTGCTGAGAAAAATTGTTGCTTGGTTTATTTGCCTCAGTAATGGGGTAACCTCTATCAACAGTGACTTCTATGGTCAATGTGATGTAGTTTCCTTGATATAATGTGTTCAAACCTTTCTGGTCAATTTATGTGGCCTTCATAGGCCTAATGGCTATCTGCAAGATTGTGAAGGATGCTATTGCCTTTATCAGGTCAAAGTGATTAGTTTAGAGAGAGAGTGCATAATAAACCTGATATTTATGGTCTGGATTCATGAAAGAGAATAACCATACATAGTACTGGCTGCTCCCACTAAAACCACTCTAACCAGATTGGTTGATGATGCTAGTTGTTAACCGAATACTTTAAGGAAATCTTACCCAAATATGTTAAATCTGCCGTTTATCTGAATTATATTACCCTTGTTTTGATACAGGATTTAGATACACAAGTCATTGTTGCAGCTGCCAGGAATACAAACACAAATGCAACTGCTATCTCGGCAAATGTAGTCGTTGATGAGAGGCAAATGAATGCACTGTTTCTTGAGCTGGTAAGCATTGTTTCCAATTCTAACTAATATTTTATCAATGGCAGAAAATATCTGCATTTAGACACAAAACGAACCAATATTGCATATACGCGCTGAACTCTCTGAAAGCTGAGTATGATTTTCTTGTTCAACAGGTCAGAGTTAGTGAATCCTATGGGTTGAAATTTCCCAGAGAATTTGCACTCCTCATGAAACAGCTACTTTACTTTGATCGATACACCAGGTTGCTAGCTCCAAATATGAATATGCTTCGGGATCAGAGGATCACCATTGTCTCAAATCAAAGAAGCAGGAATATGTACCGATGATCTTGCAATCTGAACATAGTTAATGCATCACTTTTCTGTAATTATGTAGATGTTGCAATAAGGAATCATCCTTTCTTTTTATAGGAATGTAAAAAACAAACATACAAGAGGCACTTTTTCTGTAATTATGTAGATGCTGCAATAAGAAATCATCCTTTCTTTGTATAGAAATGTAAAAAAGACACATACTAGAGGCTGTGTCAACCATTAGGCATAACGCTAGGTAGAAAATGGATGAATTCAGTGGCGGTCAACTGGAAAAAGCTGTATCATTGGAAAGCGAAGGATTTCAACTTGCTATACAACAAATCGTTGTGGAATCTAATGTAATAACAATTGTTTGGCAGTCATCTATATCGAATATGCCTCTTCTATAAAGTATATACAACTCTCAACCTTCGATTCTGTACAGTATCACAACTCGGGCTACTAACCTCCATTTCAGTAGTGTAAAAGGTACACTCAGATCATTATAAAACAAGCTAGAATGAAGCCTCAGCTATATGACTATATCAGAATCGTCAGTCTGACTCTCCAATCTGGAAACGCATTTTTCCTTCAAAGAACAAACAAATTCTTTACCATGAAATAGTTAACAAAACTTTAATCACTTTTCACCCATGCAGACAGACAGATCAGTTTTTCATGACAGCACTTGGTGATGAATATCCCATAAGCCGATGAAGAGGAGATCCTCCATTTCCTGAAATTTCCTTGATTTCAGATGATGACTTTCGCCCTTTAGATCTCCTTGATGAAGGCTCCCCTTCCATAGCTCCAAAGTTTTCCAGAGACTTGGAGGGCATTTTTTGGTACTCCATCACAGACTTCATTTTCCTATCTTCCACAGTCGTGACAGTGTCACCAGATGACTTTTTTTTCGCACAACTGTTCCTCTCGACAAGGTGCCTGGGAGGTGGCAATACTGAGGGATCCGCTTCTGTGGAGTAACTTCTTTCAAAGGATACTCCATAATCTTCACTAAACGAAACAGGGTCAACATCTACATTGTCAAGGGAATGCGCCGCAGAAGCATGATTTCCTCGGGCAATAGATTCACTGCTGTAATCAACCATACTAGGAGGGGGGGCTAGGGCTTCAGGGATAGACGGAACTATATGTTTGCCACTCTGTAGCGCAAACTTAAGAACTTTTCCGCAGGCATTGCACCTTAACTTATGATATCGCCTGCCTAAGAGAAGAAAATCAGCAGGTAGCTGCAGCAGTGCCGAGCAATTGTAACATGCAATAATAGGATTTCCACCGGCTACAGGCCTAACATGTCGTTTGGACTGATATCTTTCTTTCAATTGCAAATCTCTTATCCCACTATCTCTATGCCTTTGGTCACCAGACATGGTATCATGATCCCAAACAGAGAACTCAGAGCTTTTGCAACGGTGGGGACTTGAAGATGTGGAACACGGGCTATTGTAACAGTTATTACTGTGGCCCCTGCAGTGAACTTTGTTGCAGCAAACTGTATGTGATGGTAACTGTACAGAGTAATGCCAGTCTTGCGGATGACAGTTCAGACATGCACAATCAACATGCCGCATATAGTCAGCAGCATCTCCTGAAAAAGCCATTCTTGAAGGCTGATTTAAATGAGCCAACCCTCTCTCTTGACTATATCTTCGAGCATATCTGGAATAGCTCAAATTAGAAGGCATGTCTGTCAAAGGTCTCAGGTGATGATTATAGTATGTTGGAGTATACATATCCTCCCCAGCCACAGTAAGAGGAAACCTGCTATTTGATATTTGTATTCTGCTGAGCTCCTCCTTCAGCTCATTCACCATTCTTAACAGTTCCATTTTGTCTGGTTCAGCATATGATGGTACATCAGATGAACCAATAGCCGAATAATGCTTGAAGGAATCAAGAGAATAAGGGGCGGTGCTTGCTTTCCTTTGGCCTGTCTGAAGATACATGGGAATAAATGGAACCGTAGAAATATGCTCATCCTTATCCTCTCTCATTCTACTTCCAATGGAAAGGCCAGAACTCCTGGGATCATGCAAATTATCCAGGTTAGTTCTGTACTTCATGGTAGGATGACTTTTTTCTGGCATTATTGGAGGCTTTCTAGCTTGGTATCTTATTTCAGACAGATTGCTCTGCATCTCATTCAGACCAGGCCCCTTAGTTGGCTTATATTGCATCTCAAGATTTTCAGTTTGAGAATCATTTGCCCAAGGTCCATCTTCTTTGTGCAATCCATTAGAGTTCTTAGAGTTTGCAGCCTTAAACTTTCTTCTGGGTGGTTTTGCCAACCGATTAGGGATCTTATCCTCAAATCCATCATAAGAAGATGCACTACTGTCATGTCCATAGTAACATTTGGTTGGAGACTTGGACAGCACTCTATGTTTAGGATCAAACTCTGCGCTGGAACCGCCTGGCAGACTATCTGGGGAGTCTGTAATGCCGTTTGGTTCAAATGCCGGGGAAGTCAATCTCTGAGAGGCTCCCAGATTCAAATCATCGAAAGAGTCAACATTATCTGATAAGATTCTCCCATTGATGGGGTTTTCATCAGCATCAAGGGAACCAGTTTCTTTTTTCTCCAAGCTCTTAATAGTTTGAACCCTTATGTCATCATTTACAGGTGCATCTGCGTCCAGCCTTGGTGACGACATCGAAGGGACAATGTCAGTGGATAAAGGAACTTCATTTGAAGAATTGGCATCTTGAGAAAACTCAACTTGGTGATCTTCAGACTTGCATCCACCATTACTACCAACGCGCCGAGCAAGATGTATATCCTCACCCCCCTCTTCAAATGTGCCACCTTTTGAAGAAGTTAAGTCATCGTGGCCTTTTCTTCCTTCATGTGGTGAAGAAAGTTCACTGAGAAAGTTATGGTGATCAGGCAGCTCACTCATGCAATTTTTAGATTCAGTTTGATCCACTCTGTCCACTTGACCTGAACCTCTATTAGTTTCATTGCCTGAGATGTTTGGTGCCTGTTCAGGGGATGAACCCTCTGTCTCATGGCACAGGAACTCCACCGAACTGTAGAAATCCTCTGAAAAGCTTCCACCACTTATACAGTTCCTATCAGAATCTCGAGTGTCATTTTCATAGTCTTGTGAATTTGGTTCACCAGTATAATCACATACAAATTGTTCCACTCTTTCTTTAGTTTCTGCCGTCAATTCTTGGTCCTCAGGCTCAGGGGAGAAGGTTTGATCACCAGGCATCTTTTCATTGTAGTCATGGAAACCATTCTCCTTCCTTTCATTGCTTACATCTGGTTTCCCAGCAGATGAGGGGTTTTTTGGATTTTGGCAGGTATCTTCGCTACCATTACTATCAATAATTGATGAAGACTCTCCTCTTGCGGTAGTTTCTTTATTCATGCAATAATCTTGATTGCTGGTACTGCTGTTGCTTACTGAATGCTCTCCTCTTTCCGAACTGGTTTCTTGAATGAGGCCATTAACTTGCTTCCCATTACTGCCAGAATCTGATGAAGATTCAGCTTTTTCAGAAACAGGAGCTTCTTCAGTTGGGCCATTGGTCCTCTTCTCATCTTGTATGCTATCCAATCTGCCTTCTCCAGTGGCATCACTTCTGTCGTGGTTCAATACTGTGTTCTGGGTGTTGGTTCTCCGGATTTTAGCTGTTGAAGACGTGTATTATCATTAAAAAGGAAACACCAAAATAACACTGCTAACTGAATAAAGGAGTACAGGTGAATCGGATTTCCTGCAGAATCTAAGGGGAAACAAATTTCATTTGTTACTAGCCTAAATGCACCACATGCAGCTATGAGTGATAAACAGACTGATAAAAAGTAGATAAAAGGCCTTCTTCTAAGATCTTCCCTGTATATCTTTAACATCAAAGATCAGAAATGCCTAGATAGTTAACCTCAAGAAGTTTCATATATATATATAATATATCATACTTTGTTGTAGAAACCTCAGTTATGCCTAAAAGCTATGTGCTTCTCTTTCACTGCTATCGTATAGGAAACTGATAACCTCTGAAATGCTTCCACTATAAGAGTAGCAACATTCATCCTTTGTCAACTACTGCAGAATCAAACATAATCAAGTACCTTGGAGAACAGCACCACAGCCTCCACATTTATAAACAGGAATCTCCGGTTCAGGAAGAAGATGCCTGCATCTGGGGCATTTAACCAGTCGAATTTTGGCAGTTTGAGTAGTCATGTTCAACAAATCACTTGCTTCTAACAGAGATATAACAGCACTTAAACCACCAAAATCTGTCTTGAAACAGTATTCCACTTGTCAATGCAAAGAAACCAATAATGAATCCATTTTGAAATCAAACTAGCTACTCACTCAAGAAAGCATGTAAAAGTGAGATGCTGTTGAACAAAATTATAACAAGAAACTAAGGAAAAATGCAGAAACTTTCTTTGCTTATGACAGATTTGAGGTGCATTCAAGACAACTTTAGTAATCTTTAATCTTCTTCGATTTGAACTTTCAATTGCAACAATACAGCCAACGCCCTTTACAAAATTAATGCTTTTCAACAATTATCAAGTTCAGTAAGATGAAGTTAGAAATAAGAGCATTTAACAGTTAGGTCATACATAGATATAAGTAACTTCAGTGCTCGAATGGTCTGGTATGCCCATGTCTTCTCAAATGCAAGTCAAATCTTCACCATAAAAAATGGAAACGAATAAAAGTATTTTGAGGAGAGACTTAACAGCAGCAAAGCTCCAAAGACACAAGGAGAGAGCAAACAAACAGACCTTAACAGATGAGTGACCTTCCAAACGGACATAGAAACGATGAAGTCGCGAAGTGAAAATTAAAACACAAAAGTTCATTGTATAAACGAAATTGTAAAGCCGTGCTAAATGGGTAGAAGGAACGAAGAAACATTTAGAAAGACAAAAAAGGGAAATCCAAGCAACGCAAGGAATCATGTCATATGAGAAAAGCGAGAAACCCCATAACACAACGCAGTTCCAGCAAAAAAGTAAAGCAAGAAAACAACCACAAAAAAAAAAAAAATTGAAATCAAAATCACCAAGTCACATTCAAAATTCAGTGATCCCAAAGACTCACCTTTTTGTTGAAATTCAGCTGGCGCTGCTTGAAGATCAAGAGTAAAAAAATTACAGCAGCTAAAGCTATCTAAAAATATGACTCCTCCATCATCATCAATCCATAAAAAGCAAGCATGCAAATCCAAAAATGGCAGTTGGAGCCTGCTGAAGGGATAAATATGGTTGGAAAATGGAATTAAAATTTTGATAAAAAGCAGTTAACAGGGGATCAATAAATGCGAGGCAACCAAATAGTAAGTCAATTCAGAGAAAGAAAAAATAAAATAAAATTAAAAAGAAATGGAATTCTAGAAGAGAAATGAAGACGGGTACCTCAGGTAGAAAATGGAAGGACCAAATTCATGGCAGTTAGTTCTTTCACGCAAAGTAAGTGAATTTCAAGCTCTTCTTTTTTTCTTCTACTGTTCTTCACTGTTGGCTTTTTTTTGGGTTTTTGGCATTTCACATCTTCTTCTTGTTGCTGTTGTTTTTAGTACACACACAGTGGTGGGTGCTGCTGGTAAAAACAGAGAGCAGTAAAGCGTGTTGGCGAAGGTTCCAAAAAGTCCAATCTCGTGTCCGCCGAGTCTTTGGTCTTCTTCACTCCCCCTGGTGTTATTACAGAACTCCCTTTGCCTTTTGTAGCCCTTAATTGTTTGCTTCGATATAAGAGGAAAACTTGAACACAATTCCACACGGAGAAAATGTTGAATACAAACAAAGAAGAAGAAGAAGAAGAATGAGAGAGGCAATTTGTGACACACAATTCCAAATTTCTTCTTTAGTCCTCTCAGAAGAGGTCAGCGCAGCAATTTCTTTTTCTTTTATCTGGTTACACATTTAAAATTTTATTACACCAAATTTGATCGGATTTTCGTTACATAGCCCTCCATTAAAATTTTAGCTTCTTATTTTTTGGGCATGACAACAATTGTTGGAGAGATTTATTTCTTGATGAAATTTTGTACTACTAATTACCAACAAAAATCTAAAACAAAAGAACAATGCCTTTTTCTTCATAGAAAGTAGGGATTGATAATATTCATTGTAATCTGAGAAGAAATGGACCATGTACTAGTATATTCTTGTACTTTGTAGTTTGTGAATCTCGGATCTTATTACAAATCCCAAATTCCCAAAATTCGATGATATATTAGTGGAGTTGGAGACAAAGGCTAATAATGTAGACTTGAGAAAGGGTCATAAGATGGTGATACTCCGTAATAAACAATGAGTATATGTTTTTTTTTAATCAAACACAAAAGATGAGGTTTTAGTTAAAATAAAGTTTTGAGAGGGAATGAGTTGGTCCACCGCGTGAAGACTTTGATTTCATCCACCATTTTGTTTTAAACTAGTAGTAGTAATAATCACGCGATTCTCTAGGGGATGTTAAACACATGCAGTAGTACAAATTATTTACTTGGAGGATTAATCTACTAGGATGATCACCCATTCACACACTCAAATACTATCATAATTTGTTATGTTATTTCTATCTTCAAATTTATATTGAAAAATAAAAATTCAAATTGAGCGAGAAACGTAGAGAATACTAATTAAAAACCACACCAAATTCCACATATAAATGGCAATGTCACCCCCCCCCCCCTATCGATTAACAAAAATTGTCTATCAATCTCGGCGTTTGAAGACTTCCGTTGACCAGTGACCAAAGTCAACATACCAGCTGTGAATTTGACACGTGGCATTCAGTTTTGGGTGAATACGAGCTGTAAGCCTGTATGATGTATGTAGTCGAACACGTCACAGCAGCAAAGTCCCTACCTACTCCCCAATTACCAAATTCTTGCAATTTAGTTTGGGCCTTACTTTGGGGCATTTGGGCTTTCATTAGTAGGACCACTTTCATGATGACCTGTCATCAGTCAATATCACACCGGCGAGCCGCTAGTGTTTCATCCATCATTTTTGGTTTGCCCCCAGAATTAATACTGAGATGATGAATAAATGCAAAAATGCCGACCAAATTACAGCTCCCAGACTGTCTTAATTCTTAGAGGCTCTCTACTCTACCCAGCAGCCCACTCCATTAAAGGGGGATCACTAGCTTCGCCAATTATTCCCCGCCAGTTGGAAAACGGACCTATTTTTGCTATTCTGACGACATATCTTAGCGTCATCCAATACCTTTATGACTCGTAAGTACTTAAAACAATAATCACATCGAGTTTTGAGATTTATAGGAAATCTAGCATAAAAGAAGTTCAACTTGTTTAAAACTCTGATATGCTTCTTAATATATTCCCTCCATTTCAAAATAAGTGTCATCTTACACTTTGCACATAGTTTAAGAAACTCTTAAATAGAGTAATAAAATTATTTAAATATTCTCAACCAACCTCATTATAAAATTGTGCACCAATAGTATCAACTCTTTTGAGGGTAATTTTGGAAACTTTTGACAAAAAGTGCATTGAAATGTAAGAACCACACTTATTTTAGAATTTCTCCATTTTGCTAAAACGACACTTATTTTGGAATGGAATGAGTATAAGTTATTTTAAACTTTACACGTAAATTAAAGAGACAAACATCTAACAATTAATTTATGTATTAAATATCAGTTTTACCCCTCATTAATTACATTGAAACTATAAACGAAACTAAATGAAAATACTATTGAGGGTAAATTAGAAAAATAATCATTAATTTGCCTAGAATTTAAAAAATAATCTATATTTTAAAAAAAATTTCCAAAACTAAAACGACCTACAAATTGAAATGGAGGGAGTAATAAGCACGGTCTTTATTTTTGGAAGGAGGGGAGTATCACATAATGGCATAGACGGCACTAGTTCGTATGGTATACTAATTAAAGAAGGTTAGTTTAGAGTTATGAGTTATGACTAATGAGTGGCCCCCAACATCAATGTAACCTGCTAAAAAAATATGTCTATATATATATATATATATATATATATATATATATATATAAAATGAGGTTGAGAGACTGAGAGACCAAGCCAGCTTACGTACACAAGAGTTGCTTCCAAGGTTTGATCAGTTTTGGTAAGGTTTCCGGATGTCTTGAGTTCTGTATTATCATCAAAATGCCAAAGGGGTGATCTATTGTATCGGTCAGTCAAATCATTGACAAAGTAAATTCTATGGACAAAGTCGACACACTTGAGTATTAGGAACAAATGACTGGCCAAAAGTCAAAACATAAATCGAATCCCCACTAAGAATGAATATGATAGTAATACAATGACGTGAGTTATATAATACAAATACATTCATACCTCAAACTAGTGGCTCCAAAAATAGAGTCAGCTACTTGGTGTTTGACCCCCGTAGTAAAGGAAATGGTCATCCACCCAAATTTTTATGTGAATGTTGCCCAAAGTATTTGACCATTTACACCTTCTGAAATCAATATCATTTCAAAAAAAACATAATAATAATAATGATGATGATTATTATAATGTGAAGGGGTTAGGTTGTTTCGAAATTTATAATTAAACATAATTCATCTTTCCACTACACTCTTGAATTCCCAACAAAACGCATTCGCTAAAAAACCAATCCAAACACGTTGGAAGTCTTCATTCATTGTGTGGGGAAGGACAAGATGTATATATGGAGCTTCTTCTTCTTCCATTAGTTTAACTGAAAGATACCTTTTATTATATAGTACTCCCTTCGTCCCATAATTATTGTCCATTTTGCTCAAAAAATTTTGTCCCAAAATTATTGTCCAATTTGACTTTTTATGAATCAAGTTACACATTTGTCCTTAATAAAAAATATTATCCATAAAATCTTTGTGGTTAAAAAATTACTTATGGAGGAATACATCCGGTTATTCAAGGTAAAATATAGTTAAGTTTGACCAAAAATAAAATCTTTCATTTTAGTAAAACTGGACAATAATTATGAGACAGAAGGAGTACTAAGAAGGCAAGTCAAATCTCTTACGGTCAATTTGAAATGGGTTGCCTATTTCGGAGGATACATGAATCAGGCATGACTTCCAACTCGGTCAAGAGTCTACATTAATGAAGAGTTTACATCAAGAAACATATACTCTACTTCACTGAGGGGATTCGGGACTTTCCAAGTTCCAAGTTTTTGGACAGACCTGTTGGAGCTCTTCATCAATAGTTCTCATTCCATGATTTCGCCAAATGAATTCAGCAATTATAAGCTCCAAGAAACCAAGTGCCAAAAACGAAGTTCCAAAGACTACCATCATCATACAGCGTAATAAACAACACAACAATCAGCTGCGTATACGTAGTTCAAATCGCTGAATCTAACCTTACCATCCCATCTGATCCTGAGTTTTCACATAAATTCTTCATCTCAAGTTTTGAGGTTTCAACTTACTTTTCAGTGTTCTGACAAGCTCCTCAACTTTCCCCGATAAACTAGAATTCTCGGATTGACACTGCGGCTTTCTCTGTTTCAGAGATTCTTAAGGCATCTTTCATATCAATTTTTCAGTCTTTCTTGTGATCACATTCTCTTTTAAGCACCGTGATCATCAACTCAGTGAGCTTTCCATCTGAAATTTATAAATTAATTTCGCAACGGCTGCTTCATTTTCTTGCTCTAACTTAACAATCTATCTTCCTATACTCTCAGCTATTGGAAGGGTAAAAAATTGAATTGTTTGGATGTAAATCGCTTGTTTGATTATTAAACTGAGTGTAAAAGGGAAAAATATGCTACAGAGTACACAGTACATTTCTTGCTGACTCTGCCACGGCAGACACAACTTTGGAGAATTTCAGAACAGAAACAGTATTACAGTTATAAGTTGCTTATTGAAAATTCGAAAACAAACACACTTGGGGTCCTCCGGAAGAACATTAACCCAAATCCCAGGGACACCAAAAACTCTCAGTCTAATTTGAGCACAATAATAAACTAACTAAACGCGCGCCAGCAGTGTGAAGAGGGATTCCCACCTATCAACCTGAGCAAAACGTGGGTCCTTGAATAGATTTTGGAGCTTGTCCGGAAACCTTGTAAAGATTTCATCAACCACCTGAGGACTGAAGTGTTGGGAGAAGACGCAATCCGTGATTGCCCTGGTGTAGGAGGTCACAACCTGGAGCTCCGCTTTGGAGTTTCTAACATCTGTGGGAATATGCAACTCTGCCAGGGTTTTGATGCTGAAATTAGTCCCACTCGAGGCTACAATCTCTTCCATTTCCGAAGCCATGGGCATAAAACAGGGAATATTGAAAGAATCTATCAAATCTTCACTTATTATACCCTCTTTCACCATATCAGCAAGTGCATCACCTAAACACTCGAGGAGTTGTATCTGAATCGATTCCGAAGGCGAAGTCCCTTCGGGTCTGCCAGGAACCAGAATCGCTAGGAGTCCACCAGGGGCTAATTCCTGTGACCTGGCATTGAGGAAAGTTTTCATATCACTGTAGAATTGATCCCTGAAAGCTTGAGTGATTGGTTCCGAGCTCCTGGCGTACGTGATCCTCGCTTTGTTGAACAGGGCACCTCCCGCTGGCTCCCTCGCCGCCTCGGGGACTTTGCTCAACCAATGGACACTCATATTGGTGGTCATCAGATGGATGGATGACTTGGGAAACAGACGGCCGTGAAAAGATCCCGGAACTCCCGCCGCCATGTATCCCCTGTCATGGGGAAGTCTCTTGAACAGTGTGTTGAAATCGTTGTCGACTTGATCGTTAAAGAAGGCCTGGAATTCAGGGACCGGATCGACCTCCTCGGTCTGGTATTTATGCTTCACTGCGTCTATGATGATGTCAATGCACGAGAACGTATTAGGACCAACCGAACATCCGAAATCTGCAATGGCGAAGACTTGCCCATCTTTAGGCACTTGAAGTGAGCCTAGGATACCGTCAGCCAGCAGGCTCTTCGCCTTGCCTAAAGCACTTTCCTATATTCCATTCAAACCACAAAGAGGAACTTAGATTAGATCGACCTCATTTCTATGTGTAGATGAATTGTTGTTGTTAGTATTCAAGTATGGGGTCGAGATGAAAAATATAGCTCTTACCTGCCACTTGGAGTTTCTGAAGTAGCTATCAGGTCCATCTCCGAGTTTCATTACAAGACTTGACCTCTCCATTTTTTATTTTTCTTTCACGGAATTCTGCAAAATGCGCCCAATAATAATAACCCAAAAATGATGATGTGCCATAGTATACTGTAGTATTAATTAATTAACCACACCACCACCTGGTTACTTACAACCAAACTAATCATTTTTGGGAAGCTAAAGGCAGTCAACTAAAATGGGCGACTTGCATTTCATTGGTTATATTAAGGTGCCATGAAAGTTTGTGTTGACAGGGTCACTGCAATTTTTTGATTTCCTCGAGGATTCTTTAACTCTCACTTATCCCGGGGTGTACATGTTGCATGGCTATCACATTTTGACATTCGTGAACTTCTCATACAAACGCGCGCCAATTTGAGAGAAATGGACACATGAATCATGATAGAGGGATGGGCACCGGCTCCATTCTGTGTTGGAAATTGGAACACATTTCCCATTTGTTGAAAGTTGAAGAACAGTCAAGTTTAATGCAACAAAATGCAAAGGATGGACGCCTTCGAGGAACTAGGGTATTTACGGTTTGACTCAATCCGATGGAACTCATCAGTTTGGATTAGTGTGCGGATTATAAGTAAATTTTTAATCCGATAGATTTGAAATTTGAAAACCGATCATATCGGCTTGGATTACGATTTGACAGTGTCAAACCGTCTTTTAAACCGTACCGCACCGTATATATATATTTGTATATTATATATTATTAAATAATAATATAATGGTTTTGTTTATATAGTTGCGGATGATGACTTTTAACGAAATTGTTAAGTTATCTGATTGGTTTTGTTGTTCCCCCTACTCTTAAATTTGGTTGAGGTCGCGAGTTTAAGTCCCCCCCATGACTAAATTTTTCTCCCATTTTTTTAGTTAGAACCCAAACCGCCAATCCGTCCAAACCAATCCGTTCATAACGAATTAGATTGGTCCGGTTTTGACATTAAATCGGTCCGATTACGATTTGAAAAATTTTAAAATCGTAGTGAACAATTTGGTTATAGATTACTATCAATCCGAACTGATCCGGTCCTTAAACACCCCTACCAGGACTCAGGGAAATCCGACCCTACCAATCTTCCTTCCACCACCATCAGGGGCCACCTGCAGCCGCCCAAATTCCAGGCAACCTTCCAAGTTCCCAGTCTCCTCCTAATTACGTGTGCATAAGCTAAAAATAGATTGTGATTATCAGAAGTTGTTACGAGTGTGAGAGTTTGAGATCTCTTTGTTGACAATTCTTCTCTTTCGCTTCAGTCATATAGGATTCGATTGGTATTCATGACACTTGGACAATCTTTAGAACTTTTATTCAAATACGTACAAGTTACTGACGAGTTACGATTGCGAAATAAAAAACCTTGGCTAAAAAGAAAAAACTCCATCTACAAAAAAAATAACACCTAAACCGGAGTTCCGGTTCATCGGCAGTTAGCACCCAATACTTAAATCGAGCAGGGTTTTGAAAGAAATCAAAACCCTTGAAGAAGTTGTGCTCTGCTTGTGAGAGCCTAGCATGTTTGTGAGATGTATCGGTCTTATTTATGTAGACAAAAGTATGAATTTTTTCCTGGAAAACAATGCACGTGAAAATTGTCCGTTACGGACTTAGTACTACGAGTGAAAATACAATAATTTTATAACAAAGTGAGTTATTAATAACCGTGCATCGAGTCACGAGTGTACAACTATAAATATAAGGGTGGACAGACTTGAATACCATCTAAAAAAGAAGGTTGCTAGATATACACACGTGCTTTCACCATCTAAAAAAGAAGGTTGAAAAAAATTAAATGGCAAAACACCTTGGTTTGTTTCCAGCAGCTCGCCTAAGCTTGAACTTGAAACCTAACAACGATGTTCATAAATCCTCGATATTATTACTGAAACCACCAATCAAATCCAACTCCTACTACTTCGACCCCTCATTTTGCAAGTTAGCCAATGTAAGGCGGCTGGGCGGTGCAGTCGTCGGAGCTTATTATGATGCAAAATATTCGGAGGACACAATTCATCGTGATCAAGCTCCCGGCGGCGGCGAAGCTGTTGTGGTGGAGGAGCAGCCAACTGCACTACCGGCGGCTGCGAGTGATAATACTAATTGGATTGATGTGCATCTGCCGGAAAAAGCCAGGCCTTACGCGTACCTGGTGAGATTCAACAACCAAATCGGGCCATGGATTGTTGGTTGGCCATATTTTTTATCCATCGCCTTGACGGCGGAACCAGGAAAGCTTCCCGACATGAAGATGTTGGGTCTATTCCTTGTGATTGCTTTCATGGAGAGAAACATTATGATGACCATTAATGATATCATTGATCAAGATATCGATGCCAAGGTGACCATTTTTTTCCTCCTCTTCTATAACACTCCAAATAGAAGAAAAAAAAAAAAAAAACAACTAAAACTATTAGTAATTTCTTTCCTTACTTCTTTTGCTTTCTATTTAAAATAGTGAACATTGCGACAAAACAAAACGTGCTACGTAGTATTTCTTACCTAATTTTCCCGTTTCATATATCTACAGACAGACGTATGACAAACTGTGTGTAAATGATCAAAACACTGTGACAATAAAATTTATTTCCTTAACGAACCGCCGTTTTCGGGTTAGCTTCTTGGTTGGAGCAAGATATTGTTGAGGTTTCATATCTACGTTTTGTTCTTATATAATTTCTTAGGCAGTTGCCTCCTTTTTTTGTAAAAAAATAAAATAAAATTTATTTAATGGGTGCCGAAATGCAGGGAGATGCGCTAAAGTATGAGAATAGATTTTTGGTCACTACACTGATTTAAAGATCTAGTTCACTCTTTTCCAAATGAGTTTTCCTAGTTTTCTGTATCGTTTTTCATTGGATTATTGGGGTTTTTCTTAAAATGTTATCAAAACTTTGGATGTGATTCATTGAGGATTCAAACTTTAGGGCTCCAATGTTATATTTATATAAATTAACCAAAAATGGAGGGGACTGAAAAATCAAAACATTAGTGACTAAATTTGGAATTTGGAAATTCTTTAGTGTCCTTTTTTTTTTTTTTTTTGGCGCTAAAGGAAACGTTGGCCTTTGCCTTATAGGTGGAACGAACTAAAACAAGGCCAATTGCAGCCGGTTCAATTTCGACAATTCAAGCGGTCTGTTTCCTAGGCTTTCAAATGCTGATAAATTACGTGCTCTATCACCAAGTAAATCCTTTGAGGTACCATCCCTTTCCCAGCAGCAAATTTCTTTTTTTTTCTTTCCGACTTTCTTCGCAATATATATTAGTCGAGTACGCTCCCACCACCAATTCTCCCTTATTAGAAATTACTTTTTTATGTATTAAATAGTAATATTTATTTGAAACAACCAATTCGTTACTTATTCCGTCTCATAAAAATAATTCGAAATGCCAATTCTGAATTATTATACTTAGGAGGAGATGACTAAATTTTGCAATGGTGGTTACTTTAATGAACAAAGAGAGTATTAATTTATACTTAGGAGGAGATGACTAAATTTTGTTATATGTTTCTCTTCCTTGCAGCCGCAAATTATGGTTATTATCAGTGATAATGACTTTTACATATCCCATCACGAAACGAATAACATATTTGGTGAGTGGAGTGGGTGCTACAGGCGCGATCTTTTTTCTTTTCTCATTAATTTTCATGTTTTTTCATATATGAATGATATAGTAGTACAATCTAATAATTTGAAAGGTTTTTTTTTGTTTCTTCTTCTTTCGGGCGCCAGTCGCAAGCCTATCTCAGTATCTACGTGCACTGGGGGGCGTTGATGAGTTGGGCTGCAGTTAAAGGAAGTTTGGAACCTTTCAGCGTTTTGTTACCACTATTCATATCTGGTTTTTTCTGGACGCTCTTATATGAAACAATATATGCCTGTCAGGTATTAATTAATTGCTTCGAATTTAGATTTTAGACACGCATAATTAGAATTTTTTTTTTTGGGGGGGGGGGAATAATAATATAATTATTATAAATAAATCCAATTAAGTGACATATAGTATGTTTCCTATATGATTATAGTTCAAACCAAAAAATATTTTTAACTAATGTCACGTAGAATGTAGTACAATTGTATCGCATGAAATTATGGTTCAAACGAATAACTGCATGATCATTCGTGGGAAAAAAAGATTTGTCTTGACAAATTTGTCTGATACAGAATCGTATCTTCATCACCTTGCATATTAATGAATTTATGATGGTGTATTGTAGGATAAAGAAGCAGATGCGAAGTTGGGTCTGAAGTCTACAGCCTTATTGTTTGGTGACTCCATAAAAGTTTGGCTCGCGGGTTTTGGAGTTGCAACCATTTCTGGTTTTGCTCTTACTGGGTTCAATGCAAATATTGGTAATCAATGAATCCTTTCATATCAGTCGAATATAGACACACACAAAAAAAAGACTAAAAAAATATAATTACTCCCATGAATAATGAAAATTTTGTTTAACTTCCCTCATCTTCTCCATCCTTTTTCCCTTTTTTTTTTTTTTGTTTCCATTATAATGACAGGATGGCCATATTATACATCTTTGGTAGCTGCTGCTTACCATCTAGCTTGGCAGATAGTGACCGTTGATCTTGAAAACCCTGCCGATTGCAAACTGAAGTAAGTGTTTGTTTGTTTTTTTAATTATCCTTTTTTTTTCAATTATGAATTTTGCCAATTTTCCTCCCTTTGCAATAAATCTTCATTACTAGGTGCCCCTTCGTTTTGAATTTTTTCTTAAAACTTGGAATGCTTCGTATGTTGATAAGAAAATTAGTGAATTTATATGAAACACATCTTATAACAACAATTCCATTTTTATTATTTCGTCTAACATATAATAATCATCCTTTTTTCTTACAACTATGTTAAAAAAAAAAAAAAGGAAACTCTTTCTGCCAATTTTAATATTCAACTTTGTTAAATTAAGATCATACAACAAACTAAACTCATGAAATGAGATGAAAAGAGTCCAAATTAATTAAGATCATACAACAAACTAAACTCATGAAATGAGATGAAAAGAGTCCAAATTGGAAATCATTTCATAAGGAAAAAAAATATTTAACACGTGTTATATTCATTTTAGTTATTTATTATATTTTTAAATAATTAGGTTTTTTAAAATGAGTAGTATTAATCTTTGTTGTTTATATTTTTTTAAATTAAATTAAATTTAAATGAGTAGTATTAGTAATTTTTATTTTTATAAATGAAATTTAATTAAGTGTTAATTATATTTTTGTGTTATTGTTATTATTCTTATTATACTCATTTTAGTTATTGATTATATTTTTCAATCAATTAGTTTGTTTAAATAAGTAGGATCAATAATTATATTTTTTAAGAAAGGAGAAAATAAGAAAAAAAGAGGGGCAAAATTGTAAATAAGTAATTTTTATATCTGTATAAATAGTAACCCCCTTTTTTTCTTTTTGTTAACCCCATTAACTGGCTCTCTTCCAGACAAAAGTCCAATAAGTGGATCGGTGTTATTCTCTTCTTCGGAATTGTCCTTGGAAAACTCGTCGCATGAACCGGCTGTCGTTGATTTTTGGGTATAGAATTATATTTAAGGTCGGGAAAGGTTCAATTCAATCGTAAGTTCCTAAAAACTCCTTGTTTGTTAGGATCGAATCAAGAGCAGAGCCATGCCCAGATGCCTGCTATGAAAAAAATGATGTTAAAAATTGATGGTCAAATATTCATAATTAGTCCATTCTCAGGAGAACTTGACTGTCGGTTGCTCATTTCTCACAATTGGACAGACCTCTGGGAGTTTTGAGCTTCTGATGGATTTTAAAATTTCTCCTGTATTTTTTCCCCCCTTTTTTTGTTGTAATTTACTGAGTTATATGAAGATGGCATCACTTGAATCAATTCTGCAATTACAAAAGTCCTGAAAATGCACCTATCCAGACTACAGGACTGCTGGAGCTGGACACTGGGAAGAAATAAACTGGGACTGACAGCAATGAAAGTTTTGTCGTTTTCAATTCTAAGTTTCCAAACATGAAGCCTTCATGCGAAGTTCCAAAGACTTCATGGGCTTCAGCATGATACAGCGTCATAGACAGCTTAATCTAGACATCGATACTAAATAGTAAATACTACAAACAACTATTGAACACTACAACAACAAAATATAGAGAACTATATATCGAGCATTTACCGTTGCAAAATGAAAAGATTATGAAGCAATCACTGCGTGCCTCCTTTGCCCAATCCAAGCCTCACGAAGCTCCTGGTAACCACGTCGGTAATGCTCCAGCGAGAAGCATAGCTGCCTGATGGCCTCTCTTTTCTCCTCGGCTCTATCTACTATCAGGGCTGCCTGCTTTTCTACCTCCTTTTCAAGTTTTTCAACTTTCGATTCAAGTTCGCCCTTGAGCTTCAGCATAGTTTCGGATCCGGCAATTAACTCCACATGTTGCGACTGCAACTTACAAAGTTGGGCCTCCATCTGCTGAATGCTGAACTCAGCAGAGCAAAGCTCAGAGAAAAGTGTCTGTGCCTTTGCACTAAGCCCGTCCTTTTCTGCCATTAGCATGTCGTACTTAAGTTTCAAACCATCTTGAGTTTTATTTAAAGATTCAACCAATTCACATTTCTCAATCAGCTGAGTGTTCAATTGCTGGATCTCACCTTGCCATCTGATTTCCTGAGTTTCATACACATTCTTCATCTCAATTTTTGAGGTTTCGCATTTCTTAATTTCACTTTCCAATTTTCTGATTTGCTCCTCAAGCTGTGTAACCTTGGCCTCCACAAGGGTCAAATGTCCTGATAAAGAAGAATTCTCAGATTGTAACTGTGCTTTCTCTATTTCACAGACTCTTAAGGCATCTTGCATGTCAACCTTCATTTTCTTGTGCTCATATTCTTTTGTAAGCATCGTCTTCCTCAACTCAGCAAGCTTTCCCTCTGAACTTTCTAATTTTCCAGTGGCATCTTCATTTTCTTGCTCTAGTTTCCCAATCTTACGACTAGAGTCAAGAACCTCAGTTTCAAGCTGTACTACTTGCGTTCGCAGCTCTGACACATTCCTTTTCTCCATAACAAGATAGTCTTCCTTCATTTTTACCTCATTCTTAGCTTTCTCAAGTTGTGCTTCCGAGTTATCCATTGCCACCAGTGCATTCTTCAGCTCACTGTGCAGCCTCATAACCTCTTGGTTTGAAGATAGAAGCTCCTTCTTTGAAGCCTTCAACTCTTTCTCATATTTGCTGATTCTCAAAAGCATCATTTCAGACGGTTCCATCTCCCTTAAACCATTTGCCCGTTCCGCACCAATAAACCCAGTTTCCATGTCCAAAATCTTTGCATTAGGCATTTCTACAGACATTGGGGTGAAGAAGTCTTTTTCAGTAGCTGAATCGTAAGATTCGGAATCAGAGTCTGATGATATGATTGCCGAAGACTGAGAACCTTCTTTTCCAGAATTAATGAAGCTGCTACCATCAGAGCTCAGAGAAAAATCAAAGGCATCCGTTGCCCTATCCTTTTTCTGAGAAACCAACTTCTGATCAGGGGTCAGTAAGGAAGAGTCTAGACAACCTTGATCAAATGCCGAAGACAAATTTTCCTTCTGGGTTTCTGATGACTTGTGTAAATCGTCAATCATGTGATCGCATTGCTCAGCAAGAAGTTGATGCTTTAGGCTAATTTTTTCAACAAGAGAAATCAAATGATCCTTCTTTGATGGCTTAACCTGTGCCTGTGCTCCTTCATCAGAAGCATTCCCTTCTTCAATTATCTTAACCATTTCCTTGATGATCTGTTCAAACCCTGCATTCAGAAAATTTAAGCATTCTCAACAATGTGGTCTAATCTGCCTTGACATTCCATCAAAGAATTGCAACGAAGAAAAATAAAGAACCTACAACGATTCTCCACAACTCAAAATAATAGAAACACAGAAATCCTTGCGTGGAAAGGTTTAAAAGTAACCATACACGAAAAAAAAAAAAGAAAAGAATCAAGCTCTGTGATCTCACCTTCAACATTTTCTGCAACCCAACGAGTTTGGGCAGAATTCTTCCATTCATTCTCCATCTTAGCTCACAAATTCTTGAAAGAATAAGACCGAGCCAAAATATCTGACCAGAACCAAACTGAAATTTAAAACTGAATAAACTGAAAAGCAGATCAGCAGCTCAAATATGCAAAGCTATATAACTGTGGAAAAACACAATTCCATGACTGTATTAAGGACAGAATTATGGTACGTCGCTGGACTTGGGTTCCCCTGAATACTACCAACAAAGTATGTCAAGAATCCGGATTCATATACAGATTAACTAATAAAAGTAACCTAATAAGTCAAAGAACACCCAAATTCGGAAGTACCAAGAAAACTGATTCCTCAAAAACAACAGAAGCCAAAATAAACCCTAAGACGAAACACACATAAATTTAACAAAAAGAGGGGGAATTTAATGTTTGTAATTCAATGCTCATATGAAACTAAATCTGCAAAACGAAGTAAGGATAGTCGTATATACTGACCCTAAATTTGTAAGCAGAATATGAAGCCTGCAATCAATACCTGGACACCGGGCAAATTGAATTGGAAATAGACTGAAGAGTGAGATACTTGAAGGGATTTGAATGTGGAGTGAGTTAAGGGGAACTGGAGAAGGAATTAATTTCAGGTATTCCGAAAGTGACTTTGGGGCATTCAATTATTATCCCGCCCTTGCAGTTCAATTTTTAAATTGCCCGCCTACCTCATGAATTTTAACCCTTTTGGCGGTCTTTATTGACTTCTTACAACAAATCTTCAAAATGATCCCTTAAAGTTTCTCAAATTAGTTACGCAGTCCCTACTATAAACAAAGTTACTAATAGTGGCTGGTTTAAAATTGAAACAATACAATTTGAAACCTGGATTCGAATACGTCGTTCCCAGTTTTACTACAAATATACAACGAAATACATTATGGGATTTTGATCATTTGCTTTATAATAGAAATAAGTAAAAGTTTAGCTATTCAATTATCGCATGCCCCAAATCGACTGCACCAACAGCGTTAAAATACAACCAAACTTTGTCTGAATCAGGAGAATCGGTCATCTGTTAAAACCTCCCAAGGTTTCAACAACACTACCAAGCATTTCATAGCACAACATTCGCCTTCGCAGTTGATGTGATCATTGAGCTGAAACTCTAGTATTGACATGGAAATTAAGAAAGATACGGCAAATATGTAAGGCTTGTTAATCGTATTTCAAAAAAAAGGCTCTTTTGTGTTTAGTAAATTTTTTGGGGAATTCTTTTTTTATGATGATGAGTAAAAAGAATATATTGTTTCTGTTGTCTTCTTGTGGTGAATGTAAACAAATATATTGACAATGTGAAAAGGGAAAAAAAAAAAAAAAAACTGCCCAAATTGAAAATTTTCAAGATGCAAACCTACCGGATCATGAAATTGTGGCTGATTAATTTTGTGTTACCTCTCGTTCTCTCAAAACCAGTGGGGAAAAGAAAATAAAGGCTAAAAAGTTGTGTCGCGCACTTGCGGAGGCAAACAAACGTGTGTGCGGATGCAACAAATGGTAGTACCAGAATAAGAGTGCACTAGTGCAGATATAAACGTGAAGAGTTTTTTTTCAAAAAAAAAAAAAAAACTTTTTTTCTTCAAGACAGTTTTCGTGCCATATCATTTCATGGACGATGTTTTTGTGCACTAAAAGGGTTAAAAGCCTAAAAACTAAAAAGGCCCATTCCTGTTTGATGTATCGTTACCTTTTGGCTTTTGCATACACTGATTACTGAAAGCCATCATGTTCCCAAAGGACCCTTACCATATCCTTTATGAACATTATGTATGCTTCGATGAAATTTGTAACCGAATTATTTGAGAGTTCATCTCTACTCTAGTATTCCACCCGTTTCATCAAAATATTTTTTATTTTTTATTTTTTGTTAAATTTCATAAAAATATTTCGCATTGTAGATAATAAAATATTCATTTCATATTTTATAATTTAGACAATTTTTATAGTGAGTATTTCACTTCTTTTTTCTTATCTCATTGTGGCTTGTAGACAGACTGGGTGCAATTTGAAACTGATAACTAATCATTCAAGACATTCTATATATTGTTTTAGTCATGTAGTGGTACGAGCAACTGTTTCTGGTAGAATCACAACTCACGAGTGCATTTGAAACATGTTATTGGACTGAAGAGAGGTAAAATTTGGATGCTGAGACTTTGACTTTCTTATTTTCTAAGACCCAGGAGGTAGATTTTTTTTTACTTACTTGTATTTATTTATTTCAGTTTTCCTTACTGATTATAGTGAGTAGGCAAGATGTTTTAGAATGCAATGTAATAGTTTAGCTAATTTTTAACTGATATATAAGTATCTTTTTTAAAAAAAAACTTTGTTATTTTCACACGTTTATAGAAGTACGTGAACTTCCTACATGATTTTTCAGGTAATTTATCCGAGTGACGTGTTTCGATTTTTCTAAGGTTTTGACATTCTTAAAAGAAAATTATTTTTTTCCGACTTGGAATTAATTTTTTCAAATAACATCATAATTTCATCTTCTAATGGAGGTATTCAACAAAGGCATTTATTTTCCACTAGCGCGAGCAACTCACTTTCTGGCTTGTTTTTTCAATAAACTTTAAAAAATGACCAAAAACTCCAAAAAATACGAGGAAAAGGAACAAATACAAACAAATACAATATCCAGTGGAATTTTTTACCTAATATATCAATTCATATTTGTTGTTTTGCAGATCACTTGATAGATTTAAGAATTTTAAGGTGCAATTAACCAAATTAAAACGTTTGGGATGAATTCTCAAATCATATCGGAATAAATGTTAGGATACATCCGCGCACATTGCTTTCCATATAACACCACTTCAAACACTCTAGTAAAAGAAATTAAACCACTCTATTGTCTATTTCGGCCGGCCACCTGAAATTTGTACTAGCTAATTAGTAGTACTCCGTATATGATTATATCTAACATTTCCTCGTCCCGTTCAAAATAATTGGCACATGGGATCGTCTTTTGCTTGTGAGTACTTCAAGAAATTGAAGGAATCAACTAGCAGTGAAGTGTGAGGTGTTATGAAGCGTGCATATAGTCTGTATCTTCAGCACGAGTAGTAGTGAAGACTTGAAGAGATATAAATTTGTGTTCATATATGTCTCCTAATTAACCTTTCCTTCTAGTTTAATGAAACTCATTTCTGCACAAATAAACTGCATATTATCAAATGTCAAAGGGCGGGGTTAAGGTTAGTAGTATTATAATTTAAGTGCACTGTTTTGACTAAAAAAAGTCAATTCATATGTTGGTTTTAAACAACAAAGCTGATTAATTAACACGTAATTAGGCTGTCATGTTTGCTATAATTGCATTTTACTGCAGGTTGTAAGTTTGATGTGATAAAGTAAAGCTACTTACTACCCAGCTGTCCATCATGAATTTTTGCAGCAAAAAGATGCTTTTTTAAATTATTGATGGCCCATTTCTCAAGGCAAATCCAATCAGTTTACCCCTTCTACTTTTTTTTTAGGAGGTCTCAAATCTCCAATTCCGTACTACTTTAGTTGAAACTTTATAAACTCAAAAAAAGTCACTGTATGATAGCCTAATGATGATCATCGCCGTCATCTTATATCAACCCTTGCTCCGTTAATTACTTTCCCCGTCCAACTTTTTCCGTCCAGTTCATCAGAAAAAAATATTTGGAGAAAATGTTTTTTCTTTATTTGTAATTGTTTGCCATCTTTTTCAGAGTTTAATGGTAAGAAGGACAGGTATCGTAATTTCTGCCGTCGGAGCTTAAAGAATACTGCTGCAAAATGCTGACAGTTTGCGGAATTTGTTGTAGTATACTTCTCCCATCTTTTAACATTCGTTGTGTTCATTTAATTATTATGAAATATTTTTAAGATTTTTATTTTAATTAAAAAAATATTTTATATAAAATTTAGAACAAAATCAAAATGTCTTGTAATAAGGAACGGTGGAGGAGCGGTGGAGTAAGTATAAGAAAATTGTCAAAGCATCAAAGAGATTGTCAAGAAGTTGAAAACAGCTAGCTAGCCCAGCCCCCAGCTATCTTGTTGCAGAAAAAAGACATTTTATTCAATAAACTAATTATCGTTTTTGACCCGGAAAAAAGAAAACCGAGAAACAATAAGACAGATTTTGTCGGCCTGCAATCTGCACACCACCATAAATTTTTAGCGGGGGTACTTATCATGTCTTGATTATACAATATCTCCACCATCACCAAAACCAACTAATGGATTTTACTACAGTACTAATTTTTTTAAAAAATGTAATACGTAGTTTTGCTAATGTCCATACTAAAAAAAACACATGATACGTTTCGCCGAGCCGTTTGTGTAAATTGGTTTCAATTCTTTTTTTTTTCTTTCTTTTTTCGGGGCAACTGAACAGTTTCTTTCTTTCAACGACATATCATAATCTGTATCGTTACCATTCCCAGACAATTTGAATCGGCAGTATCGAATTTCGGGAATTTGTTGTCTAGTTGCCACATGAAATTCAGCTGTCAAACGTTTCTTCACTAGGAATATATGTTAAGAAATTGGTCCACATCAGCAAACAATCAAATATTGTAGTACTAAAACAAAGAAATCCAGTGATACAAGTTGCCAAGAATTATGACATCAGAGATTTTACTAAAAAAAAAAAACACTTGTGTCTATGACAATGGTGGGATAGAAAAAAGACTTTAATATTATCATAGTGGATGGATCAGATTACGACTTTTTGGGTTAGGCAAAAGCAGACTACTCTGCTATATATCAACCCGGAGTTGAGAAAGGTCAGCAGCAATCATAATCGATACAGAGAAAAGTTTGACAATCAACCTTTGATTAAAAAAAAAATGGGCGAAACCCACGAGGAAACAAATCCTAGGAAGGTGGAAGAAGAAGAAGCAAACGGGCACAAGGAGGAAGTCGTGGGATCAGACGATGAAGAGTTCAGTAAAGATGGCAAGAAGATATCATCCCATCATCATCATTTTGTGCTGGTTCACGGAATTAGTCACGGAGCATGGTGCTGGTACAAAATCAGAACCTTAATGGAAAATTCCGGCTACAAGGTCACCTGTATCGACCTCAAAGGCGCCGGAATCGATCGGACTGATCCCGATACCATTTTCTCATTTCAAGACTACAACCAGCCTCTCTTGGATTTCCTATCAGATTTACCTGATGGTGAACAGGTAATCAAAACTTTTTAATGACTTGTTTGAGTTAGCTATAAGATTCATTAACTTCTGACTCTGAGTAAATAAGTGAAATGGGTGTTTCTTCCCATTAATTTTCAGGTAATATTGGTCGGACACAGTGCAGGGGGGCTGAATGTAACTGATGCAACGTACAAGTACCCCCAGAAAATCAGGCTGGTGGTGTATGTTGCGGCCACCATGTTGAAAAGGGGGCTGTTTGATCAGCAAGACGTCAAAGACGTAAGCTCATTTACTTAAACTTCCCTCCCAAAAAAAAAGTCCACCTTGAGTTTTCAAATTTATACTAAAAACCATACAAAATTCAAAACTCAATATAAACTATTTTTGTGGAACGAAAAGAGTATCTTTTTTCAATTTATCAATGATATAATTAAAAGAAAGCTCATTAGGTTGGATGTAACTAAATAAAACCAATTGGATACATAGGAGGAGATTGAATGGAAGAATTGAGAATTGGGTTTGCTGAATAGAATTTCTGACACTTTAACAGTACAAGCCAAAGACTGGAGAAGAGAATCATGATGGGGGTGGGCGTCAGGGTGATGGCACTAAAATTGGAGGACGTGTGGAATTGCATGCCAACTGTCTTTCATGTGTTATCCACCTCATTTATTTTAGGCCTTTCTGTTTGTCCTCTATGCTTCCAACATGACGCTTTAGGGTGTGTGTTTTACAGTTTATCTTAGTCTAATTAATTTTAAGTTTAACCGAGTGGTCTATTCAAGTATACAGGAAATAAATAGTAACGTATGCACTAGTCATAAAACGTGTTCAATGTGATTAATGTTACTAGTATGTAATCAACAAAATGTTTTTGGAACAGGGTGCACCCGATTTCTCAGATATCGGCGAATTAGGTGATGTATACGATATCGGATTCGGATTAGGGATCCATGAGCCTCCAACAAGTATGGTTCTCAAGAAACATCTGCTTCGCAGGCTCAATTATCAGCTGTGCCCTCATGAGGTACTCCCAAAATCAAAATTGTATCATTTCATTATAGTAGAAGTAATAATACGTAAATTTGGCCAATTGATTTCGGAAAATTAAGGCTGGAAATCACTTGTTCTTAGGATTCTACATTGGCAGAAATGCTGGTTCGACCCGGACCCATTCGAGCTATAACTTCTGCAATATTCAAAGAAGGGGAAGGTGTGTTGGAAGATGCAGTAGAAAAAGTAGCTCGGATTTGCATCAAAACCATGCAGGATCGGGTGGTCAAACCGGAGCAACAAGATATAATGATCAAGAGATGGCCGCCCCTGGATGTCTACCAACTGGACTGCGATCACAGCCCATTCTTCTCCGCCCCTTTCCTTCTCTTCGGTTTGCTTGTCAAGGCCGTTTCTTCCCTATGATCAAAGCTCATATTCATTTTGGGCCTCATGGCGCCAAGTCCAATCTCAACAAAGTTGGATGCCGAGTGCTGCAGCAACAGCAGTAGTGTGTTTTTGTAAAGTCAGTTCAAAATGTCAAATTTGATTCATTTGAGTTTTGTAATTCTTCTTTCTGAAAAAAACAAAACTATGGATTATTTTTTGTAATTATAATTAATCGATGGGGACTGCGACCGTGATTCAGATGTGCAAGTGTAAACAGTACTATCTTTGTTAAGTGAATAAACAATCCCACCCCTAATTTCAACTCTATTTACTCACTGTAATCTTGATCACGAGAAATTGTAACCGTATTTGGATTCTTGGCTATCAGTTCAACTATGCAATTTGTCAGATCACCAATTTTCTCCATTCATATGAAATTCATTGTAGTCATCGACTACTTGAATCATAACCTTGTGTTTTCAAAAGAACTAGGAGGGGACCGCACAAGGTGCGGTCGGACCCAGAGAAGTATTACACATAGTTCTAAAACTAAAATGTGAAAGGTTCAATTCGAAGAGAGATCCTTGTTATTCTGTGGAATCTCTTTATAACCATAAATATGATTGTCTCTTCGGATCCTCTTGTAACCAGTGTCTAAGATTTCTGATTTAGTAAACTGGAGATGCACTGTGTAGTTACCATTTTCCCGGCTCGAGCTAAAGTGTCTTAGCGATTCAGCCGAAAACCAGCACTACTCATTGCTTATCTTTTCAACTTTGTACTAATTTAGTTTATTAGTACATTTGTTTAACAATTTCGTATTAAAAACTAATGCACATCATAATTGTATACGTATAGTGCATTTTATCCAGAATGTTCAAAGGACACATGATCTTAAAAATGTATCGAGTGGCTTTCTCAAATTTTATTTTTCACACAAATAAGAAAGCACCGCGGTTGTAAGAAGTTGTACTACAATGTTTTTAAATAAGGATATTGACTTTCTTCTTCAATTAGACCATAAATAAAGTTGGAACCGTTCTCATTTTTTCAATTTTATTGTTTGTTTCCTTTTCTTGATGGTATTTTCAGATTAATATATTAATAACTGTCCCATCCCATAATACCTTTTACGTTTCCAATACACCTTTTTACATTCCAAATACAAAAAAAACCTAAAAACACACACTAAAAAAACAAGACAAACAAACGTATACTCTCGTTTTTTTACAGTATCCAAATTGCGTAGTGAAAATTGATTCCCTTCCCCCCCCCCCCTTTTATTTTAGTTTTATCTAAGGCTTACAAATTCATGCATTCACTTTTTATTTAATTTTTTTCACTTTTTCACTTTGCCTAATCGAAAAAAAATAGGGTAGAATTGACAACGCTGTCAACCTTTGGCCAATTTTTCAGTTGGTTTTTACTGTTACAGTCTGTCAACAACTGCCATTCCGAAAGAAATTCGAGACAGAAAAATTCTGATACTCTATAGTTTCCATGTATGCATGAGTTAATTACTTCGTTACCCCTCTCTCTCTCTCACATACACGTCGCCGAAATTCAAAATCATGTACTATGGCGATGAACTCCTTTTGTTTCTCTTCATTTCCCTACAAGCACACGCGCTACACATCCGATTTTGATGGTCCAGAAAAACCTCACGCGCCTAGACTCACAGAAAAGGTGCTGCTTTTTGTTTTTGTAGGTTAGTGCACAGAAAAGTTTCTCTGGTCATGTGCATACATTAAAACCAATTTTGTAGGAATTCAAAAAAATTTTCACTCCTCTCGCAACTCTCCCTCTCATAGCTCATCATTCCCGCCTTGTTTTCCTTGTCTCGTAAGTAAAAAAATCGTAATCAGGTTCTTTCTTCTTCTTTTTTTTTTTAGAGAATACTATAAAATAGTGTATTAGAAGTGTAAAAAAAAATGCTTGTTAGAGAAGACATTTAATATTAAAAAAATACGTGAAAATAATCTGAAAAATCTAGTAAAAAACAATCCTTACCCGTATTTACAACCATGATACACGATCCACTATCATTGTGTGAGATACAATTTAAAACCGGAGATCATATAAAGCTAGCAGAGGATAAATTATCACTACTCCGATACACACAGTCACTCACTAATCTGATCACCTTCCTAACTCATGCATACATGGAAACTATAGAGCACCAGGATTTTTCCGTCTCGCATTTCTTTCGGAATGACAGTCGTTGACAAGCTGTAACAGTAAAAACCAAAAAAAAAAAAAAAACTGTATGAGCGAACATGATATGACCACCGTGCAATTTCATAAGTACTACTTTTTCTTGAGGAAAATGAAAATGCAACGTTGATTAGACCTTTAAATGTTTAATTTCAGGCAACATTGTACTAATTTAGTTTATTAGTACATTTGTTTAACAATTTCTTATTAAAAACTAATGCACATCATAACTGTATACGTATAGTGCATTTTATCCAGAATGTTCAAAAGACACATGATCTTAAAAATGTATCGAGTGGCTTTCTCAAATTTTATTTTTCACGCAAATAAGAAAGCACCGCGGTTATAAAAAGTTGTACAACTACAATGTTTTTAAATAAGAATATTGACTTTCTTCTTCAATTAGACCATAAATAAAGTTGGAACGTTCTCATTTTTTCTATCTTAAATTACTCTCGTTTTTTTACAGTATCCAAATTGGGTAGTGAAAATTGATTCCCTCCCTCCCCCTTTTATTATTTAGTTTTATCTAAATAATAGTTCAATTTACGAAAATTCAAAGTAGGAGAAGAGGGAGTATTAATTCACGAAATGGACCAAAACCAAGTAAATTTGTAAAGACAGTTAATGAATAGATTACAATGCATCGTATATAGTACTCCATCCGTCTCACAAAAATAGTTCAATTTAATAAAAAAGTTTCACAAAAGTCAAAATTAATTGAATTAAAATGACTTAATATCCAAAAGAGTAGTGATACGGAAAACAAGGTACACTTCCTTTGATTTTCATTTTTTTTAGTTTTCTCCGTTTTTTCAAATGATTATATTTTTTAATATATGAATAATTAAAAAGTGTTTTATATATCAAATTAATCTACTTAACGAGATCTTTCAATCACGATCCATTATCATTATTTTTTGAGATAAAAATTTTGAATAAATTTAAGTTATAAAATAAATACATATATAGTTAACTTTTATAGAAATAACTAGAAAGGACATTAGTAAAAGTTAGGGGCATAAAATGATTTGTACATTTGGTGTATTAACCAAATTAAAAAAGTTATAGATTTTCAAACTGGACTATTTTTCTGGGCCGGAGGGAGTATCACTCTATTTGGAATGGGAGCAAAAGGGGTGCTCATCCAAATCATCAAAAAAGGAGGTACGTGACAAGCGTACCAGGTAGGAGCAACCCACTAACAGGAGGGACAATATGAAGTTGCAAAACAAAACAATATATCATATATGGTTACATAGTCGAAAAGGGACATAGCATATTAGATTATTAATAGTGATCGCCATTCCTCCGGCTTATTAACTTTTCTTTTATACCTTTCAAAAAAACTTTTCTTTTAGTTGAAATTTCAGCGAGCTGATCTTTTCACCAAAATTATTGTTATTGGGCCTCCCATTTTATAGCCCAATGCATTACAGCAAATTATCGACTCGTTTTCAAATATGCAACTTAAAAAATCTGATAATGATTGTGTTACTCTTGAGATTACTTTTATTGCTTACTCAATCATTAAGATCTGATGTACAATATGCAACATTTATTCTTTTTTCTTTTTAAGATGTATATATACATATGTAATAATAATTCACATGGAAGATGGAAGATCAAAATTAAAACTTCACAATTCACAAATCGTGTAAACCAAAATTCCAAAAATAGATACTACTAGTATTAAAGTACTGGGTCTAGGCATAAAAATTCATCAAAGTAACTTATAAATGATACTCCATTTGTCGTAAAATAATTGTCATGTTTGTACTAACAATGAAAAATTTAAAGCCGACAAGTAATTTTGGGACACTATAAGTAATGGCATACATGTTGTTAAGAAAGCCCAACAGACATCCATTTATTAGAAACTCTAGCCCAAGTAGCTGTCTCGCCCCAAATCTGAATTTTCAAAAAATAAATAATCATTACATTTATGACCGGTTCCGTGTTAAAGTATAATGAAAAGCCTTAGCATTATCTGCTCTTAATGAATTCATCATATTATAAACAACAACCAAAAAATGTATGAACAATGGGTTATTAATGTATGAAAATAAATTTAGTATAATGATAAATGTATAAACTTTACATCATGAATGTATGAACATGGTGGGAAAGAAAAGATAAGTACTGTATGAACATGTTTCTTATGAACACTGAAAATTACAACAACATCAATAATAAAAATGTTTCCAGATATCTTTGGGCCAATTATCGGTTACAAGACCTCATGCAATTGGATGTAACAAAACTCTCGTAAGAATTAGATATTGTGATTAAAATTGAACACACGATGCAAAAACCATTCAAATAGTTAGAAAATCGAAATATTAAAAAATTCACAGACAGGATCCTATAAGAGGAAAAAAAAATCATGAACAAACTATAGTGATAGTATAAACACTTTCGTCTAACTGTCTGAACTTCAACATATCAATAAAAATTTGCTATCAAGATTGGGACAATTATTAAAATACGATTATGAATAAAAAGTAATGATAGTTTAAACATTTCGTTTTAATGTATAAACTGCATAATATAACTCAAAGTTTGGTATCAAGATTGAACAAATTACTAAAATTAAGGTACAAATAAAAGAAAAAAATTGCGAGTAGACCAGGTTTGCGAGAACTGGAATTGCGAGTGAATTAATATTTGTAAAAAATGATAGAGTTATAGCTTATATGTGAAAAAAGAAAAAAAATCCATGGTTATAATTACAGTAGACCAGGTTTAAACGCGATGTAAATCTAATTTGAAAATGCTTATTATGACTTGACATACAAACATCACAATACTCTATCTCCTATTTATTTTGATTGTACGAGAACTGAATTGTTTTTTTTTAAAAAAATTGTAATTTCCTAATTGTTTTTTTTAATGTATGAACTGCGTAATATAACTCAAAGTTTGGTATCAAGACTGAACAAATTGTTATTTATTAATTGTTTTTTATTTTATGAGTAAAATGGTAAAAGATATGATAATTGGTGTACTACTAGGCTAGGGGAGTAAAAATATCCTATAAAAATATGAGATATAAAATATGTTATCCAATCCTATCTTACTTCTAAAATATAAAATTATTACATTATTTACCCTATTTTCTATCATTTTTATCACAAACAAAAAAAAACGAGAGAGAATAAAGTAAACAATGTAGGACATTTTATATTTTTGGATAGAAAGATTTGATTTGGATAGATAAAATTAAATAGATTAAAACTAAAAAAGTGATGTGTTAAAGTTAAAATTGGGTTAAATTGATTTTTTTTAAAAAAATGGTGTGAAATTTATAAAATTAAAAAATTTGGAGAAAATCTGTAATTGAAAAATCAAATTTTGCCGGAATAGTGGCCGGATCCGGCCAATAGGACCAAATTTAAACAAAAAAAAAATTATCATGACTTATTTTATCAATTAAAAAATATTAGGGACGAAAATTTAACTTGAAGGGACTAAAAACGTGACAAAGGAAAAGAATAATAGAATATGCTGGTGGACAACGTTGACGGCAATCCATAATTGACCACCTTTTTTTAGCTTTCACTTATTTTCCACCTAAAACCAACCCCGTCACGCCACGTCACCGTCCATCTCCCCCAACCTAAAGTTGGTTAAAACAAGCTGCGGCCACACGACGCTCTCTCCCCTCTCTGTTTTCACACCTCCCGCTTGGCTCTCTTCTTCTTCGACTTCCCCTCTGCATCCTCCTCCAGGTACAATTCTGCTCCATAACGTCTTTGATTTTGGTACATTTTTTCCCCTTTTAATTGTCGCAAATGATTCATTTGTTATCCTCTCCCTCTTGTATTATATTTTAATTTTTTAAGGAATTATGTGGTAGATTTGATTAGGTTAGGCTCTCATATCCGTTTTTAGATTTTATTGGAAATTCTGTTGTGCGAGGATTCATCTGTTCCGTTTCTGGTAGGACTTGAGTGCTACAACTCTTTGATTTGTAGAATTTAGCCTCCGTAGATCCTTGTTTCTATTTCAAACGTTGCGGTTTTTTTTTTCTCTGTGATGAATTTGTATTTGAATTCCTCTTCTCCTTTTCTTAATTTTGTGGTTGTAAAGAATTTGATGCCCTTTTTGGTACATGTCCATTAAAGACCGTTCCTCAATTGTGTGCATACTTCTAAATTGTTTACTTCGCAACTGGTTAGATCGGCTGCGGATATACTGCTTATCTACCCCTTTTCGGGAATGTTCAATTATTTGTAGCTAATCAACCTTTTTTTTTTAATTTCTATTTATGGTCAATTATGCTTGCGTGTTTGTTTGTTGTGATACTTGCTGCAAAGATCAGTCCTTTTCTGACAAATCTTCATTGGTTTGATGATCCTCAGCTCGGTTGGCCTGATCTTCATGAGTTCTACAAGCTCTGCTGCATCAACTGTTTCCTGTGCCTCGGGAAACAACAAGAATCTCCTCTTCTGCACTTTGATTTGCTTATTCCCTATTTTTCTTGGAGTTGCTGTTGTTTTTGAGGATTTCCTACTATTCAAGGCTGTCGTTCGTTCCCCCTCTGCTTCAGTTCATGTCATTGCACCTTGAACTGAGTTTCTTAATGTAGTTAGTCCGGTTTTCCCTATTGTCTAGTTGTTGGAAACATGGTTCAGATTTCAAGATCCAATGCTAATTCCTTGAGGAAGCCCTTCCAAGATATTGTGCGGCTTCCAATGACACCCCTTAATGTTCTTCCTGAGGATGATGTTGATTTGGATTTTTCCGATGTATTTGGTCCACTTCCCACCCAAGCCTCAGAACATGCGGACTCTGATGATCCCAGGAGTGCTGTGGTTTCTCCTGTTGCAAGTGAAATGGTTTTTGACAACCCAGCTATAATCTGTAGGCGTTCCCATTCTTTGGTGGGCCCCTCCGAGTCGGTTGATTTGGGTGAGGAAGGTCATGGAGCGGCTGAAGAAAAACTCAAGGAATTGTCCCATGAGACTGCTGTCCTGAAGAAGGATATTGAAGATAATGGTGTGTCTTTAAAGGCAATAGGGATTGAGGACTTCCAGGTTCTGAAGGTCGTTGGTCAAGGTGCATTTGCTAAAGTATATCAAGTGAGGAAAATTGGCTCATCAGAAATTTTTGCAATGAAGGTCATGCGAAAAGATAAGATTGTGGAGAAAAATCACGCTGAGTATATGAATGCTGAAAGGGAAATATTAACAAAAGTTGATCATCCCTTCATCGTCCAGCTTAGGTACTCTTTCCAGGTAATGACATGAACCTTTTGTTGCGATTAATGGTAGACATGTGCCAGATTTCTCGTATATAGATTTAGCACTGTGCAATTGTTTCTGTTTGTTGAGAAATGTAAAAGTCTTGCAGTTAAGAAGGATATAAATTATGAATGCTGAAATTATGATGATCTATTTGGTATCCGGCGCCTGTTATTTAAGCTAGTGGCTTCTTGTGTAGATACTTGTGAGCACTGAATAAAAAATACTGGAAAGGCACTCTACTGTATGGCATTATAAGAGAGTAAAAGTTGTTCTATGCGAATAAGAAACTGCCGTCATTTCGTTGTAGTTTCTGGAACTCATGAGAAGGCAAATGTGTGATTGATTTGGAGGTCTTGGATTATATGCATGTTTTTTTATTCGGCTTTTAACTTTGTGCGATAAAATGAGAAGCATCCAGTGTGAGATTGTATGAAAAGAGTTGTTCTTTATTTGTGTGTTAGATACTTAGATGCTTGAATCTTAATTTGATTCTTACATAAACGGGAACTTTTCATCTGGCCTACTTCGTTTTCACTCACTTATTCTGGTTGATTTTCTGATATATGTTTTTTCTTTTTGTAGACAAAGTATCGACTTTATCTTGTCCTGGACTTTGTCAATGGAGGTCACCTTTTCTTTCAACTATATCGCCAAGGATTATTCAGGTAGTGGAGAATTAATTTCATTAAAGATTGTGGAGGATATTAGAAAACCATCTGATCTTGCAATTTTTTTAGAGAGGATTTGGCACGCATCTATGCTGCTGAGATTGTCTCTGCAGTATCTCATCTCCATGCTAATGGAATTATGCACAGGGACCTTAAGCCTGAGAACATACTTCTGGATGCAGAGGGGCATGTAAGCACTCTCTGTTTCTCCTGTACATATATATCTGTCTCTTCTGGGCTCATCACGCACACACAAGCACATGATGTGTCACTTGTTTCAGTTGTCAAATACTTATGTGTGATATATTTTGCTCCATGTGTTGTGATCAGGCTATGTTAACTGATTTTGGCCTTGCAAAGGAATTCGACGAAACTACCAGATCCAACTCTATGTGTGGAACTTTAGAGTACATGGCCCCTGAAATTCTTCTTGCCAAGGGGCACGATAAGGCCGCTGACTGGTGGAGCGTGGGAATTTTGTTGTATGAAATGCTAACTGGAAAGGTTTGCGTTTTCTTTTGCTTAACAATTTTATTATTTTTAATCATATTGGGAAATTGAAAATGTTGTCTTTTCCTCCATACAGGAAAAGAAAAATCCTTACTTGCAATGTCGTATCGCTAAATGGAAATGTTATGCGTTTAGCTGTTTTTGTTTTTTCAAGATTCTCATGTTAATTGTATTGGCACCTGCATTTATTGTATATCTGAGTGAATGAGGGGGACCTAGAGTATATGAATTTATTTCTTGGAGAAGACCCACGTAGGGGAGAGCATTGATTATTTGTTTGTTATTAAAGATGTGGGTATAAGAGGTTTTTGTAACTGGTTGCGGATTAGATTGTGTCGGAAAGTCGGCTGACAGTCTCTCAGTCTTGAACATATTTGTCTATAGGAACATATTTGAATAAGATATCTTGTCTACTAATGATTCATTATGGACCCAGGACTATTAGTTGCTTTTCCTATCCTCGCTATACTATCAATCTTCTTGTTATTAATATCTTCCACAGAAGTAAGGAGGCGTTTATGGTTCATCAGTGCTATATAAAAACACAAATTGATTACTTTCTTATCCTTGTCTGACACATTTGTTGCTATCGTTGAATGTAATTTAATACCGTGTTCTCATCCATGTCGCAGAAGTTAGTAATTGTGCTAATACTGTTTTTGCTCTTCCATATCCTTGCTTTCAGCCACCTTTTGTTGGAGGGAACCGGCAGAAAATGCAGCAGAAGATTATCAAGGACAAGATCAAGCTCCCAACATTTTTGTCAAGTGATGCTCATTCTTTGTTGAAAGGGGTAACTTTGTTCTTCCTTGCTTGTAAATACTACCTGGTGGCTGGGCCTAGGATGCACATATTCATGATAGATATTGCTGCTTTGCTTGTGAAACTATTTGCCGTTGTTCAGTTTGCATGTTAATGACGCTTCTCTGTATTTATCTAGTTTCTTTTTCTTGGGGGTTTCAGTTGTTGCAGAAGGAAGCAAGCAGGCGGCTTGGAAGTGGGCCAGGAGGTAGTGAAGCAATAAAATCCCACAAATGGTTCAAGTCTATCAACTGGAAGAAGTTGGAGGCTAGGGAAATTCGACCAAGTTTTCTTCCAGAAGTTGCAGGAATGCAATGCACAGCCAACTTCGAGGACTGCTGGACTAACATGTCTGTTGCAGATTCTCCAGCCGCCAGTCCAAAATGTTCTGATAATCCCTTCTTGGGGTTCACTTATGTGAGACCGGCTGCTTCATTTCTAAAATCTGGTTAAAAGTTGCTATTTAAAGTCAGCCAACCGAGCATACCTATTTATGGATTTTCCTGTATTGTTGAACTCTTGGCTCCCCAATATTTATTATTTACAAGAGCCTGTTTTACTTGTAACTGTTCTTTGTATCAAATTTAAACTCTTCTTCTAAGGAGTCACAAGAGATCTTCACTTATTTATTTTGTTGGGGATAGTAAGCTATTCTTTTGGATGCTGCTAGACGTGAAAATCTTCCATTATGTACTTGTTCCATAGAAAGTGCATCGCATCAACAATAGCCGCAATGTCTGGTTTGGTAGCTTGACAGACTGCCCGGTGAATATTTTCTCAATTTTCAACTGAATCGAGGAAATCCATATATAGCGAAATAAATAAAGGCTTTATAGTTGTTGTAAATTGAATCATTTGGCTTTGTCGACCATCTCGTCAATCCTATGGTGTAGAGTAAGGTGCTTGACAAACATTGCACAAATTTTCCTGTAGCCCTCAGGTGTCATCATTTCTTTTCTGGCTTTTGGAGGGCAAAGAACACTCCTTGTTTTCCCCAAAAATAACGAAGAACACCTTGAAAATAAAACGAGTTCGTGGAAAATTATTTACCATGAAAGGTTGCACAAATAATGCAAGGGGGATTCATTAAGGAAAGTTATTTTCACATGAAGATTCTCCAGGAGGAGGATATGGTATCGGAAAGGCTAATGAACAGGGAAGTGACAAATTGCTAAAGTTCAAGCTTGTTATAGGGCTCTACATTGAAGATTCTGATTCTGATTTTACGGGGTATTCACATTTGAACGCTTAGATGCATTGTCCTCAGACGAGGGTCTGTTATCAACATCAGACTGCCTAATATCCTCCATCAAACGAACCACTTCATCCATTGAGGGGCGCATCTCGGGTGCCTTGGCTACACAGGAGAGAGCAATTTGAAGCATCTGAACCATCTCTTCATCAACATTTTGGTGCTTCATCAGTTCCACATCAAAGACTTCAGCAGTCCATTCCTCACGAACAACAGATCGGACCCATCTGGGGAGATCGATTACATCATCGTGCCCAGTGGAAGGTATTGGGGATTTGCCTGTGAGCATCTCCAGGAGAAGTACGCCAAAGCTGTAGACATCGGATTTTTGTGACACCTTTCGTGTCTCGATTACTTCAGGAGCATGGTAACCAATTCCTCTTGTTTTGACACCAACAAAATTCATCACAGCATTCAAGCCAAAATCAGTGATGCAACCCTCCAGCTCTTTACTGAGGAGCACATTGGAAGACTTGATGTTTCCGTGCGAAAATCTGGCGCCGCCTTCAGAATGTACATGGGCAATTCCTCTTGCCACTCCAACTGAAATCTTCATTCTTGAATCCCAGTCTAGCACATTTCTCCCTGAACCTTTATTACCTGCCGAATAACAGTCAGTAATTCAAAGATTATAAATACTGCAGGTATCTAACTGATAGAAAAAATCAAACAATAACTGGATGTTTACAATATTTTTTTAACTTGACAGCTTGTGCAGCGCATTACCAGAATGACAAGCAAATGTAAAGACGAGCATAACATACCGTGCAAGGCTGCTGATAAGCTACCAGCAGGCATGTACTCATGAACAACCAGCTTCTCATCTTTGGAATAGTAATAAGCCCGCAGTGGTACGATGTTTGAATGCTTTCCTACTGTGTGAAGAACTTCCATGTGTTGTTCAAACTCTCTTTTCCCCACTGCTACTTCCCTCAACCTTTTTACCACAACCATTGTTCCTTCATCCAAAGCAGCTTTGTATGTTGTACCATAAGTCCCCTTTCCAAGTACTTCTGCAGAAGCCCTAAGTAAATCTTCAAGATCAAAGTTATAAGAGCATCCTTCGAAAAACACCAATTTGTTCTTCTCAGCTTCTTGAACTCCGCTACCAAAATCTTCGGGCTTTGGAGCTTTTCCACCATTAGACACCTTTCCTTTTATCACACGCGTGCTTGCATTGCCTTTCTTCTTCAGGCAGAAGAAGAAGAGCACTACACCTATAAGAAGAAGAATAGCAGATCCCCCAATCACAATGGCAACAATAGCTCCGGTATTTAGTTTCCTTGAATATGTCAGATGCTGTATTCCAGGGATTGTAGGAGAAGATGTTGTACTATCTGATGGAGGAGAAATTGACGGGGATAGTGCAGAGCAATCAGCCAGAGGTGGCCCACACAAGTGTGAGTTTCCCTCAAATGAAGATTTTGGGAACTTCTGGAGGGGACTTGGAATTGAGCCATTCAGCAAGTTATCACTCAAGTTCAAGATCTTTAGCCTTGGGGGATTCAAATCGGGAATAGCTCCAGAAAGATGGTTAGACTGGAGGTTCAACACAGATAAACGAGTCAAATTTGCTAGTGCTTTTGGAATTTCTCCACTGAATGAATTGAAAGAAAAATCCATCACTCCTAGTTGAGGAGGGAAAGAAGCAGTCATGCTGCCAGAGAAGTTATTGTGATGAAGGTAAATAGACTGAAGGGAAGGGAGTGAGAGGATATCAGGAGGAAGGTTTCCATTTAGGTGATTGGAATGCAAACTAAGGACTCGAAGAGCATCTAACTTCCCAATAGTATTTGCTGGGATGGGACCAAATAGACCAACAGCTGGGAGGTGGATTGCAGTCACTCGAGTTCCTTCTTTATTGCAGCCAATGCCAGCCCAAGAGCTGCAAATTTCTCTACGAGAACTCCAGTTGAGTTTTCGAAGATGAGGAACAGCTGCAGCAAAGCCTAAAAGGGCCTGCCTATCAGAGTTCAGATCAGCAATGATCTTTGGCAGAGTTGCTAGATGAAGCGCAAGGCAAAAAAGAGTTGCAAACAAGGATCGAAGCCTCATTTGAACGTCTAATGCATGCAGATTCAGAAGGATGTTTCAGTTCAATCCCACAGTCTTTCAAGCTCTAGCTACTCCTCCTGAATATCCAGACAAGTTCAAAACAAAAGAATTAGCGAATCTTTTCTTGGATAAATCACATACAATCAATACTCTCTTCAACTTAGCATGGTAACAAATTATTTCATAGCTAGAGGAAAACAATGGAAACTGAGGCTCAGAAATGGTTAATAACTTCAATCCAGGAGATACATGATTACAGCCTTAAAAATGCAGCATGGAAGAAGTTAGAAATCCAAGAGGGAATAACTAGTTGTATTCCTTATCTCTTCAGTACACTAAAGCAAAGCTGTAATTCAATAAGGCGGAACGAAAACAGGTACAGATTTGTAAATGACCTCACCAATTCCCTCAAAGTTATGATCAATTGGCACAGTAGAATTTCCTCTTGCAGGGTTTTCATGCAGCAGTGATTATACTTACTGAAAGGCACCCAATTGCAGACTACAGTAAAAGTTTAACTGACTCAGTGGAGAAGAGTGAAGTGAAGGAGTAGCTGAGATGGTTGATATCAAATTTTTTTATTTGACAAAGAAAAAAAAGCGCATCCTTTTGCAGCCTTTTCACATCCATAAATCAAATTCCTTTCTTGTTTCAGACTCTTCTATTGCAAAGAAGGGAGAAAAGAAAGACATTGTAAATATTTCGGAATCCATAACAAAGGCATCTCTTTAACAAATTCCTCCCATACACAGTAAGTTAAAGAGACTCAACCCTTACTCCCTTAGTGACCACTAACCCTGAAAGTCCAATTAATTTCCGGATTCTTGCATGCTTTTGAAACCACCAATGTTACACTATTTAGGCTACTTTTTTGAACACTTGGCTCTATGCTTAAGAAATTTAAATGGGAAGATACTATTGAAAGTTCATGTCAATAAACGCAGGTGGAAAAAGCAATTGACTTTAATCAAACAAGCAAAAAATGGAGAGGAGTCAAAAGCAGATGCCCCCTGCTGTAAAGACTACACTTTAGTGGACACTGGACGCCATTAACCACTTCATTTGTATTACCACTATGGCAACTAAATTATTAGAGATTACTAGTGTCACTGTAGGTTAAAGTTCTCCACAGGATCAAAACAGAGAAGGGAATGCAAACAAATTTGTTCCTCAATTAACTTCACAATTCACAATCGAATAGAAAAGCAATGGCCCCTTTTTGCAACTACAACAAACATTTTAAAAATCAGAAAAACAATGATAGTATCAATCCAAATGAAAAGTTTAGAAATCATGGAGAATCCAAAACACACAAAAAGAAAAAGGGTTTATATAAAGTAAAAGCAAAACTTAGCCCTTTAAATTTTTCAAGTGATAAAAGTAAGGGAATTCTATGCCAGAAAAAGTAGGCCAAACTCGACCACAAGCATTAACGTGTCAGCCATATTCATGTTCCTTACTACCATAATCTGTGCCTCTGTCTCCAGTATAATGCCAAGATTGTTTTCAACAAATTAGATCATTACAAATATAAGTTGCTTCATGAGGAAGCATTGAAAGGAGAATAAGATAAGCTTAATAATGGTAACAATACCTAAGCTGGTAAGAACCCGAAAAGAAAGCACCAGCAGATCTTCACAAACTCCTGAAAAACCCAAACCAATTTCACCAGAACTTCAATTTTTCCTTACTCTTTACCCCCTCAACACAGAGTATAAACATAGGCAAAAGTGACGATTTGATCTTAGGAGTAAATATGGGTAGTAACCAAAAACAGAACCCGTAAATGCTGGCAAAAGAAATTTAAAATTGAGAAAATGAGGGCCAACGGTATTGCCTACCATATAAAACAACTGTTAAAGAGGCGTCCGTCCTTCTTTCATCATTAATAAGCCTCCATTTTTAATACCCAAAAAAATCTATAGTACAGGGTTATTCCGATTTCTCCAATTTTCCCTCCCTCAAACAAACAGAGTAGTGTCGGCAAAAAGAAAAAAAAAAAAAAAGGGTACTGAAATAAAAGACTCTTTTAGTGTACGTAATAGGAAAACTGGAAAATTTTTGCAGAGGTGTGGTCCGCCTATCATACGTACTGGGTACTTAGACTTTATAGCTCTGAAATCTCAAATCAACAAAGAATTTATCAAAAGACTGACATGGTGAAACAGATTTAAAAAACAAAAAAAAGGAAGGAATTCAGAGGATCGTATGTACTACTACTTACACCATTTTCATCTTCCTCTGAGCGGGCCCGCCATGTTTAGAAAACCAGAGGACTCAAGCATTCAATGGGGGTGGTGGAAATGGAATATTGGAATTGAACGTATTCGTAGTACTGTCAGAATGTTGCGAAGTTTTAGGCTGATGGGTTCAGTTTTGGTTTTTCTTGCAGCAGTTTTATATTGTTATAGTAGTAATCGATTTCGGATCTTTGATCATCACTTGTTTGAGTAAATTCCAAAGCCAGAAAGCCAGCAATGAAACTAATTACTTCCCAAATGAAGATATTGTAGTAGTATTATGTAGTTGTAGAAGCAGTGCTCCATGTAACGTTACAATTTCTGCTAAAGGAGGATTTATATTGCAACAAAGAAAGTTTCATCATCAATCGGTTTCATTGGATAACGTTGAAAGGGATTAATCTGAACTTTTCCTTGACTAATAGGGTGGAGGGTTCTATTAAATACGATTATGCCGTTTGAAAGGAAGGATATTGGATTATGGTGACTGATATGATAATTCAATTATACTTAAAAAAAAATAATATTTCTTCTGTACTGGAAACTGAAATAAATAAATATTCAAACTGAACAATTAATTTGTAAGAAGTTACATTAGTCACTACTCACAGTGTGACAAATGTGTGATTAAATATATCGGTTTCTAAATACGATTCAAAGTTTGAGCTTCGCAAAACTTACTATCGCAACAAGACACTATTGTCACGCTAATCCTCCTCTGATCCTCTTGCTCAAGCACAATCAAAGGAAATTGACAATTGTTATGCTATTGACAAGAAAGCCCTACACCTGTCACCAAATATTTCTTCAAAACATCAATGAATTAGTTGGTTTTTGAGTTTTGAGGTCGTTATAATGGCATTGATCTCAATCATATTTATGGCACTCTGCTCAAATTTTCTTCTGGTTTGAAACGAATGGGTTTATTGCTGACCAGTGACCCCTATGTCTACCCATCCATAGTCATTACATCCCTACAGGCTACATCTTCTTGTTAGCTGTAAACCTTTTTTTTTCTCTCCTTAGTAATATGAAAATGAGCGCCTAGAATTAATCAAATTACTAATCATCATGTTTCCCAAGTAATTTGACCCTCCCTCAAAAGTGTCCTCGGATCTTTCCCCCCTTTGACATTATGAATTTCCATCCTCTTGCACAGCATTCCAAGCCAAGAAAAAAATGAAAAATCGAGAAATCAAATTCATTACATCTGGGAGGTGAGAAATAATGTTATTCTCTCCATTCTAAAATAGATGTCGTTAAAGGAATTGCTGAAAATTTAAAAAGATAATAAATACTTAGTCAAAATATCAAATTACCATCATTTACTCTCAATACAATTCTATTTCCAATATACTTTAGTTATAGTATAGTTCTACTTTAAATACAATTAAAGTTTCCCATATAGGTGCAAAGTTGGAAGAAATTTACAAAACATGCCTTGGAATGTGAAAATGACATGTATTTAAAAAAAAATGAATTTTCCTCCAACGACATTTATTTTGGAATGGACGGAGTATTTTTCATCAAAAAGAAAGTGTCTGAATCAGAGGTGATCCATAGTATCTCCTTCTCCTTAAAGAGGAATCTATCCAAGATAACTAAAATGAAAAATACTTGCAAGAACAGGTAATGGTGTGAGCTGATGAATATTTGCCCCAAATTCAATTGAACATATTAGAATTTATTTTTTTATATAGTGATCTTATTTTGTACTGATTAATATTTGTAGCAAACAAGTAACCTAGGTGTAGTGAATTTTAGAGAAACACTGCCATTGTACCTATAATCATTACTCAATGGAATGAAACTCAACTTTCTTCCAGCTAAAAAAAATTCATTACTTACAATCACTATTTCCTTTTTCTTTTGCCAAAATTTTTAGCATCATGAAACCACATGGTGTGGTCCACATTATTAATCGGCGCTCGAAAAAGGCCATTATACAGCCTCCCTTTTGAAAAATGGGCTGGGTAAAACTATCCCCATAGCCCAATTAGTACACCACTGAAAATTTTTGTTGGAATTTTAAAGCCCAAATTTCTTGGCCCGTGGTCACAGAATGGCGCACGAGGATTGGGTTCTTAGAAAATTGGGAAAATTTCATAAAGCGGAAAAATACAAAACAGGCCCTTTCAATTTGGTAACTTCTGGTCAATGTGATTCCGAGCTCTTCTTCAATGGCGCTCTTCAATCCTCCTTGTTCTTCAGCTTCTTCCATGCTATCTTTCGGAAGCTCTGTTTCGAATTCTCGATCAATTATATTCTCCGCCTTTCCTCACAGTCGGTGTCGTTTTATCGCTGGTCGACTTGGTTTGAGAGTTAGGAATTCGGTAGCCTACGAGTCTCAGACGTCAGCCGCCTCCGGTTCCGATGGCTCCCGGAAGCTTCTGCTGGAAGTCAATGACCTCTCAGCCGTTATCACTGAATCGAGACAGCCGGTTCTCAAAGGCGTGAACCTTACTCTCCACTCCGGCGAAGTGAGCTCAAAATTTTTTTCCCCGTTTTTACAATTAAGTGTTATAGGCCGTAGTGCATAGTGTCATTCACAGTCACTGTATCTTTGTTTCTTTTCTTTTACGTTCGTAATTCTGCAATAGGATATTTCTTTAGTTTATAATTATATATTTTGAAACCTGAATTCTGTTAGGTTCATGCTGTCATGGGGCCGAATGGTTCTGGGAAGAGCACTTTTGCAAAGGTCAGTGATTATATACTTGGTAACTATTCTTTTCAGCTGCTTAAATGGTCGCTCTGCTGTATCTCCTTTATTCGAACTAGATTTAGTCAATCACAAGTATGGTGTTTTGCAATTTTGAGGCTTCAATTCGTATTTGCTTTGATGTTAGAAGTTTCAATCTTGAGTAAGAAATATTCATTTTCTGGCTTTCAAACGTGAATTAGGCCTTTAATTCCTTTTCTGTTGAGTATGCGAGAATAAAATGGTAACAAAGAAGAATACAAGCGACCTGGAGTACTTATGGAAATCCCTATCTAGCAGCAATGACTTTTACATTGTGAAACTAAAACAGGTTAACTTGGAGTCCAATAACCATGATTCCTATTACACTTCTTGTTCTTTGATGATGCAATTTTGGGGCTTATCTCTGCAGTTTCAGAAATGGGGTATTCTGTTTTAAGTGATTTTAAAAAACCAAGTAAAAATGGTGCTATTATTTCTCTCTACTCTTGTCAGTTTGTCATTATTGCCGTTTGCATTGTGGGTATTTCATGGCTTTTGGTTGATATGCTGTGCTTTGATGTAATAATTGAGTAGCATAACAATTGTAGGTCCTTGTTGGGCACCCAGATTATGAGGTCACTAGTGGCAGTGTGACGTATAAGGGTGAGAACTTGCTTGAGATGGAACCTGAGGAAAGAGCTGTTGCTGGGCTTTTTATGAGCTTCCAGTCCCCGGTTGAAATTCCAGGGGTGAGCAATATAGACTTTTTGAACATGGCATACAATGCTAGAAGGCGAAAACTTGGATTGGAAGAGCTTGGACCAATTGAGGTTTGTAATTTGTTGGTCAGCATCTTTTGCTTAAGTTCATAAGTATGCATCTATTTTAATCAAAATTTTGATGATCTTTAATATTGGGCACCAATGGCTGACAAATTCGCTGATCTCATTTTCGATTCAGTTCTACGGCTATCTTGCACCAAAGCTGGAACTTGTGAACATGAAGGTAGACTTTTTGAACAGAAATGTTAATGAAGGATTTAGCGGTGGAGAGAGGAAGCGCAATGAGATTTTACAACTTGCTGTATGTATTACTCATTTATAGTCTCTTACCTTTCTTTTGATAATAACTTTTTACTTGATAGGAATTGCTTTTCTGTGTTTCTTTTTTTGGCTAAAAGCCTACACTGCATTCCTGTGTTACTCTGTAGATTGATTAGTTTGGGAGAATTGCAGTAAAAAGTAGAAAATCCATAGAGAAGTTGCATTTACCGTTTCGGCAGTAACTTATTCAGCTTATCACTACGCACTCAATTCGGAACTCCAACTCCCTTTGAAGTCATGTTTCTTTTTCTCCTCAGATTATTACTTGTTTGCCTATTTTCTAAAGGTTTAGCTAATCTAGGCATCATCTTTGGCTTAGCAGTAAAACATCTGCAATTCTGCAATCCTCTCCTCCCAAATCCCCTCTGTCCGCATTTTGCATTTGTCATTTTCCCCATTCTTCTCAGAATATTAATTGTTCTTTTCTTTTACTGTTGGTGATGTAAAGTTGAAAGATTTTAACTTCTCAATTCAGGTTCTTGGTGCTGAATTGGCTATATTAGATGAAATTGATTCTGGTCTAGATGTGGATGCTCTCCGTGATGTTACAGAAGCAGTCAATAAGCTCCTTACTCCTGATAATTCAGTTTTGATGATTACCCATTATAAGCGACTTGTAGATTTCATTGTACCGACCATTGTCCATGTGATGGTAAGCAACCTTCTGCATCTCATGAAAATGTTCTAATAAATTCTCAAACTAATGCAAAATAACCAAGCAGAAAAGTGCTTTACATTATTGACATCCAACTTTCTGAAACTGGCACTTTCCATACTTCACATTTAGTTCAACTTTCTGAAACTGGTTGTTTGTCTTTTCACTCTCAACAATGTAGATATGCTTGTAATTTCATTTATAAGCCATGTTGTGGTCTCATGGAATATTTTCTCAGGCTCGGGAAATAGTATGTTTGCTTTTAGTTCTAAGTCAAGATAATCAATCAAGTCATTAGTGTGAATTAAGTGAAACGTTAGAAACAAACTCTTTCGTCAAAGTGACAAGATGCATAAGAAAACAAGGATTTTTCTATGAGACGAGAAGGATGACGTGTCAGTTTGTCGAATGGTTTGTTTTGATCATCGTCACTTCCATTGTCAATTGTTGTCTTACTGATTGTAGGTGGATGGGAGAATTGTGAAGACGGGGGATAAATCCCTTGTTGAAGTTATTGATAAAGAAGGTTACCAGAAATTTGTGAGTCCTAGCCGCTGATGCCATTGTTGAGCATTCACTTCTCCGTAAGGTGTTCAATGTTACCCTTGATACTCGCTCTCTGGGGGAATGGAAAAATGAAGATTTTATGGGCTCAAGAGATATCAGACGATTGAGCTTCCTTTCGAGATTGGTGTATTTTCCATCTTGATGCTTTTCTTTGACAGGATGAAGAAGATTCATCACATGACATAAAAGATCAGCCCCTATCTGTTGTATAGTGATATGTCATTAATCACTTTGTACCCATTTTTGAGATCTTATGCATTAACACCAGTGGCTTTGTGTATTGTAAACTATGAAGGAACATAAATTGAGTTGTAAACCACGGCTTTATTCTTTTCACCTGCAGCGAGATTATATGCTCTCCTTCCAACTAATTAAACGATCCCTAGACAGTGATAACACATATTCGCAATCCGTGAAAAGGAAAATAGTAAACCAAGATTGGCTTGATCTGCATATCCTGAAGTTGATCTTCTTCTACGAAGGGGCAGTTAAGTACTCTACAACAACACCACATAAAGCAACGAAATTTCATTAGATCAGTAAAACAATTCATCTTTCTTGGGGCATCTAATCCCCTTAGTGCTTGTGGAGGAACCTAGCAAAATAGGAACTATTTGAGGTGGAAACCGCTGGAAGCTAGAAGAAAATAGTCTGCAGAAACAAGAAACCTTGTGTGTACAAGCTTTTTGGTACCATTCAGTGCAAAATCAGGAAGATCACAATTTATTTGCTCTTTGCTCGCCAGGAACTTGGTGTTTTGTGTTCTTATAAACGTCAGTTGCAAGAGAAAAAGGTCAGAGGTGGAAATACAACGGACAAACACTGCCACAGGATTGGTCATGATCCAGTCTTCTCAAGCTTGTCAACTTCTTCACGGTGCTTTCTTTCAGCTTCTTGACGTTCTCTTTCTGCATCCTCCTCATCCTCTTGGTCATCAAGATCCTCAAATTCCTTACTTGCAGCCAAGGCTTTTACAACCGGATCTCTCAGTTCAGAAATGATGTCACCGCCAACCCTATATTCTTCGTCATCCCCAACTAAGTAAATGCGCTGATCAGGTCCTCTTGCCATTGGAATATCCACAGCCAATAGCTTCATATCATACTGCAGATGGTCAAACAATCACGGTCAAACAACAACACTTTGATCCTGAAGAAATTACAAATGAATGTTTATCGTTCTTCTCTAACACAGTTTTTCCTGCCATATATCCCATGGAGGGAAATATGAATACACCAGCTGCTTACTAGAAGTGACACTTTAAGTCAAGCTTATGTCATGGGTTAGTAGCCTGAATAAAGTGTACTCAGAATAATATTGTGTAAGCTTACACAATTTGACACCCTTTTTTTACTTTCAGAACCCAGAAAGAATAACAGACGACTGAAGAGAAAAAGGAGACACAATAGTAAATGCTGGGGAACGAGTTATATTGTACTAAATCATATATTTTAAACAAGCAACTTCAACAAACTCAGGGCACGAACTTGCTGTTGACGTCTTCCTAGAAGAAACAAACAAGGAGGCCAGATGTCCATGAAATGCGCCAATAAAGGCTTATATAACCAGGTCAACGAAGTTTTGCAGCATACAGAAAAAGGAATTCAAAAGATAGAATCAGCAAGTTCAGAAGATCACCTGGCCTTTCTTGTTCTTAACCTCAACGTTTACTAAGCCTTTCCTCTCAGAACCTCTGATTGGAAAAATGAGAAAACATCTTTTGCTTCTCAGCCTTGGCTTGAACTTATTCAGTGCAATGCCACCTCCAGACATTACATATGCTCTTAAATCTGTACCCGTAAGTGGAGCACCCATAACCTCCAGAATTCCAGCAGATGTATTAAGTTTTCTCATGGCCATTCTGTAAACGCGATCAGGATTGATTGTGTATCTTGAACGTAGATACAAGCCCTGATCATTGACAAACATAAATAAGAGCAATGATGCTTTAATATTAAACAGCAAAGTAACACACTTTGTCCGACCAGTTATATTATCAAATAATGCCAAAAGACTTGCTACTGAGCTCCCTGACAACAAAGCTCTTAAATTTGCAACAGATATGAAATGTGTTATGTATTGAAAATCCCCAAATCCCAAGCAGTAAAGAGATGATAACAACACTCACGGCATTCGATTGAACAATGGAAACAAAAGAGCTCTTATAGAGCAATCATTTTTCACTTAAGCCAAGGGCACAAAATCCAGGACAAGTCTAAGTCATTTGAATTCGACAACTAGCTTACAGATACGGAAACTATGAAGGGCAAAATAAAGTGTAATTTGGCCAGGAAACACATTGGTGGACCATATCCAAAACTGATTTCGCCTCTAACAGCGTAATTAAAACTCAGCAGTCAGCATTAGGGATCCAGGGCACTGAAAAACATAGAGAACAAAGGGTTCCAACAAAAAACATTGCAACACTAACACCAACACCTCAAATACTGCATCACATAGTTTGCAAAAAGAACCGAAATGAAGTATACTTCTCACAAGCTAACAAACAAATGGTAAGAAGAACTCACAAAAAATGCCACTATAGCAGTGGAAAGTGCAAGGAAACCATATTTAGCCATGCCTTCGGACAATCCAACAAAAGTATTCGCAATACCAAACATAATCCTCCAAAGAGTGATGCACACCACAACCCCTCCGGCACCAACAAGCACCAGCGAATTCCTTTTCCAAAAAGCGTCAATCTGCAGACCGACTGCCTCCCTATACTTAGAAGCAACATTCTTCACAGCTCCCGCAGCATTTCCCATAACTCTTTTCCCAGCATCTTTCTTGGGCAGAGCAGAGAAGTACCTCAGCCCAACAAAATTCCAACAATTCTGAGCCAAATTGGGCGTCGGGTTGTGGATCTTCTGACTGGGATTCTGGAAAATCCTTGACAGTGGAGTGGAGGAAAAGTGGGTTCTCTGAGAATTGCTTAGCCATGGTGACAAAATGGGATCCCGAATTAATCTTGGCTGATAGGATAAACACTTAGATATGCCACTGGAAGTAGTCAGATCATTTGGGTTAGCGAGAGATGATGGTTTTGGAGAACACCGACGAAGGTAGGTGAGGATCAATCTCGATGATGAGGGTTTTGACATTTTTCTATGATGAATTTGTCGTCCAAACAAGTCCTCCAAAATTCAAAGAAATGCACAACAAATTCTAAAGTCTCCAGGAAAAAAACGAACCAATATACCCAAATCTGAAAATGGGGAAAACCATGGAGTCGTGAAATCAAAAACTGTTTTCAATTTGAAGGCTAGCTTAACCCTCCGTCTGAAGTTCCGAACCAGTGAGAACTGAGAATGAGCTTAGTTCTTTGGAACGGCAGCAGGAAAATGTCATGGGCTAAACTGGCAAATATCTTGAGCTTACAAGTTACAATATGGGCTCTTTGATTGGCCTTTTCAAGATCTGTAGTTCTCATCTTAGAACTCTTTCATGATTCTTCAGAGCGTTATTCCTTTCCACGACGTCAACTATCGTGGGTTTTGGTCCTCCAGAAGGAAAGCATTGTGGGCTAAACGGGCCCATGTCTTTTGCATACGAGCTGTAAAGTGGGCTAACTGATGGGCCTCTTTAAAAACGGTAGTCCCCCATTTCTCAATACTCTTTTTACCATGCTTCAGAGTTCCACGCTTTCAGGTGTCATACAACACGCTTTATGTACCTCCCTCAAAGGTGGAACAAGAGAATTGACAGCGAAACATTTCTCATTTTGTTCCGCTACACCGCCCGGAATCGGAGGACAGGAGCAATCGGAGATAACGACTGATAAAGCCGGTGATGAAGATCCTTCACATACCGTGTTTAGACGATAACTACTCTTACTTGTAGTCCTTCATCCATCATAGCTTTCCTCCTTTTTTTTCTGTTTTTAATTTCTAAATATTTTACCCTTTCCTTGAGAATTTTAAGCTTTGCTGGAAAGGAACACATCCAGAACGAATAAACTTCGACTATGTCAGGTGTAAGCATTAATAGGAGTAAGAAAAGATGGAACTTTGATTTGACTTGGTGTAATTTTCAGGATAATTGATGAGGCCACGAATGAGGCAGCAGCAGTGGACCCGGCTGAACCCCATAAGATTTTTGGGGTTGCACAGGAGAACGGCGTTCACCTTAAGTTCGTCCTTACTACCCACCACCACTGGTCAGTCTCATTTATTTCTTTTGTTCCCGTTATCTCGTTTGTTACTAGTTTCAATGGTGCGGGCTGAATTGTTGGTAATATAAGGATGGTCAAATTGTTTAAGCTGCATTTATCAGTGGTTTTGGTAGATTACTTGGTTGAGGAGTGATTGATCTTATGATAATTGGATCAGGGACCATGCTGGTGGAAATGACAAGATTAAGGAGCTAATTCCCGGGATTAAAGTGTATGGCGGTTCTGTTGATAATGTCAGAGGTTGTACAGATAAATTGGAAAATGGTGATAGAATCTCACTGGGGGATGAAACCAGTATATTATCCCTTCACACACCTTGGTACGTTGCTAATGAATCAAGTTACACTAAATTCTGATCAGAGTTGTGAATAATATCACTCACTGCTCCCTGACTTGTGCATGTTATTGAAGTTTGATGCTTCTCTCCCTCAGATTGTTACATGTGCAATTAGCTCATACGTATTAGATGTTACATCTGTCGATGGCTGATAGTTTACATGAGGGCGTTAGGCCAGCTAACTTGAAATTGAATTCAAATTGAGTTTGATGCTTCACGCATGGCCTGTGATTATATCGTGAAATGTGCCCATGCACCCTTGAAACCTTTTCAATCATAGAATATTGTTGATGTCTGCAATCTTTTAGTACACTGAAGAGTCCTTTTTTCATGTTGCTTTATCAAGCTTGTATCGCACTCCCAATAATCCTTTTTTCTGTGTTGTTAACTTTTACCAGCCACACACTAGGACATATAAGCTATTATGTTACTGGGAAGGATGGAGAAGATCCTGCTGTCTTCACCGGAGACACACTGGTGAGCTCATATTTAATGTCATTTACCAGACAACTATACCACTTTCTACAGGGCATAATAATAGTCTTTTTTTTTCAGTGTAGTTTTGAAACAGGACTAGTATTATTAGATTCGAATTTAGAGGAGTACTTGCTTTCTGTGTAGAATGCTTTGACGCATCGAGCATTAATTTTCCAAGTTGAGACATAGAGATAAATGATTTAACATCGACCATGATACTGAATACCGTTCTAGCTTGATTTTCTCACATGACCCTAGACATGTGAGATATCTGCATGAGCTTACTTACCCAGCACGGGTTATCCTTTAGTTTCGTGTTTGCCAGTTTCTGATTTCTCTCGACCACTTGGAGCTGGTTGATAAAGGAAAAAAAAATTCAGATGATCAGCCAGTGTGCAAAAATTTGGATTTTAGTTGGTGTAATGGACTTCCCGATGATGGATTGTCTTGATAAAGCTGGTTCTTTGTCTCAGATGTGTATTGATTTTGGCTTTTATAAGAGATACGCTTTAGTTCCTCTAATAGACGACATCTTTTTCTTGCTGACTTCTATCAAGCCTTATATTTATTTGTCGAATATGGTATAATTTGTGTGGTGGAATATTTCTATTTTGCTACATGTGAGCCTCTTCCAATATAAAAATTTGCTCCTATTGTCCAGAAAGATTATGCTGATCTTTGGCAGTTCTGTCAATCTGCAGTTTATTGCTGGTTGTGGTAAGTTTTTTGAAGGTACTGCAGAACAAATGTATCAATCCCTGTGTGTGACATTGGGTTCACTACCAAAGCCAACAAAAGTTTACTGTGGTCATGAGGTAACTTATCAAATTTTTATGAAGTCTATATTATTCTTATAAAGGCTTTCGCTGAAGATTATTGTGTATGAATCTGCACAAAAGACTATTATGTTAATGGGGACCAAGTGCGAAGTTATTCCTCTGATGTGTTTGGGACTCCTCATTTGTAGTAATTTATAGACGATGCAGCATATTTGCAACTAATGCCTGCTGTTTACATTCCACCCTGTTTAGCTACCCGGGAATAAGCCAGTGACCTAATGGATTAGAAATTTGTTGCAGTACACAGAGAAGAACTTGCAGTTCGCTCTTACAGTTGAACCTGATAACGAGAAGATCAAGCAAAAATTTTTATGGGCTGAACGACAGGTAAGGACAGGCCTTCCAACTATTCCATCGACGATTGAGGAAGAACTGGAGACAAACCCATTCATGCGTGTTGATCTTCCGGAAGTTCAGGTATCCTCAATTCATTTATAGAAAAGGCAATCCCTCTTCTTTACTTCCATGATCGTGAAGATAGGCACAATTCCTTCTGGCGTTCAAATGTTCATCTGCCTTGTTTTCATTATGATTGTTTAAAGAAGCTCTTGCTTAAATCCACAGGAGAAAGTTGGTTGCAAGTCGCCTGTTGATGCTATAAGGGAGATCCGGCGGCTGAAGGATGCCTGGAAACCGACCAAATGAAGCTTAATGTGATCCTGTAATATGCGTTTCAGTCCTCCGGTCTAAAAGTGTCCCAGAATGTAATAATAACCTGGAAGTTACGTTTGTCCAAAATGTAATGTTAGTCTTGGCTTCCAGCTCCACTGAAATTGCTACCTTGCCTTGTTGGGGCCAGCCCAATGAATGTAAACCTCTAAATTCTGTTTTTCTCCACAATAAAAAGCATATGTGCATATTATAACGGCAGCATGAGATTTTGTCGATGGTTAATTTGTATCAGATGCACCTATAGTAGTGCATAACAGTAGAATAGTAATGATAAGACAGTAAAAGGTTTTTTATTCCTTTCCGTCCCATTTAATTAGTCCAACTTAGAAAAGGGGAGTGAATCAGCCTCCTTCCGATATTCAAAAACAGCCACTTGGACTTGGAGAAACTTCAGGTACATCTGATCAGGGTAAACATTTCTAGACCTTTGTTCATGTGAAATCCAGAACTTTGTCGACCGCACCCACGTCATGTATCTTAGAACTACATATTCATCTTTCTCTTCTCAAATACCAGTCCACAGCACAAGTTGCATACAAATCGAGCTGGTTCGAAGGCAATAAACTAAGACCGGAGAGATGAAGATAATTCCCATCCCTTGTCTGGAAGACAACTACTCCTACTTGTACTAAACAAAACAAAGAGCAATTTTCAACGTTTCAAGAGTTAGTAATAGTGACGTCCCCTGAAGTAATAACTGCTAACATTGCTGATGACTCGTGGTGCAGGATCGTTGATGAAGTTAGCAGAGAAGGAGCAGTTGTAGACCCAGTCGAACCACAGAAAGTGGTTGATGTTGCCGAGGAAAACTGGGTTGACCTCAAGTCTGTCCTCACCACTCATCATCACTGGTACTCCAAAGTGACTTTTGTTCCTATTTTTTTTTAAGTTCTGGGTTAGGACAGTAAAGCATTTTTTGGTTGATTGATTGGGGGAATTTTGGGATGCAGGGATCATGCAGGGGGTAATGAAGAGATGAAGAAGTTGGTCCCCAAGATCAAAATTCATGGTGGAATCTATGATAATGTGGCGGCCTGCACTCACCCAGTTAGAGATGGTGATAAGTTACTGATTGGAGTTGATACCTTCGTTACATGTCTTCTCACTCCTTGGTTTGTATCAATTAATCATAACACTTTATTCTTTTTGGGTTCCAAATTAACTACCAGTTAGTTTCTAAATCAAGGTATTTTATGTCTAATTGATCTGGTTAGTCACACCAGAGGCCATATCAGTTATTACGCCACTGGAAAACAAGGAGAGGAACCTGCTGTTTTCACCGGAGACACAATGGTGAGTAGCTTTTCAGCCCCAAATCAGAGAGAAGAATGGGAAAGATCCCCTGTTTCTTGAAAGATCAATGTCCTGAAATTCCTTGATTTCTGTCACCTTGTTCATGCAGTTTGTAGCAGGATGTGGCAAGTTTATGGAGGGAACCGCAGTGCAGATGCACGAATCTCTGTGCAACATTTTAGGCGCTTTGCCCAAATCAACCCGGGTTTACTGCGGTCACGAGGTATCTATCCTACACACTCATCGTTTTTCTGTGTGTTGATAGCGCGATGATGAATACTTTTCGACAGCAATTGTGATCCCATTTGTGAAAGATTACAATTCACATTTTAAAAGTAATAATGAATGATTTGGACCATTTGGTGAATTATATTAGTCTGTTCTGCGAAGGGATGATCCTATTGATTGATGAACTCCATTAGTTATTAAACATTTGTGCCGTTAACACATGGGGCAGCTGGATATATTATTGATGCTTATGTGGAGCTAATTAATGGGGATTTTTTGTGTTCATGCAGTACACAGTAAAGAACTTGCAGTTCGCCTCCGAAATCGAACCTGAGAATTCAAGGATAATAGAGAAGCTGAAATGGGCTAAGCATCAAAGATCAGCGGGACGTCCAACTGTTCCATCAACCATTAAGGAAGAGTGGGAGACTAACCCCTTCCTGCGGGTTGATAATCCTGAGATTCAGGTCCTTGTCAACTTCAAATTATATGTTTCCTCCTCTGGTTTGTTTTTTTTATTACTTCTTCTTCCGTCCCGAAATGATATAACTAATGCATTAGTACCACATTTTTTGCCCTCTTTGAACTGGAAATCTTTTTATGAATATTGCAGAAGAAAGTTGGAACCGAATCCCCAGTGGAAGCTTTACAGGAGCTGAGGCAACGGAAAGATAACTGGAAGGCCTGAAACAATAAAAGTAGTCGCCGTGTCATTTTTGGTGACAGAATCAAGCAATCTATCCAACTTTTTTTTTTTTTTAAGATCCATTCCTAGCTCTATTAGTTACTCCCTCTGTCTCAAAATTATTGTCTTTGTTTGAGATTTCACTTTTAGTATGATTTGATTTAAAAATGAAAATCTAAACTGAACAATAATTCCAAACTGAACAATAATTATGGGACGGAGGCAGTATATGTTTAGGAGTAAAAAATAATCCTTTTGTCTAGACAAATTTAGATAATCGTTTTGGGAACAGTTGTTGTATGTAAGAATAAATCGTTTGTTTTTATGTATGGTACCTTTTTATAAATTTCAACTACTAAACCAATTTTATTATGTCATTTCCATTTAAAAATATTGTGATCACTTAACAGAAACTGATATAGAAATTTCGTTTCTAGATAAGCTGGATTATCGTCAATCAACAACTTAATTGACTTCTTTTTCCTAAACAAAAAAAAAATTATAAAACAAACGTGATATACGCGTTTCTTCCTAAATGCAATTACATGGGAATCTTTGATTATAATCAACCAATTTTGTCCTCCAGAGTCCAGGCAGGACCACTCATCGTCTGATCTTCCCATATTAATGGCGTTATTAATTTAAGAAGCTAATTATTCTTCTTCTTAATTTATACTCTGTGTTGATTTCATGACTTTTTAAAATTGTCTCCTCTACCATCCGATCGAGGTGTGTTCGCGTGGAGCCTCTTCCTTTCCCCTAAGTTTCACCCCACATGTAATAGATTAGATAATTGTAATTGTGTATTAAAAAAAACCACCATTAAAGATGCTCTAATTTTATTTATTTCGCTTGAATTATTCTTATGCTAATACTCATTAAGAACTTGATGTCTTGCTGGTTAAATGAGGCGAAGGAAGAGTTCCAAAAGGGTTAACTTAATTATATAGACGACCAAGTATTAAAGTTTCTTAATTACCCGCGTACTAGTTGCCTTTATTACAATGCCATTTCAACAATGAACGTTTTGAGGTTTCAGGTTAAGCTCTTCGAGTCAATTCCGATACCATATTTTAGTGTGAGCAGCACTTTGAGAATTTAACAGATTAATTAATTGGTCCAATATATTCGACATTTTAAGTGTGTATATCCAATAGCTGAAAATGACTATTACATCAATACTGTTTACATAGATTAGAGTAATCAGACATAATAACGTCGAAAAAGCATTAGAAATAAATTCAAACTGAAGTATTTAGACATTTGATACATTAAGTTTAAAGAGCAAAAATTTTGATGCAAAAGATGTGTGGGAAAAAATTATTTCTACAAATAAATTTGGTGTAAAAATACAGTGCAATAATTGGAGTTTCTATGGTTATTAAAATTTATTAGAACACGTTTTTTTCTCGCATTAATCGTCTATTATCGTCTATCTACATCCTCCAATGGGATATTCCATACACCACAATTACTGTTAAAAATAAAAAATAAAATCAGTTTAATGCAAATGTGGAGAGTGTCATGTTTTCCAATTCGCTATTCTTTAACTCCAAGCAAAGCGTTAGAAAAAGCCTTCGAATAAGGAAGATAAAGTTACATTATCTAAACAATTATTATCACGCCATTTTCATTAATGATTTTCTTTTCTTAAAGATGACAATAACTCAATTACACAGAACCCTTTATAATTACAAAAATTGGAATTTTTTTTTGGTTTCAAGCCTTAGTAATTTGGATATAGGATAAAAAATCATTCCGGGTTTAAAAAAATAAAAAATTGATGTAGGAAGAACACAAAAGAAAAAAAAAAAAAAGAACAAAGAAGATAGAGATAAATACCTAAAAGTCAACAACACACTAGGGTAAAACAACAAGTCAACACATTACCCGAAAATACATCGATAATTATATTTATTTACTTTTATTATTTTGTTGTTGTTAATAATAGAAAAGAATCTCTTCTCTTGCAAAAGAAGATTTTAAAATATCTGCATTGAAACTGAAAGCTACTAATACGGCATCGTATAACTGACTAATTCCAGTAAATCAACCAGGCCATTACGGCCACGCCCCCGTCCTTCTCTCCTCTGACTTGTTCGCTCTTCTTAGTTCTTTCCTTCCCAGAAACTTTCTTTCGCTTACTCCCAGCAAACAAATATCTTCTTCTTCCCCTAATTTCTTAATCTTCAAGGAATTCCCCCCTTTTCTCATCCTCTCCCTCCCAACAAAAATTCCCTTTTTTCCTTTTTGTCTTGTTGGGTCTGGGGTTGGAGCGGAAATTTTTGGTTTTTTACGGTATTAATAATTAGTTATGGAACCGTCAAATTCCCCTGATTCTCGTACGAGTTCCGGTGCCGGTTCCGCGCCGTCGTCTCCGCGCGATCCTATTAACGTTCCATCTTCAAGGAGCTACGGAATCCAATTTCCTCCGGCCCTGCGTTATCTTCGCACCCCACTCTCTTCCTTGCTCGAACACTCGGGTTTGTTGAGGGTCCGACCCGACAATTCCGAAGAAGCTGACCCTCTTGTTTTTGGCGGCGGAAGAATCAATAATAGCGATACCAATTTTAGTTCTAGCGGTGAGGCTACAATCGCCGCTGCGAGAAGTAGTAACGTCAGCAGTACCGGTAGTAATACTACCCCTTCTTTGAGTCCGGGTAACGGGGAGGTTTCTATTCGGATAATCGGGCCCGGGGAAGGGGATCGTGTTGGGTCAGATGACGGCGACAATGATTCGGCGTCGGCCGTCGGAGCCGTGGATGGAGTTGGTCAGGATAGGAATTTTGATGGGGCGGCCGCGGCTGGGGACTCCTCGATTGATGGGAATGGGGACAATGGAAGCAATAGGGGGGAGTCTTCGTATCAGAGGTATGACATTCAGCAGTTTGCCAGATGGGTTGAGCAGATTCTTCCCTTTTCTTTGTTGCTATTGGTCGTCTTCATTCGCCAGCACCTGCAAGGTAGTCTTACTTTCATTCTTATTTTAGTTTTTCTTATATTTTTTCGATTGTCTAGTGTAGGAAAGGCACTCTTGGTTTTGCACTAAAAATTTCATATGTGTTTTTGTTTTCCATATCTTTTTTTGGAATACTTAAAGCACAACTTAGGAGCTCAGATTATTATTTCACGTCTGAATAATTTAGGTTCTTAGGCTGATGTTGGTTGAAGTTTCGATTGACCTTTTCATTCCTGGTGTGTCATTTGTGCATAACATTTTCATAACCTTGGTGCAACCACAAGTTGGGCATTTATCCAACTTTCAATTTGTGAGTGCTTTTCTGAGCTGTTGTTGAAGGCAGCTCATGATACTTTTTTGTATTACTTGATCGATCTTTTAAGTGCATATTATCGTATTTTGGTAAGTGTTTGCGATCTTTTTTTTTCTGCATGTTCATGCGTAAATTAGAACTGTCAATTTCATGGCATAAGCCTTTCTGTACATATGTTGTTGTAAACTTCACTGACAAGCTAGTCCGCTTTCTTCTGTTCACTTGCTTAGCAAACATTAATTTAAGAAGTTTCTATTTCCAAGCATTGCCTATCTTTGCAAAAGGAATGTGGTTCTTCAGCCAAAGAGGAAATGCACGTGCTGTTTCTTTAGCTTCTTTGCTTTAAAGAATTGCATTTTTCAACTATCTTTCTAAACCTAACTATTTGCTTCTCCTGACGGGATTTGCAGGGTTTTTTGTCACTATTTGGATCACTGCCTTCATGTTCAAGTCAAATGACATTCTTAAGAAGCAAACAGCTTTGAAGGTTCCATTCTTTATCTTGTCCCTTTGTAGTGATATTTGTAACGGCAAGAATTTTATTCTTTGAAGGACATGTCAGGCAAACAAGATCTCAGTCCTAACTAAGTCTGGCTTTTTGTAGGGAGAGAGAAGGATGTTTGTCCTCATCGGTTATTTCATGGTCTTTATTCTTCATGTACTTGGAATCTACTGGTGGTATCGGAATGATGATATTTACTATCCACTATTCATGGTTCCTCCGAAGTCAATCCCACCTTTTTGGCATGCAGTTTTCATCATCCTTGTCAATGGTATGAACCACTCAACTGTTCATATAAATATTGCTAGGTCTCTTCTCTTTCCTCGTATTGATGTTATAATAGATGAACTATTTACCTTGAGCCATTACTTAGCACACACCTTGTTGCATATTTGTTCTTCACATGCAGTTTTAAGTATTAGAAATTTTGAATTATTTTCTTTTGGGACAATAGGTTTAGTGACAGATAATCGGTCAAGCAGTTTCTTGCGGAAATGTGTCACAAGAAAATCATTTATTTTGGACCACTTTAAGACTGTATTTTGCGACCTGGAAATTTCTCCATAACGCTCATTTACTTTTGTTACTTCATTTGGTTTATGTTTGGACTCTGTATTCCTTTCTTCTCTTCTCTTTTTGCTTGTACCATTAAGGCATTAACTCCCTTCCTTTCTTCTCTTTCTGCTTCTCTTTTTGCTTGTACCATTAAGGCATTAACTCCCTTCCTTTCTTCTCTTTTTCCAGATACAATGGTAAGGCAAACTGCTATGGCCGTGAAGCTGGCGTTGCTGATGTATTACAAGAATGGCAGGGGCCACAATTTTCGGAGACAGGTACCAGGGGTCACTGGGTACATTAAATAATACTCTTAATGTCCTCTAAATTCTTGTGTTCTAAATGCCAATTTGATTCTTCAGGGTCAGATGTTAACTTTGGTGGAGTACACATTGTTGCTATACCGTGCATTGTTACCGACTCCTGTGTGGTATCGGTTCTTCTTGAACAAAGAATATGGTAGTCTGTTTTCGTCGTTGACAACAGGATTGTATCTGACATTCAAGCTTACATCTATTGTTGAAAAGGTATCCCCGGTTCTCTATAAGGTCTCTTCTACTTCAGCTCAAATTTTTGAAGTGAATTGTTTTATAAATTGTGCTTTTTTGTCCCTTTCCTTTTGCTGTTATTTCAGGTGCAATCCTTTCTGGCAGCCTTGAAGGCATTGTCTAGAAAAGAAATCAATTACGGGTCTTATGCCACATCTGAACAGGTACAATGTCTCCCAATGTTAGTTACTACTGAATGAATGAACATCTGGTTCTTAGTCAACTTAATTGTCTTGAATTGACCCTGTAATTGTTCAACTTCTTAAATTCTTGTATGTGTTATTGGCTGGATACACAAAAGTCTATTTTGCATCTTCAAGCCTATTACTAGGCAGACTTAGGTGTTTATAATTATTTTTTAGGGGAATTGGGATGTTAATTATTACAAATGGAAATGTTTGCTGAAACAAAATGGGGACTGACATTCTGAAATTAAACATTGCACAACAATGTGATCAATGCAGGTACATGAAGCAGGGGATTTGTGTGCCATATGCCAGGAGAAGATGCATATTCCAATTTTGTTACGCTGCAAGCACATATTTTGCGAAGACTGTGTGTCAGAATGGTTAGTGATTTTTCTTTCTTCTGCTGCTCGGATATTTTGCCCAATATGCCCCTTATTGTGACAAATATTATGATGTGCTTTCCTCGTTTTGGATAGCATTCATTATCTTGCTGGGATTATTCATGCTTTATATATGATCTGGAAGAGGAAATGAAACTTTGGTGTGTCTTTAGTGTGTGATTGGACATACGGTTAAAATGCCCACCTCCTTCCATCCTACTTTAAATTCAAACTATCTCATATTACAATCTTTATCTTTGTAATCTGGAGCTATTGCTGTTAATTTGAACTATGAAATAGTGACTACTAGCTGATTTACTGCTTACCTGACCAGTTTGAAATGAATGACTTTCAGGTTTGAAAGAGAAAGAACTTGCCCTCTCTGCAGGGCACTGGTGAGACCAGCTGATTTAAGGTCATTTGGAGATGGTTCGACAAGCTTGTCTATCCAGATGTTTTGAAAATTTTGATACTTTTCTCACCGGCAGATCTCCCCTGTGGTCACATTTTCCTGAATGTGCTTTTCGGCTGTATGTGCGCCGAATCATCATCTCCATCTCCATCTCCCTCGCCCTACTTGGTCATCTTTGAAGAAGGTGCTCCTTTTTGGTGGGATTGCTTTTATGCATTGGACAGAGGAGACTCAGAGGATCAAGAGCAGTATATAGTCTAATCCTGGATATTGTATCGCTTTAGCAATTGCAACTGTAAATGTAAATTTCAACACTAGACACAAAGGAAAAAAAGAAGGGGGAAAAGAGAGACGTTTCATTTCTTCTTGCACTTCTTCCATTTGAGATTTTGTTTGTGGACACATTATTTTAACATTTTGTCCATAGTGCTTTCAAGATGAGCAAAAAAAACTCAATTCTGGGTACCTTGTCTATGTTTTTTTATTGGGAAAATGTTAAATTGATGCCTAAAACTTTGATGGGTTGCAATATCATTGTAGAGTCACTATTGTGATACTGTTATAGTTTGATGCATAAGTTACGATTATTAGCTGTTTATCGCTTGTCATGCTTTTCTGCAGGGTAGGAGGCAGCAACAGTTAAAAAATGTGCTTTTAAGGGTGGACAAGATAATTGGACATGCACGCATGGAGTCTTCTCCTAATAGTACTAACCCCTTCTCTAACCCTTTCTCTGTAGATCGCACTCATGTAATATTTTAGGCAATTGTAAGTTGGTTCTTGGTAAAAAAATTAAAAAATAAAAAAAATGTCCTTTTAATACGAGACCCCATATTGTTGGAAGAATGCTAATCCATTTGGGAGGATGAGTATTTTAAGAATTACACAAGGGCCATAATAAATTCAGGATAAATTTCCCCATCAAATAATTAGAAGAATTGGAACGAAAGTAATGTTACTTATTAGTTAACCTCTTGGCCCGGAGATAAAAAATATTAAGGTACCGATCCGATCTAGTTGGTTGTCCATTGCGATCATTCTTAGGACCAACTGGGTTTTGCAAAGGTCAGGTTGTCTTTGGATTTTCTACGTAGCGTGGTACCGGCATAGATAGGGACTTGTGGGGAGGGCAACGAATTACGCCAATTCTACTCGTTCTTAATTTAAGGCGGCTGAAACTTAGGATAACGTATTATATGATTGATTATTTGATGCACACAATTTGTTAACATAAACTGATTTGCATGTGAAAGGTTTTGTTTATTTACTTATTTTTTCGGGATTGAGTATATCAACTAACGTCCAATTGGGTGGGGGTGGCGTTATATATAATTGTTTTGTTTCCTTATCAACGGATATTTGGATTGGAGGGTATCCAAAGAAAGAACTACTGAAAATGAACCACTTAATTAACACTAGAAAAATGTAGAGGTAACTATCATCAAGCTGGTCACGCTTTTCAGTCCCCCTCCAGGAAATAGATTTAGGCCATCACATTCATTAAAAAAAATGTATTCTTTGGTTAACATCATCATTCCCTACATGATTCAGATGTGGAGGGGGTATTAATGTGCACATATTCGAAGCGATATTAAAATTAAGTAAATGTTGAACCAGTACGAGTGTCTTAAAATGTTGGAATGATGAAATTTATTCAAGAAACAAGTTTTTCTTTTTTTTTTTTGGAAAACCAAAAAACAAGTTAGTAACAACTTCATAAGTACGTATCCAAGTTTAATTCTGACGAATTATTTATACTAGTAATTTAGTATGCAACGATTTGGATGAATATTGTGGATACAATGTTGGAGATGGAACGAATAAATAATAATGGGAAAAAAAATATGGTCTTTGAAGGGTAAATGACATGATGATTTCATTTTCGTCCCTGGCGTAGCTTTAATAAGGAGGTCTAAATTTCTGATCGGCCAATTTTGTTGACTCATGGGATCCAACTGAGGCAAGAAGATGTGTGAAATTGAGGATACCCCGGCGATATGTTTGTCTCTTTGTTTGTGAGCGCCTGTTTCACTTTTCCCTCGTCTTCTCTTTTATAAGCTTTGATTTGAATTATTGACATTTTGACATCTACCGGACATCACCAATATTTCAATTACGTTGAACCAAAGTGTGGCCTTGTGTGTTCCTCGTTCAAGGTGGCACGCCAAGCCGGTCGGTTGCTTTTTTGCCGATTTCATCTTTTCGGCAATTCTATTTTCCCCCCTCTATCCATCCTTGTAGATTATTTTTCTTTTGGGGACAAAAGTTAAATAATATATATACTCTCTGCCTCGAAATAATTGTATAATTTACAATATCATTTTTACTATAATCTGAACTAAAACTGAACATTTCAAACTGATCAATCATTTCGAAACGGAAGAAATATAATAAAAGGATAGAATTTTCTTAAAAAAAAATACCATAACACGGGAAAATATTTACTTGCATTTCAACTCATTAGTAGAAAGTAAACCTTAACTATTCCATTATTGCATAACTACGTGCTTCCCGTGTGATGGAATTCTCACCACTATTCTAATCACCACAAGACATTTGCCTAACTTGGGTTTGTGGGAGGGAACGAGGGCGGGTTAGTTTCTGTAGCTCTTTTTTGGAGGTATTTTGCCATACGGAAGAAAAAAGTGTATTAAAAATTGGTCCCCGTTTTTAAACTCAGGTGTACATTCAACTGTAACACGTGGTCAAACTTTATTACAGTAGGCCATCCCCTGTCTCTCTCTTTTCTTTTTTCTTTTTTTTTTTGTGTTTGAGTTTTTTTATAAATTCTTGGCTACAGAAAATATAAAAAGGGTACATTTTCCTTTTGCTGGAGAGCAATTCCGTCACTCTCTACTCGGCTGCATTAGGCAATCGCTACTATTTCAGGCAGTACCGACACATACAGTGTCTTCCACATTCTTGCCGTCTGGCCCTCAAACGGGAATTTTCCCAGATTTTATTTTATTTTATTCGGGACGACATTTACACAGTCACCACCGGACCTTATCATTTTGCATTTTGTTATATTTTTTTGATAAATCAATCATAGTATTAATAGAGTCTACAGAATAAGAGATACATGAAATATGAAATGAGATTGCGAGGCCCGATCAAAGTATATCATGCGTGTTCATTACCAAATCACTAAGATATTGTTTAAAATGATTTAAAACAGGATTAATGAGGCTTCACGCGTGCTTACTGCTTAGTACATATAGCCGACTCGTAACATTCGATTTCAAGTATACATTTTTTATATTAAAAAAAAAAAGAAAAGAAAAGAGAGACTAAAATATACTGGCCGAAGAATATAATAATTGCCGTGTTCTTTTTCACATTAGCCGGTGGGTTAGTAGTAGAATTTTTGAAAGCAAGTTGAGCTCGGTCTGATTTCTGACGGTGTAACCTCCGACAAGCAAAATGTACAAAGGTCAAATTGTTCCACTCCTTCAACATCACTGTTACTCTCTACAGAAAAGAAACTACAACAACGGTGGCCTTGGCTGTAGGGTATAATTAATATACCCTCTCATTCCTATACGACCTTGACCCCCTACGGATACTTTTGGTTACGTTTGATTTTTAATGCTTGCTCATAATCCATCGACCACCCCCACAATTTTCGACTTAGTTTTCCCCAAAAAATTCACACAACCTTCTTACGCACCCCGGAAGTAGTAAAGAAGGAAACGAACCAGACAGGAATCGAATCGTCCCATAGTGAACTGGGTCTTTGATCTTCACGTGAATAGATTGAGAGTTCGATTCCTACTGTAAATATTATTAGTGTAGTTAAATGCGCAAGTGACTTATAGTTCAAAACTACAGAAGATAAGACGTTACAAATAAGAGACAAACACAAGTGAAATTTCACAAGTAATATTATCTTGTCTTATTTTTTCAATAAATTCTATCGCGGTTGTAATAGCCTACTTTCAAATACCAATAAATACCGGTCTCAACACACAAAAAAAAAGAAAAGACGAACCACCGCCAAGCCAACCAACAACAGTTCCAACCCACCCCTTATCTTCCCAATCCCAGAAAACAGTGTACTTACTACTGTATATTGAAGTTAAATGCCGAATTTTTTTAAAAGAAAAACAAGAACGAAAGAAAGAAAGAGACCCTGCTTCAGTACTGTTCGGTGCCCACGCCCGCAAGAGATTAGATTTGTGCTCCTCACCTGCTGGCTTGGCTGTGGTGTATTTAATGTCTTCCTCCTGATGAACATCATCAGACAAGCCCCCAGAAAATGGAGTTCGGAATTTTTCCCTTTTTCCACCTTCAACTTGTTTTCTTCTTCTTCTTTCTTCTGACCATTTTGCAGTGCTTATTACTCTCTTCACTGTGCAGCTATAATGAAATGTGTGAAAAAATCCCATCTGACTGCATTTCTTCTTCCCAATCTCTCTGTTTGTTGTCTAATGGTGGTGAACTGGTGACTCTGTGTGTGTGTTTGTGAAAAAAGAAAAGATTTTTAACAATAGATCTCAGAGTCGCTTTCTTTACACTGACTCTCATGAAGAAAGCGACCCATCATCGTCTTCTTCTCTTCTGAATTAATGCAAACAATTGGCCTTCCGTTTTTCATGCGACCCATATGGCCCCTCTCCTCTACATATCTCTCTCTGCTGTTGTTCTACATACATGTGCCTCGTTTCTTACCTTATCTCATTTCATCCTTCCTGTAGTAATTCCACAACTCCCATCTAAAAATGCTTTGAATATCAGTTATCCAGTACAGGAAACTTTAGGGTTTATGCCAAGTATTCATAGCCCCATGAGGCCCACTAATGATTTTGAAGATCACTCAAGTTTATTATTGATTCGGTGTTGTGATTCAATTGATTTTATTAGGATATTTGCTTCTGTTATTAGCCCGGTACTCATTAGATTGGATAAAGTTGATTTGGAATTTGTTAATGTTAGTGCTTATGTGGTCCGAAGACCATCTTCAAAGTACATTTTTTATCTGTTAAATATTAGTTTGTACGAAGATTTAGTATACTGAAAATTCCATTCAATCCTTCAACATGATCGATCACAGATGAGAGTACCTTGTGTAAAGCTATCATCTTTGACCCGCGCCATTGATGTTCTTGTTCCTGGGTGTTTTCACTGGTTTATGGTTCTGTTACCTTCTTTGGTAAATTACTGATACTAGGGTTTGCAGAAGAGTTTGACTTTACCAGGTTGAGGAAAGTCTTACTCATAGGTTTTGTGTATGTGAATTTGCTTTTGAAAAAAAAAAAAAAAAAAGAAGTCACCACCACTTTATGTATCCTTTTGTTTAGTACATGTCTCAACTGTGTAGGTGTGGTACTTTTATGTCCTGTTCTTAGTGGATTTGGAGCTGAAGGGGATATGCAATTTGTGACTTCTTTGGTAATGCACGTAGCAATTAGGTTCCCGTTGCCAAATTTCAATGCGAGAAAACCAGTTTCAGAACTTTCATCATCAACACTTAGCACCTATTTCCTTTTACTCTCAGGTAAGTATAATCCACCACAAATCTTCAGTATGAGTTTTCCTGATATGGCTTTGTTTTTCATCTTCCTTGTACTTTTTGTTGTTGGATTACTTAAGATTTGGAATAACTATCTTGGAGCTTTGAGGTCTAAAGGTCAAAGGACAGCATAACTGATTCTGTAATTTTATGACCAGTAGTACTTGAAGGGAATGTTGGCATTTTGAGTATTTTTCATCTTCTTTAGTCCTTGATGTTAATCAGACTTTCGATTGTTTGTAGTACCGGTAAGCAGTAGCTACCATAGCTGATTATATGAGTATCATCTTGTTGATTATTTTGGCGTCTTATGATGACTTTCTTCCATCAGATGTTTGTTCTTCACAATGAAAATCGCAAAGCTGTGTATTGTAGTTGAATTAGTATTGTTGCATAAAATTTAAGCAAACTGATGAGCTTCGAGTTATGTTTTGCATATTTCATGTTAGTTAACTCCTAATTTAGTTTTGATAGTTTACTATGCCAACAATAAGAAATGGTCTGAGAGAGCTTCCTTCAGCCCACTCATGGATGAGATCAGGAGTTGAATTAGCTGCCGACTCATTCATTTAACCACTCAGTAGAAAAAGGATGGAGTTTGTGCTACTGTGATTGAGTGAATGATGCGGGAGATAGTTTTCTACCGGCTCCGTCTGTGCTTGGACTGAAGGGAGCTCCCTCCTATTATTTCTCTGCTTCTTCTAGCAAATATCTTGTTAATCGCTTCCAGATGACAAGCTGGAGGAATCCTCATTTTCAGGTCTGTTTTAGCCTCTACTCCTAGAAAACTCATGGAATTGCTTCGTTTAGTAACAATGCCAGCTTAATATATTATTGATAATACTGCTTTAGTACCAACTTGCCCTACTGTTAACCTCTTTTGTAATCTTGGCATTTGTTTGTTTTGATGCATTTTCACCTATGCCAGTAAGCTGCTGGCTAGCTAGCTTTAGTCATACTGATATTTAGGTAATTAAAGAACATGGTGTCAGCCTGATTCAGATTTGATCTTCCAAAATTTTTCCATAGTTACCACGTACCACCAATTGCATTGGAGGTAACAGACAATTCAACGGCCATACTTTGCAGCAGAAACATGTCACCGGTGGAGGGGCCAACACAGTGCATGCAAAACCTGGAAAACCGCAGAATGTGTCTGGTGATAAAGTGCTACTACTTGATAACAATGGAGTCTGTTGTATTCTATTACAACAGATTTACTCCTTCTGGACCATCCAAGTCTAACAGATCATTGCATTGAAGGTATCCTTGCTGTTTATATAGCAAGCCCTGAATCATCATCATTCCCATTTCTCTACGTTTTGTTAGTTCTTCTGGCTCATTTTTTTGGATCGGAGTCATTGTTGGTTCATATCTAGGAGAAATAATGAAGTATTCTTCTATCATTCATCACTTTTCTTGAAGGAATATGATGTTCCAGAGCCCTTTTTGTGGAAGTATGTGGAAGGGAGTTCCTGATGCCTGTTAAATTATTGCACATTTTTGCATGGCGATTCACAAAGGGAAGGAAGAAGTCGAGGTTTTAGAGTAATTGAATAGTGACAAATGTTGCTTCTTTTGTTTCTTCAGGACCACATTTCAACTAATTGCTTATGTACCATTTCTTTGAATAATCAACAAGTTGGTCATCAAAGTACAGAGAGAGTTATGTGGTGATATGGGGCCAAGAGTCTTAAGTTGAGGTTTTACCCTGCTTTAATTTTTATTGGGAAAAGTAATAAACCTTTGTTGTCCAAATAATGAAATAAAACAGCATTATCGTCAATTTTTGGTGTTAATCTTAGTACTTTTAGCACATCATTTTAAGGAGTTGCTTCATGGGAACTGTACCAGAATTTGATTTTGCCAAATATGGATGGGGACCAAGTCACAAGGGAGAACCCTGTTAGGGAAATTAGCTTTTGGAGTTTGATCTACTAATTAATTACTTTTATTTATGTGGGGCGTGCCATTTTTATTGAGAAAAACAATTAGATTCCGTTTGTAGGGTGGTCCCTTTCTATTTTCTTTCACCGACGTTTGTAGAATGTAGAGTGGAATCAAATCACTTTTTTTTTTTAAAAAAATTAAATTTTCTTTTGTTTGGATAAAAAAAAGGTTTTGGTAAATTTTGTAGGATGGTCCCTCAATTACGTTAACATCTCGTTGAAGTACAATTTTATTCTAAATTTTACAGTATTTTGAGGTATCCATTTTTCAATTTGTTCTAAATTTGCTACTAATTTAAGGTTTTAATGGCAAGGATGAGATGACGAGGAAGGAAGTATTATTACAATTTGTTAAACTATCGCTACTTGTTATATCATTGCCTTTCAGTTTCTGGTCTGTAAAAATCTTTAACATGTGAGCTCCAATTGAACATCCATATCAACTTACTGAAAGAATCCTGACTAAAGTCATAGTACTTGACATCCAAGATGTTTTTTCTTCTTCTTTTTTTTTTTTTTTTTTGGGTGTGTGTGTAGGTACACATTTAAGTTTTTTACATTTCAAACAAAAAATAAAAAATTAAGGCTCTGTTTAGAATGTTTTTTTATGTTTTTTCTGAAAATAATTAAATAAAACTATCCCATCCCAACATACCTTTTTACATTCCTAATACACTTTTTTACATTCTTAATACATAAACACCTAAAAAATCCAAACATAGCCTAAATACTTGTGCTTGTTTACACTAATAAAACGACAAAAAGAACTTGATGAGTTGGCGCGAAAAGAACTTGATGCAGTATATTTCATTTTCTATTTGATTATCGGTTTTCATAACCCTATTAAAAATTAGAAATGATAAAATTTTGCTAAAAAGTTTCAAAAACTTAATAGCGAACAGTTTTTAATATTTTAATTTCATTTATTTATTTATTATTTTAATAAATAATAGTTAATTACATGAATTATATTTTATTATTCTCATTAAAAATATTTATTACCGAATTCATTTGCACTAAAACACAAGGAACAGTTCTACGAGAATAAATATAACACACATTATAGTAATAAATTATCATGTCCACGTCCTACAACCAACGTGGATGTAGATGCAGACAGTATTTGGTAGTGTACTCTATTTTTCAAATCATTGATTTTCATAAGCAACTAAAAATTAGATGCGCCAAAACAACAATTATCAAAATTTAACCATTGGCTTTCCAAATGCCGATTGTAAAGATTGTTTCTTTAAAATATTCGTTCATTTTTCAATAATATTATTGTGTATTAAGTAATTAGTCTTTATTTTAATATCAATTTCCAGATTTTCAAAAAATAAAAAATGCAGTCATTTAAATAAAGCCTACAAAATTTGATAATAGTTCTAAAATATAACACCAAAAAACAGTAAATTATCGTGCCCATTTAAAGAAGGTTTACTCTGTTTTCTATTTGGTCGTTGGGTTTTATAAGTCGAATGAAAACTGGACGAAATCTGAAAATTTATTGAGGAATTTAACATATCGAAAAGTTCCTTGTTTGACATATATTTAATGTTCATTATCAGTATTAATGTAAACCGCCGCGTCACGTATCATTTATTTTTTTTTGTTAAAAATCTTGACGTTGAATGTCTCGTCAACGTAATGAAATTGATGATAAAGTCGAACAAAATTGTTTACATCATTTATATGAATTTTGATTGTGCCATGTAATTTAATTAGTAATAATTGTTTTCTGTGTTCCAAGTCCATTTTTCACATAATAACCTAGATATATACTACTGGACTACATTAGTTTTTTTTTTTTTTTTTTTTGAAGCCTTGCTTTTTTTTTGTTTTTTAATTTTATTTTCTGGGCAAGTTTGATTTTCCGTATTTTTTAAAAGATGAGAGTGTAATAAAACTACAGAAATAATAATTGACCAATCATTTTGGCACACCTGTCCGAAGGAGTAAAATAAATAAAAATTGCTCTCAGATATTACTAGTACTGACAAAACGCGCCGTTTCCCACCACTTCAAAGCCTTCTCCTTCTGGGAGATCAAAACGTACGAATTATCGGCTTCTATTATAAATGCCTGAATCCTTAACAAAACTCGGGGAGAGGTCCCTCCTTCAGCTTTAAGTTGCTGTTGCAGTTTTTGAGGTAAAATCCACTCTGAATGTAAATTACTCGAATTTATGCATTTACTCATTTATGTTCTTTGATAATTGAGGATTGAGATTTTAGGGTTTTTTTTTTTTTTTTTTTTTTTTAACTAAGACTTTCATTCAGTCTATTCGCGTTGAATGCGAATTATTTGATTGTACTACGTCATTCTGATTCCTGAATGGATTCGCGAGAATCCTTTTGGTTTGATCATAATTCTGATGATTCCAGGCTCTGCTCTTTTTTTCTTTTATTTTTTCCCTTTTCTTGTGTGTAATTGAATCCATCATTGTGTACACGGAAATATTTTATTGTTCTTAGCGGTTTGTTTTTGATTACCTGTAATTATTGATTGGCTAGCATATGAGATTTTTAGCTCTCTAAGGGACTGACTTCAATTGACTGTAGAGATTTGATCGCATCACTGATGAGAGTCATGAAAGTATCATCCGCTGTTGCATTCATGTGTTTTTTGATCGTTTTATTTCAGAACTATCAAATGTTGTTATAATTGTGTCGCCAAGAATAGGATATGGCTGGCTTTAAGATTTTGTTCTTGTTGCTTAGAAATAGTTATGGAACTGTTATAGCATTCTGATTTGTCGGTACTTGTATGGCTTTCATACGTTTTCAGGTTATAGATTCATGACTGCTTATGAACGTCGGTTCATCTTCTCCCATGAGTTCTATCGTTTCTTCATCTCGGGGAACACTTTCACCTTCAGGCTTTGGTTCCTACGGCTCCCCAGCTACTGGGGCTTCTAGCCCTTTCGGCCACCCTGAACCAGGCATTAATGACAATGAGGATGCAGAACTGCTCTCTGTATCCTGGAATCAAGATTATGGGTGCTTCGCCGCTGGCACAAGTCGTGGTTTTCGCATTTATAACTGTGATCCATTTAAAGAAACTTTCAGACGTGATCTTAAAAGCGGGGGATTTGGAATAGTGGAGATGCTGTTCCGATGCAACATTTTAGCGCTTGTTGGTGGTAAATCCAACTCACAGTACCCTCCAAATAAGGTTATCATCTGGGATGATCATCAGAGCCGGTGCATTGGTGAATTTTCATTTAGATCTGAAGTTCGTGGTGTTAAATTAAGACGGGATCGTGTTGCTGTTGTCCTTGAGCATAAGATATACATGTATAATTTTATGGATCTGAAGCTCCTTCATCAAATAGAAACTTCAGCTAATCCCAGGGGGCTTTGTTGCCTCTCACACCAGTTAAACACCTCCGTGTTGGCTTGTCCCGGTCTTCGTCGAGGACAAGTTCGTGTTGAACATTTTGGCTTAAACATGACAAGACTGATCAAAGCTCACGATTCCCAGTTAGCTTGCCTTACATTAACGATGGATGGCCTGTTGCTTGCAACTGCTAGTACCAGGGGCACCTTAGTGAGAATTTTTAATACAATGGATGGCTCTCAATTACAAGAGGTATTATTCTATCATCAACTGTTATTATCTAAGCGCTTCTTCCTGGTCATGGGTCAATTGGTAAGCAAATGAGATAGTAAAGTGGATAATAGACATACTTTAAAATGTTTTCCTTTTTAGCATCTGACTTAGCCGCTCTTTATTTAGACTAAATATATCTTAATGCAATAGAAGATCTTGTTGGAGGATCTTCTTTTAGCTTTTGATCTTGCACTGTTAAATGTATAGCTAATGCTGGTCACTCATTTCTTGGTTTAAATTATAGAAAAGTAGGTTTTTGCAAACATGGAAAATTCTTGCTCAAAAATACAATTTTTAATGTTAATCAAAGTAAAATAAGCCATTCGTATACCAGGTTGCATGTGGAAAATTACAATATACACCCTTGTAACGGCTATTCATTGAATGGAACATTATTCACAGGAGTATTTCTAAATAGAAATATGTTACTAGATCGCACCAAACCACATTTAATGTTGGAGGATGACACGTATTCTTTGTGAAGCATTTCTCTTTTGTTTTTCTTTTTTTGCCCGTCTGCCAAATGTTTTGTCCGTCTTAATCAGAATGAAGTCAAAGTTAGAAAGGTTAATACCTGCAAGTTCAGTATCGTTATGGTATTTACTTTGTTTCTATGAAGCTTACTTATTTTGCTGTTTCTTTGTCTTCAGGTGCGGAGAGGAGTTGACAGAGCAGATATATATGGTATTGCTCTTTCACCTAATGTTCAATGGTTAGCCCTGTCTAGTGATAAAGGCACTGTACATATCTTTGGTCTCAGAGTTCGGGTGGTTGGGGAGGACCTTGCAACTGATCCAGGCACTGGTATGATTCCAACAATGTTCCATCAGAACTCTTCTTCTTCTCTTGATGCTCTCATTTCGCCTAGTACCGCTGCCAACCCTGGTTCATCATTGTCTTTTATGAAAGGTAAAAGTAGTTTTAAGGTTATGATACATCAGAAATAAAAATGTTGTTGGATTGTTGCAAATTCCTGAATGCTAAAGTGCTTGCCAAATATTGTTTATAGAAGCTGATTTTCTGATTGGGAAATAGTAGCCTTCGCATACTGATTCCATCACAATTTAAAGACGCTTCTGTAATGGAATACTAAAATTAATTTTTCCCATTCTTCTTTTTGTGCTCACCTATTTTAACGTTGCCCTTGGACCCTTGTATAATTTAATGGTAAGGATTTTTAATATTTTCCTTATGGGAATGTCCAAGTGGAATGAAATGGTAATTTTAAGTCAATGATTCATTTTCAGGGGTATTGCCGAGATATTTCAGTTCAGAGTGGTCATTTGCACAGTTTCGTTTACCAGAGACCACACGTTTCATTGCAGCATTCGACTCCCAGAATAGTGTTATAATTGTTGGCATGGATGGGAGGTATGTGACTTTTTCACCTAGAATCTGAACTATCGTGCCTTATTCAAATGTGGTATTACAGCTCAAATTTATGCCTTATTCAAATGTCTACTGGTTCATCTGTCCAAGCATGTTTCTCTGTTGTGGATTCCTTCTAAAAGAAGTGATTATTGATTACTCTAATCAATGTTAATCTTGGATGGCATCGACAGTTTTTATAGGTGCAAGTTTGATCCAGTTAATGGAGGAGCGATGGTGCAGCAAGAGTATTTCCGCTTTCTGAAAACGGAAACTAGATCTCGGTAGCGCCCTCATGATTTATACACAACTGCTTAAGCAGGAAACATTGTTGTTGTTTATGTTTATAGTGCCTTGATTTATCAGTGTAACTACCACCAAAGGGCATAAAATTGCATCAAATGTACAGATCAAACATATGCATAAGCATAACAACTTTTGTTTTGTACTCGCTTTGAGCTGTTTCCGGAGAACTGAGATCCAAATTATTGACTTAATCATGTAAGTTGTAATAAGATGAATATATACTGTTTAGTTTAATGGAATTTGTTGTACTTTGTTCATTCAGCTAATTTTATCCAGCCCGATGAAGCCATTATTGGCTTTAGTTGTGGAGTTACCGAAAAAGTTTCAGTGTCCACATCTTGAGAACTGTTATCCAGTTACCAGATGCACAACACAAGTGGATGCCAGATAAATAAGTATACATCATCCCGCTACATGGAATCAAATGGAAAAAGGCCAGGAGAGCGGGAGAGAAAAGGAAATTGAACTGATTTCTACCATTTATACAAGTACGGCAGTAACAATGTTTATTTCTGTTTATAACATACAAACCTATTGCTGTTTCCTTAAGAGGAACAAAAGGTTTTTACTTCTATTTCTCTTTTTTCTTTCTGTTTTTTTTTTTTAACCCCACTTCGAATCATACTGTTGGCTCCAATACAATTCAGTTTCTAATCCCTCCTTAATAAAAATTCAGTCCAAAGATCACCACACAGACTGGGGAAGAACTTGGCATGAGGAAGATATTCTGGCCTGCATATTCTTCGCTTGAACCACGTTATTTCCTTGCAAGTCCCCAGCATCATTTTACTGATATTAAAGCTTTGATCTTGCGAGCTTTTGATTGTCAAAAACAATCATCACCTTACCGATTGCTTTCCTATCTTTAATAGCAGCAAAGGCAAGGTTTGCCTGTCAAAAAAGAAACAATCCAACATGAGCAAGATTATCGAAGAGTTGGATATAAGACAATGGTGAGAGGCGTTTCTCACTTCCGAAAAGCCGACCAGATGAGAAATGTTGATGGTAATTTTTCCTCTTGCCAACCAAGACAACAACTCCTTCAGAGAGTCTTCAAGTACGGCTGGTCGATGTATTTTATAACTTCCCCAGTAGAGTCCATGAACAGTCCAATTCTGCAAGATAACAAAGCACATATAGATAGGGAAGAATGTCGTATACTGCCTGGGAAAGACAAGGAAGCTTGCATCACAAAAATAACTAGCTAGATTAAAAAGATATTGCTACTTTATCCCTGAGCAACGGTTATTAGGCGTAAGCATTTTCAAAAGAAGCAAGAACAGATAACTTTTAATGATTATACCACACAAAATCACCACTGCACTCGGCTCAACCTCTCATTTAAGTCACATCTCATTGTTGCTAAACCTAATACAACGTCCAAACCAAGCAGACAACTGCTTTTCTAATGACCCAAATCTATGATCAAAGATTCAAGTGCCCCAGAGACAAGAGATTTAGGCTTAAGGAAAAATCAAGGCATGGAAAAATGGCGCAAGCAATTTGAAAACAGTCAAACCCATGCACACGAACATTAATAGAACTTAAAAACCTAGCCAAAAAAAAAAAAAAAGCCTCAGCACGCCTGACTAAGAAAGAGGAAAACCATTCTCAGTGAATACCTTAACAAGAGCAATATTGGCTGGAATAACAGGCACTTCCCCACTTGCAAAGCCGATAACCAGAATATGTGCTCCCCAGTTGAGCAATTTCATAGATTCCTTTGTGACCTTACCGCCTACAGGATCATACAAGACATCAACTCCTTTAAGCTTTCTAGCCTTTAAGAATCCCTTGACACTGTCTATTACGCTTGCTTTACTCAAGTCAACCACGTAGTCGACACCTACATTCTTCAAAAGCTGCACCTTCTCATCTCCCCTACAACACAAATAAGCAGAATTTGTTCAGATCATGCAGCCCCTAGCATAAGTTACAACTAGCATAAGTTATGGGGACAAACAAACAAAAACAAAAAATGTTAAGAGTAAGAGAAAAACACCTAGCAACTGCAATTACAATGGCACCGCAAGCCTTTCCAATCTGTACAGCGGCAAGCCCAACTCCTCCAGCAGCACCAAGAACCAATAACACCTATAAACATATTGGTTATGTTCACTTCGAGAACACAGTGGGGCAAGATTTTTACTACTTCTAGTTAGCCCTTCATTATTATCCGAATTGGTGGGAGCAAAAACTGAAAACTAATGAAAATTTCAGAGACTTTTGGGGTTATTGGCGAAAAAAAGGCCCTACCATCAATGTATTTTATTGGTATTTCCCTCCGTCCAACTGTATACTGACAACCAAAATGGAGTAGGAAAGAAAGAAACGTTACCTGATTAGGCTGCAATTGAGCTCTGTGCACCAGGGCCACATGGGAGGTTCCATATGCCACCGGCAGAGCACCAGCTGCTACTAGATCACATCCTTCCGGCACGGCAAACCTTTTAATTGGCAATAAGAGATTATATTAGTCTACATAGAGACAATCCCAATTCCCAAAATTTAAGGCCAAAATAAGAAGCTTACAAAAATCTAACATTTTCGTTGCTTAAACCCTGCTCTTCGAAAGCGGGAAGCTTTTGACTTTTACCATCATCTAATCTAAGAAAACATAGAATTTGAAGGATTCGGAGAACACTTACAACTCGGATTCATCAGCGACGGTGAATTGCGCGAAAGAGCCAAGCGCGGCAAAGGAGCAAACAGGATCGCCGACTTTGAATTTAGTAACTTTGGAACCGACAGAATCGACGATGCCGGAGTAATCAGAGCCCGGAATGAATGGCAAAGGGGGCTTTTCTTGGTACTTGCCGAGAATCTGGAGGTAAGTGGCAAAGTTCAAGCTGTTGGCTTTGACCCGGACCCGGACAGAAGTGGGCGAGGTGAGTTCCGGAATCGGGTGAGTAGTTGAAAGAGTAAATGGGGCGTCGGAATGATCCAAAGGCAACGTCGGATCGCCCAGTTTTTTGCAGACTAAAGCTTCCATCTTGGTATTGAGCGATGATTGCCGGAGAGACTAATTTTATTAAGCTTTCCAAAATGATAGTAGTAATAGCGGAACCGTCAACCGAGTTAAGGAAAAAGACAAAAACTGATCGTCAACATATCATACTAGTAGTATTTTTTTTTTTTTTTTTTTTTAACTTATCCGTGGTTCCGGCGTACTATTCAAGGAAGCCTCTCTATACTTCGCCGACTTTGTTGCCGACCGGCAAGGTGTCCCGACGAAATTTTCAAGCTTCATCACATTTCTGGGCTTAAAAATCTGTCATTGTCAAATCAGTATTAGTTTAGTACAGTGCCTAATCAGTATTATTTCCAAACGTTCCATCTTCATTTCTAAAGCTGCTTCTGCTTCTTCTCCAGCCTGTATATATTCCGGTAAAGGAAACTTCTACTTCTTAGCACTATTTGACTAATTTCATACTTCTTGCTGGTGTTAGCTTTAAATTATTTTTAATCGAATTTATGTAATTGCTGTTCCACTTCCATCTTTGTGGTTTCATGATTTTATCATGGTACTATCATTGTTAGTTGGAGTGTCCAGCAAAGATGTGCTTCTTTGGGTTGTTTTTTAATATTGGGTTTATGATATAGATTGTATTCTCTATAAGAGATCTTCATTAAAAATAACCACATTTCAAAATATATTAAAAATAAAATCTCAATTTGGATAATAATTTTAAGACAGAGAAGAAGGAATATGAAATTGAGCCCGTGATTTGAAGCTCGCGTGTAGTTTCCGTGTTTTTAATTAAAATTCGGGTTCGGATCTTTATTAGCTTTTTACTGTATCGGGCTTGCCTTTTTTTTTTCCCTGACTCTCGCGTTCCCATTCCATCACTCTTTCTCCTCCATCCATACAATCTCCGGCGACTCCAGTGATCGTAGCAAACATAATCAACGACGGCAAAGGCGAAGGAGGCGGCGACACGTTTTCCCGGTAATCTTTCTTATTTCCCTCTCTTTCTTCGTTTCGAATGGATTAGGGTTAGCTTTTATCATTCATCGAGACTTTCTTCTGTTGCTTAGATTTTCAATCAAATCGGCCTTATTTCAGCGGGGATACGTTTGAAATTTTGTGGGTTTTGTTTATTGGAGTCATATTCTTACTGTTTCCCCCTCTTCCATCGCGATTTCTTTGCCAATTTTTAAGCTTCCCCTGTTCTTGTTGGAAGCGTAGGCTGCAATCTACTTCTTTCTGCTTGCTTTTTTTCTGGCTACACAGATTTATAGTGTCTGTATGTGTGTTCACCGATTTTATACAATCAGAGTTTGTTGCTTGTAAGTGTATTATACAATCAGATTATGAATAAATATTTAATTTTTGCTGTTTGTTTGTAGTCTATTTGGGTGATCATAGGCTTTTCCTTTTTTTGGTTTACACTGATTGTTTACTTAGATGTTAATATCTTTGGGGGAAATTTTTCTTTTTTTAATCTGGTGGACAGAGTGTGCTAATCTCTCTGCTCCAGTTGGCTATCTGCCATCTTCACCTTCTTTTCCCTAAGATGAATAAATTTGATGCTCCCAACTCCTTTTTTGCTGGGAAATTATTATATTGGTTAGAATGAGTTAAGCGAGGGGGCAACTTTGATTAATTTATTGCTAAAAAATGAGTAAATAAATAATCTCCCAGTTATAGTCCCTTCGCAGGTCGGAAAGCTGAGCGTAGGAGAAGACGAGATGGCGAAAACAACCCAAAATGATGCCGATGAGGACGAGCTCCGCCGCATGAAACTAGAAATAGCCCTAGAAGTGAAATCTCTCCGGCGCATCATCAGCGCTTATCTCAATTATCCAGAGGCAGCCGAAGAAGATGTTAGAAGAAACGAAAGGTCTTTCCAAAAGCTTCCCCAGGCCCATAAGGAACTCTTGTCCCACCTTCCATCTAAATTTCAGAAGCTGAGATGGTGCATTTCGAAAAATTCATTTTTTATTTTTGAAATGCTCAAGGCATTTGAACCCCCACTTGATATGAGTCAGGATATCGATTTTTGTGAAAAAGAATGTCAGAGGAATGTTCAAAACGATTCCATCTTCACTGGGGAGACAACTCTTGGCTCTTGTAGGCTTCTGTCTGCAGATGGAAAGGTTGTTTCCCACTCTATAGCTGATGCAGCCAATCCCGTGAATGTGATTCGCAATGCTCCAAAAGAGATGAGTCCCCATCAGTCTGATGAACTAAATGTTGGGAGCTGTTCCGTGGGCGAGCGCAAGGAAAATGAAAATTGTCCAACTGATGGGTCGAAGTTTTCTTCTACTTGTTGTAATGGAAATGTTATATCTTCTAACCCTGAGTGGCTGGATCCATCATTGCAGTTGCATGTTCCTTTAGTTGATGTAGATAAGGTTAGGTGTATCATTAGAAACATTGTACGAGATTGGGCATCTGAGGGAGAGAAGGAGCGGGATCAGTGCTATAAGCCCATTCTGGAAGCACTTCATAACTTATTTCCCCATCGCAATGAGGAGAGTCCGCCATCTTGTTTAGTTCCTGGTGCTGGACTTGGGAGACTAGCTCTAGAAATTTCTCGTCTCGGGTTTATGTGCCAAGGAAATGAGTTTTCATACTACATGATGATCTGCTCAAGTTTTATTCTTAACCATACTCAGACTGCCGAGGAGTGGACAATCTATCCTTGGATACATAGTAATTCCAATTCCCTGTCTGACAGTGACCAGCTTCGTCCTGTTTCAATTCCAGACGTACACCCAGCTACTGCAGGGACTACTGAAGGTTTTTCAATGTGTGGCGGGGATTTTGTTGAAGTATATAGTGACCCAAGCCAAATAGGAGCTTGGGATTCTGTGGTGACTTGCTTTTTCCTTGATACAGCACATAATATTGTAGAATATATTGAAATCATATCAAGAATTCTCAAGGAAGGGGGGTTCTGGATAAATTTGGGTCCATTACTCTATCACTTTGCAGACACCTATGGGCAGGATGATGAGATGTCGATTGAGCTCAGTTTAGAAGATGTGAAAAGAGTTGCTCTTCATTATGGATTTAAGTTTGAGCAATCCTCAACCATTGAGACAACCTACACGACAAATCCTCGATCTATGATGCAAAACCGATACTTTGCTGCATTTTGGATATTGCGGAAAATTGCCCAGGGAAAGCAGGAAGGTCTGATCTAGAAGATAGCTGTCTGCTCAAATGGGCATCCATCCTGGACGTGGACATCTTGGTCACCTTTACTTTGTTATGCATGTTACTGCAAAATAGCATGGTTTGAAATTGCGGGAACTTGCATTGACAAGGATGTGGGAGAGGAGCTTATATTTACTAAAGCACTCTTGTGAGAGGAGCTTGTGGAGTTGGATTGGGGTTTTCATGTGAAAGTCTTCTTACAAGGGTTGGTTCTGAAGGTAATTCTTTGTCAGGGAGAGAAAGTTATAAGACAGAAGAATTAGAGCATACATGAGACTTTCTTCTGTCCATTTATTCTCTTCAATTAAATTTCAAACGAAGTTCATTGGAGAAGATCACTTTCAGTCTTATTTTGGAGGGGCCCGGGGGGGGGTGGGTTGGGTGGAGGGAGGTGCTGTTGATTAATTTTGGATATGCTACTGTGGTAGTCACATTCGATTTTGATGATAGAGCTATAGCATATTCAATTTTCGTAGAGAAAACAATGATCTTTCATCATCTAAATAAAACAATGATCTTTCATCATCTAAATAAAACAATGTCCACTGCTGATGTTTCTTACAGGTTACTACTATCTCTCTTATCCCCTGTTCCACCTGCTTAGTTTTCTGGATTTTTTTCTGTTCGAGTTAATGTTTCCCCAAGAACAGTTTTGATATTTCGGCGTTGTTTGGGAGTTGTTTTTTCTGCTTTCATCACTGTTTCAATGATTTATTGGGGAACTAATTTTCTTATAAGTCCAAGAATTTTTAATCCATTAACTTAGTACCTAGTAGTTATGCATGTACTAATGTATACCGATACAGTAAGGGAGAGGGAGAGTCATTTTCCAATACTGCCTCGACCAAAGAAAGCACCACATAGAGGTTTCTAGACTTGAATCTCACTGAGGATGATGCATAAGTACTTTTGGAGGCTTCAAATCTTAAATACGTCAGTCTTTGAGAAGAGAAACTGTTTCTAGCCTACAAGTCTCCATGACAAGTTGTATAAACCGGTCAGGGGGGGACCGGATCCTTGGTGACATCAACCGGACCAATTAACCATTTATTGCCAGCAATTGAAACGGTGGAATCAGCAAAGAATAGAACTTCAAGTTTGTCAGCCGGCGAAAGTAGTCGACTCTTCAGGATAGCTGCAACACCAGCTCGCAAAAGGCCATGGCTGCTCCAACTGAAGCAACAAAGGTGGAGGAATGGAAACCCCCGTTTAATTTCCAAACATGTCTCCGACTTCAAATTTGCTCCCAAAGCTGCTGCTGCTGCTTCGTCTTCTCCAGCACCAGCCGACTACTCCGGTACAGTGAACTTTCTACTTCTTTGCGCTATTTTTTACTACTAATTTCATGCTACTTGCTGGTGTTACTTGTTAGCTTAAAAATTGTTTAATGTCTTTAATCGCTTTTCATGTAATTGCTGCTCCATCTTTGTAGTTTTATGATTTTATCTATCATGGCTGTATTATGTTAGTTGGAGTTTCCTACGAACACAGCTTCTTGGTTCTTTCTCGTATTTAGTCTTTTCATGTAAATCAATTCCCATCAATCTAGACTCCATAAGAGATCTTCATTGTAATGTATGCCATGGATTTTTAACATGTCCTCTGTAGTTAGGTAACTGGAAAAGAGTATCAAAGAGAAGAACAACTGTGACCCTCATTTGTTTTGGCATTAGTCTCCTTGTGCATTTTTTCGTTGTGTTATCCTTATCTACGTTATTTTGATTCGTTTGCCCAGAGCAACTCTTGGGAGTGAAACCAGGGCCGGATAGTCAAAAAATCGCCGGCGTGGATCAGGAAGAGTTGGAGGATCCATCTCCTTTGGCGGATCCAGATAGTTGTTTTGCGAGTTTAAAGGAGTAAAGATACACCACAAACTATGTGATCCTGAATCATTTGATGCAGACTTGTCAAAAGATGCTAATAACACTCAAATATCTGAAAACACTAAAAGAGTTGGCCTCGGTCTTCCTATCATTCTTTTCCATGGTTTTGGAGCTTCTTTGTTTTCATGGAATCGAGTCATGAAATCTTTGGCCCGTGTCACTGGTTCAAAAGTTCTTGCCTTTGACAGGCCGGCCTTTGGCTTGACGTCAAGGGTGGATCCATCAAATTATTCACCCCCTGCCAGTGAAGATACTAAACCTCTGAATCCATACTCAGTGATGTTTTCAGTTCTGGCATCACTATTTTTTATGGATTTCTTGGCAGCTGACAAAGCTATTCTAATGGGGTAAGATACGTATAGAATCTTCTGTCGTCATTGATCCTTTCCTTAATTCATTCTCTCATTTGGATCCGAAAGGAGAATTAAGTTGCAATTGTGATGCGTCATATTCTTGCTAAAAGTTAACAGATGGCAGGCACTCAGCTGGTTCCTTGGTAGCTGTTGATACTTATTTCGAGGCACCTGAGCGAGTAGCTGCTATGGTTCTTGTTGCTCCAGCAATTTTTGCGCCTCTCACGCCACAGAATTTACCTAAAGATGATCAGAGAGATCGAAACAATCAGAAACCAGAACAGTCAGAGTCCATCAATCGTCAGAATCCAATAATTGCAATTTTCAGCACCTTGTCAAAGTTTGCCAAATATATTGTGCAGTCAATAATGCAAATTTTTAGAAGCATGGGAGATATGATAAATTCTCTTTACAAGAAGGCCTTATCTACATTCCTCCGATCCGCTATTGGTGTGCTGCTGGTATATTCTACTGCTTTGTTCCAATGATTGCCAGTTCTAAGGCCCTTCATAAATTTTAGCGACAGCCTTTGAATTCAAATTTTGACTTTAGCCAATATATACTTGAGGTGATAAGAAATTGTTTTGGTATTCTTGAAACAGTTCCCAAATCAGTAAGGAACCTAACTTATACCTGAATGCAGCATAAGTGTGTCATCATCTTACCACTTAGGAGTACCGAATTATTGGAGAATTTTAGAAACCACTGCACATGAGAAGGAATGGGATTTGATTACAGATGGAACTTGTGTTAGTCTATCATTGTGTGCTAGCACAAATGTAGATAGTTGGAATCTTGATGTTTTTGCTTATTGTATGGATGCCTCATGCAGTTCTTGTGGTGTTAGGTGAGGTGGATAATTGATAAATTTGGCACTGCCGCTGTTCGAAATGCATGGTATGATTCAAATCAAGTTACTGATGATGTGTTGCAAGGTTATGTGAAGGTGACCTCTCTTTCTAAAGCTCAATATCCAGCTGCACAAAGTTACAATCGCTTGCATATACTTTTCACCAGCATAATAATTTACTACCAAGTAATATCACCCATGCATGGTTCTAATTGCAGCCACTGAGGGTGAAAGGTTGGGATAGGGCTCTTGTGGAATATACTGTGGCAATGCTTACAGATAATTCTTCTCAATCAAAGCCCTCGCTGGCGAGATTGAGTGAGATTTCATGTCCAGGTATTGATATGTCTTGCCTCTTTTTACCTATAGAACTTGTTCCAGGTCAGATGATACCCATTGTCAATCCTGATCTGCTTTTGTATTTATAAATGCCCATGCTTTTGGTAGAATGTGTTCTGGTTGAGATGATGTTTGTTGAATTGCTAAATTAGTGTTTTAGTTAGGACATGTGGCTGCTGATTGCTGCAAGCCAGATATACATACCAGTATGGTCTCACAATCTGCCAATGCTGACTTATTCTGTTATCAATCACAGTCCTTATTGTTACTGGAGATAGCGACCGGCTAGTTCCTCCTTGGAATTCTCAAAGGCTGTCAAAAATCATTCCAGGATCACGCCTAGAGGTAATCAAGAATTGTGGCCATCTACCACAAGAAGAGAAGGCCGAAGAGTTTGTATCAATCGTGGAGAAATTTCTTCGACGAGCATTCGGTGCTTCAGAGGAGCAGCAGTATTTGCAAGCAGTGACTTGAGACTACGTCTTCTAGATGAACTGAATCTTATTAAAGCAGGTGTATAATTTAGATGGACAATTTATCTGTTGGAAGCTAGACAGCTGAATAGTGTGAGTTTTAATTGATGCCTAATTTTCCTACAATAGGATACTATTAACTTCTGTAATCACTCCTGATAGTTGGCAAATAGTGTCTTATAATTGGTATAACTGACATCTTTATCTTCGGGCATAGCTCCTCCTTTTTGACGTATAAATTTCATGCTGGGGAATTAAGTCTGGAAGTCTATGTTAACCAAAATTTCCAATTCTTGCAATTGCCTTCTAACTAACCAAATGCTTGGTCTAAGTTCATTTTCCTCCCAGGATGAGGCACAAACAAATTAACAATACGGATTATGTATTTACCTGTGCTTTTCATTCAACACTCTTGTAAAATTAGTTGGTCTTTTTTCTTTATACTAGCAATTAGTACTATAAGTTAATGACACACGTTTAATTTTATTTTATATTTTCTTTTTTTAGCACAAAAAGGTATTTTCTCCAATTTTCCACGTCGACAAAATAGGATGTAATAACTACAAGTACCCTCTTTTTTAAAAAAAAAAAAAAAAAGAAAGGGGAGAAGAAGATGATATGGTGGTAAATAAACGAGTAAAATAAGGCAATAACGATAAATACGAGTATGGGTTAGGAAGCATTAAAACGGAGGGTTCCTTCATTCAACAGAATTATTGATTCCGGGTGCAAATGACCAGAGACATTGTTTGAGATTTGACTGTACGTAGCTGTGATCTCTGTGGCACTACCAAAACACATTTTTTTTACTGTTTCATCAGTCGGCTCTTTACTTTTACAAATTGGGTTAAAAGGCTCCCTATGCCGCCTGGCGCCGTCTACAACTGCAATGGATTCTTCTGTCTTCAAACACGGCTCCTACAAATTTGCTGCTGATTCTTCCTCCGAACCATTTCAATATTCAATTTCAGGTAATGCGTGTTTCTCCATCTTGTGGTTTTATCATGGCTGTATAATGTGTATAAGTTTTCGACATAAGATAGCTTCTTGACATCGGTTTCTCCCCCCATGTAAAAATCGATTTCCATTCATGCAGGATTTTCATCACTGTTTTGGTGTTTTTATCTCTATCAATTGTGTTTTTTTTTTTTTTTCATTTTTAATTTTGTTTGTCCAGAGCAAGTGCTGGGAGAGATGAAAACAGAGCCGATAATGCCAAAAGTAGCTGGCATGGATGATCAGGAAGGACTAGATGATCCAACTGCTTTAGCCGACCCAGATAGTTGCTTTTGCGAATTTGAAGGGGTGCTGATACACCACAAATTATGTGATTCTGAATCATTAACATTGGACGACGATGAAGACCTGCCAGAAGATGTGGATAATACAATTTCTGATTACAGAGTTGGTCTCTGTCTTCCCATAATTCTTATGCATGGTTTTGGAGCTTCTCTCTTCTCATGGAATCGAGTCATGAAGCCTTTGGCCCGTCTCATGGGTAATTCGAAAGTTCTCGCCTTTGATAGACCGGCCTTTGGATTAACTTCAAGAGTGGATCCAAGGAATCAAAATCATAAACCTCTGAATCCGTACTCAACTCTGTTTTCTGTGCTCTCATCAATGTTCTTTATGGATTCCTTAGCAGCTGACAAAGCCATTCTGGTGGGGTAAGTAAGATACAATTTACATCCACTCTTCTTCTGTCTTTCATTTCTGGCGATTTTCATGATTGCTAAATGTGTACCACAAAATTGCAGGCACTCAGCTGGATCCTTGGTAGCTGTTGATACGTATTTCGAAGCACCTGAGCGAGTTGCTGCTTTGATTCTTGTTGCTCCGGCGATTTATACACTTCTCATGCCACAACATTCAGCCAAAGATGATCAAAGAGACAGAAATAAACGAGATCCGTACTCGCATTTTACCAACTATCAGAATCCAATCATTGCGATCTTCAGTTTGTTGTCAAAGCTGACCAAATGCATTGCTCAGGGAATCATGTATTTAAAAGCCATGGGAGGCATCCTGAATCTTCTTTGCAAGAATACCTTATGTACGTTCCTCCGATCAGCCACCGGTCTAATTCTGGTAATAGATTTTTATTCATTATATTATTACAGCTTGATCGGTTCAGTTTATCTTGATGATAACATGCTTGCCTCTGATCGAAATTCATTTTGGGACGGAGAAAGTATATGGATGCATAATGCATCCCTCACGCGGTGCTTTTTGGTTATTTTAGGTCAGGTTAATGATTGATAAATTTGGCATTGCTATAGTTCGAAGGGCATGGTACGATTCAAATCAAGTTACTGATCATGTGTTGCAAGGCTATGTGAAGGTGAGACCTTAGTTTAAGCTCTATTCCCGTTTTCAAGTTAGAAATAGTCCGTCAAAAAAAAAAAAAAAAAGTCCATTTGTTGATCTAACACAGCAAAATGGACAATTTCCTGGGACAAGGGAGTGTTAGATTAATTCAATAAATTAACCGATATAAACATTTGGTATGATGGAGCATTTTTTTTTTCACAAACTTTGTTCATAATTGCAGCCACTGAGAGTGAAAGGTTGGGATAAGGCCCTAGTGGAGTATATTGTAGCTCGCAGATTCTACTTCGTTACTGAATCCACCACAGCCAAAAAGGTTGAGCTCAATCTCATGTCAGGGTACTGAATAATTAGCCGCCTTTCATTTCATCCCCATTGAAATCTGTTTCAGATCAAATGATAAACTCATTTGAATCCCTGACTTAAATTGAAAATTACTCATATCAGTATCAAGAAACCGCAATCTAGCTGCCATGTGTTTTGGCGCAATTAACTGGTTTCTGATTAACAAGTTATTCTCAGAATCCATCAATAGCCGACTTGTTTCGATATTAATCGCAGTCCTAATTGTTACTGGAGATAGCGACCGACTTGTTCCGGCTTGGAACTCTCGAAGGCTGTCACAAATCATTCCCGGATCCCGCCTTGTGGTTATCAAGAACTGTGGCCATATACCGCAAGAAGAAAAGCCGGAAGAGTTTGTATCAATCATTGAGAAATTTCTTCAACAATCATTTGGTGATTCAGAGGAAAAGGCAGTAGCTGTTGCTTGAGATTTGGTTCTTCTTTCTAAGCTGGCTGTTGCTAACCAAGTTTGTGACGTCAAATAGATAAAAACCAACTACCTTCCGAGTGTGAAGAGAATAACACACTCCTTGGGGGGATGTCTTATATCGATAATTGATTAGTCCACATTAGTAGCGGCCAAAATAAAGCTTCTAAAGAGACGTAAAAAGTTAGAAATTATTGATTTGTAATTCTTTCCAAACCATCTAAGTTGATTAAACAGCAGTTATCCATGAGCTTAAATCCTTCCTGATCACTTGAGCGATCAAAATTTTTGGAGCATCTGTCCATTTCCTTTTCAAGAGTAAAAAGTTTTTTTTTTTTTTTAAATAGTACCTGTATTACGATTAAGTACCTATACTATTACACCGCATTTTAGCATATGCTAAGTTGTGTACATTACGTACTTCATTCCTACTGAGGCAGCAGTTTTGAAAACTAGACTTTAACCTACGAATATTAGCAATTAACTCCTGTGCTTCAGTAGAAAACAAAGGAATTGGTTGATCAGAGGTCAATGTTTCACAATCCGTACAAATTTTAACCCTGTCGATTCCCAGAATTGAGGCATTCTGTAATGTGAGTAAAAGAAGTTATAAGAGAGAAGAAAAAGGAGTCCAACAAGGCTTATCTGTATCTTGCTGTGAACTGGGCTCTTCCTTCTCTTCTGATATCCAGATTGAGATATCAACAAATTCGTGAGGTTTGTCGGAATTCTTCTTCCTCAGCTGAAAACTTCCCAATTGTTCCACTGGTTTTGAAAACTCAGAGCTCTTCTAGTACTTCTCCAGAATTTTTTTCAGAAGAAAGGTGGCTCTGTTCCTGACGATACCTGGATTTGCACCGTTGGTATAGGGTGGAACTCCGACTAGGGTTCCCTGCAAAACAGAGCCTCGGGCGTCTCCCGAGGGTAGACACTCCGATGTTTAAGTTAGAAAAGTAGGGTTGCTTGTATGATGATATGAGGGTTGAGATAGCGTACCTCTATTGCGGAATAAAGGTCCCTATTTATAGGCTTGAGGGGGAATCTGATTCCCACTAGGGTTACCAACAATAAACCGCCATATCAACGATCTGGACCCTTAAGCTGAATAGTGGACCGGCCCATGTATGGTGATGGTCCTGGACTCGCCAAGTGCCCCTGTCAAGTGTTAATTATGCAAAAATAAATAAGACTTGACATCTAAATAAAACTGACCTGGCCCATATGGAACAAATAAGCTTCAGCCCAGTTCAAGGATAACTGTCCGCGGGTAAGGGTCCGAACCGGGAAGACGACCCGTTTTATTTAAATCCTACCCGAGCGGAAATTAAGTCCCACTCACGCGCACGTTTCCCAAACGACGGCTAAGCCATTATGAGTGTGCCTTGGATTTCGGCCACGGTGCCGGATCGTGGGGAAAAAGAGTACCTCATATTTGTTTAACTGGGGGAAAGGCTAAGGACTTTAGTCATATTCTTCTCTCGTCAAATCCAGAAAGCTCCACTTTTAATTCAGTGCAGCAGAGATTTCTCTCTTCTTCCCCTTCTACCATATATCGCCGTCAAACAGGGTTTGAAATTCCTTCCGACAGACTTCAACTAAATAGCATTATCTCATACGTAAGTCTTCTAACCCCTGGACACTCTTACTATTGTTTGTTGGTGCGTATATTTTGCTTTGCCTGAACTTGGTTAGACTTGCGTATACTAGGATAGGTATGGCATCTCAAACGGTTTCCGATTTTGCATCGACCATAGATTCTGCTGAAAAGGCCGATTTTATTGCTGAAAAATATAACTTCCCCATAGATCTAGATTATCGAGCTCCCGTAGGGACTGAGAGGGCTAACAGTCCACCAGAGGGGGCAATCACTGTATACGAGAGGTCGATGTTTCTCGGCCTACGATTCCCCCTACACCCTCTGTTCGGTAGGTTAGTCTAGTATTATAAGATCCCGCTTGCTCGATTTACCCCAAATCTAGTTACTGCCGTCCTTGGTTTTGTGAAGCTTTGCCAAATAAAGAGGATAGAGCCTCGATTGTTGGTATGGAGATACTTTTTTAAGGTCTGTGTTCCCTCGACCAAGTATAAGGATTGGTATAACGTGAAGACCAACGCCTCCTCCAAGGCGAAACGTATAATAGAACTCTTCGACGGTGCCCCATCATGGAAGCCGAACTACCTTTTTGTTTCGGCTCCCGATGATGTTTGTATGGCATGGGACTATCGGGAGGCTCATGAGATGGGCGGTGTGGCAGACACCTGGTCTAAACACGATAAGGCCCGAATCGAGAAGTACAGGGTGGACATCGACTCCCTGGAATCTGTCGAGGACATCCTTGGCTACACGGCAGTGCAACACTACGTCCCACCAGTTCACGTCGAGAAGAGAAAAGGTACTGACTTGCTATGTGCTTTGTTTTTGTTTTTAGGTCATGTCCTCCAGCAAAGATACCGTTGGGTTGTTTGGTGACGCCAAGATTTTTTGAAATTAAAAATTCAGATGACGAGGGCTCTTCCAACAAGGTCACCAAAAAGAGGAAGCTGAGAAGATTGGTGAAGGCGTCTGACGCAAGTGCTAAGGCAAAGAAGAAGAAGACTCCCATCCCCGAGGAGGTAGAAAAGCGGGTCGAGGACCCAGTCCCGATTGAGGGGGACCAGGAAGATCATCCGCCGAAGGCTACCTCCCCAATTATTGAAGAGGTGGAGGCTCCCATGCCTGAGGACAAAGCACCCGAGGCGATTCCAGTTCCGGAGCGGCACCCGGAGACCCTTAAAGTTACTCTCGACAAGAAGAGCACCGAGGACACGGATGGTTCCTCGACATTCACAGCCGCTGCTGCCGTATACCATTTTGGGGATAACAGAATCGAGTGCCCCATCATCGAGGAGGTCGCCGAGACTTTGACGGAGGAAGAGTCGCTGAAAATGGTTAGTATTTTCTTCTCGATTCGTTTAGTCCTCGGGGATACCATGTTGCTTTTTGCTAAATTTCGTGTTACAGCTGACTACGGCGATGGCTAGCATTCTTATGCGTGAAAAGACTTTGAAACGGGACATTCAGAGCTTGCAAGCTGAGAGAGGGGCCCTAGAAAAAGAAAAGCAGTCGAGTGAAGCTTCGAGAAAGAGGGAGGAGGCTTTGAGACTTTCTAAAGAGAAGGAACTGGTCGATGTTCAGGCTATGTATAAGGAGCTTGAAGCTAAACTATCCGAGTGCAGGGAGACTCATGTTCCCCGATCCGAACTACCGGCTTGGATAATGCACTTTTGGTCGAGGATGATGTCCACGGATGGGTTGGCAAGCATTCTTGTGGGTATTAGCAACGAGGCTAAGATTCTTGGGGGACATGGCGTAGCTGTTGCTGCCCTTGAAAGGATGGAAAGCGGCAAGACCATCAACGCTGGATGGCTTCAACAATTTATAAAGCCTCATCCGAAGAAGACACTTCACGAAGCTCTCCGAAAAGGTGTGCAGCGACTTTCCGACGGGCAACTTCCCTTATTCGGGCCGTTATGTAACGCCATCCCAGAGATGAAATCCTCGACGGAGATATCGTCCTTCGAGGGAGAGGTCCTCGCATTGCTTCCTGATGACGCCGGGGAGGAGGTGCGTGTTCCAAAGCTAGCCCCCGATTTTATCGGCGTTGAGGTGGAGTGGGAGGAAGATTCCTCGGAGGGACCTGTCGAGGATGATGGGCAAAGCCGTCCCGATCCAGAGGAAACTCCAGTCCCTCCTCCCGTTGAGGAAGCCAGCGATGCCCATCCGACGCAGTCTCAGGGCCCGAAGGAAGTATGACCCTCCTCTTTGTAATAGGACTTTTGTGGATGAGGTTGTAGACCTTTAACAACTTTGTATGAATCGTTGAACTCTTTTGCCGATCAGTCTGGCTTACTTAATATTTATGTCATCTGTTCCAGGACTCGTATTTCGTTCATCGTTGTCATCTATTGATTCTCGAGGAAGAGGAAATTACGCAGTTTCCCTTATACTCGATGATCTCCTCGATTTTGAGGAAATTTGGGGACGTTCACAACACAAGCAAGGTGAAGCTGCTCGAGAAGGAACTCTCAGATGATGTTAAAGCGCTGAATCTGCGGACACATCATCGCTTGGTACAGCGTTTTAAGCGACAGGAGGAAGAGTGGAAGCGTCGGCTTCAACAGTACGATTTAGACTTTCATGCTTCTTTATCCCTTGAGGCAAACATTTACGAGGAAATGGAGAAACTAAAGTCGGAGAACGCCCGATTGAAGAAGCGTGAGAACATCGTTGTTTCTCCGTGGTTTCTCGAAAAGCTTGACATACTTGCTTTGGTCGAGTCGCAGATAAAGGTTCGGACTGAACGCTTTATTGCCGCTATTGACCTTCTGAAGAAAAGATCCAAGGAAGTGGAGTTCTACTCGAAACAAGCTGCCATTTTCCAGAATTTATTGGTGGACAACGAGATTTCTCTGCCCATCCTCGACGACCTTAACCCAGAGGATGAAGCTCGAGAGCGGGCTGCCGCCAAGGAGTACCTTCTTAGGATCGACGACCAAGACTGGGAGATTCTAGATTTGAAGGACAAGCTTGGGCACTGCGTCCATAAGCTTAGGACGATGGGGTGGTCTGGACTTATTAAGCCTTCTCGTTTTAACCCGAAAGGGAAGAACCTCCGGATTTAGGCGGACGCATTGTATATTTCCCCCTTCTGTTTTTCTTTTAAACCTGCACTTGGTGCGAGGAGTTGTAGTTGGGCTAAGCGGTATTAGCGCCAAATAATGATATTCTAGAATTTTTATGTAGCGCTTTGTTCAGTCGGCGGTTAGTTACGCGACTTTGTCGAGGAATCGGATACGGATTCCTCGGAATGTGGATGCCCCGATCCATGGCGGGTGCGAGGGAGAGTCCTCGGCTTACGGATCCGGTCGTTTGAATACCTGGACCATATCGAGGATAGCCCTGTAACGGGTGTCTATCTCGGTGACTAGTCACGGGGTAGTGTCGACATGTGTAAACAATGTATATATGAAGTATGTAATGACTTTTATTGATAATTACCCGAGGACCCGGGTTAGCATTACACACATGACTGAAAGCAATGAAATCACTTAGCACTTAGCAAACAAAGTCACACATGGGAACAAACTGTCTTGCAATGAACTGCTAGTTATTACAACATTCACCATCAACCTCGTCTTCAGATTTGTAGTTCTCGGCCACCCAAGCCGAGAACCCAGAAGAGCGGATGCGATGCTCCATATTGAAGCGAGCAATAGCTTCCACATTTTCCATTGCAGCTCTCATTTTTGTAACATCACCAGCAATTGCTTCCAATTGCGCTTTCTTCTCAGATTTTTCCTGTTTATTGTACCACGCCGTCACCTTCAAACCGATGAGTGATCCGACAGGAAAAATCACCAGTTCACCAACAATAGTACCAACAATCTGACGCAGCATCTATCATTTTAAAAGATGCATCAGAAACGGGAACAGAAAAGGCAAGTGCAAGCAAAGATAGTAAACAAATCCCGAATTCGGCTCCTCGCTCACTGATCGATTCCAGATTTAAGCCCAAAGATATTGCAATAATGCGCAGAAGATTTCTCCGGATTTACGTTAAAGCCATAGAATTTATTAATAATTGCAATAAATCCCTCATCCTTTACAAGATTATGTTACTGATACATTAAAATACATATTCACGGAACGGAATGTACTAATATAATAGGACTACCCTTTTTCCCAATTTACCAAAAATATATTTTCACGAAACGGAATAATGTACCCCTTTTAGGCGAAAGCAAGCAAAAGATGACATGAGAATATGAGAGTACCTACAGAAACTTTTCACTGAACTGGAAGAAAATTAGTGTGTGAAGGAAAAATTGACGCACCTTGAACTCTCAGACTTTCAGTAACCTTCTTTTCCTCCGGTCGTCAATGTAACTTGCAAACAATAACGCAAACTGTAAAAAGGGAGAAAGATCAAAAGGTAAGTTTCGGCGCAATAAAACACTTCAAAAACCGCCCCAAAAAAAAAAATATTACAATCTTAAAGAAAAACACACAGCTAAATACTAAAACGCCAAGAATGAAACTAAGTCAAACCCAAAGCTAATAGCAACGAATCGGCCAAACATGTACGGAGAAAGCTACCACAAACCTTTACAGATCCCAAAAAGGCGTGTTCTATATGTTTGGTAAAGCCATAAAATCACTGGAAGACAAAATGGATCACTATCGTATCATACAAAAAAAAAAAAAAAAAAGAACCCAGACATTAGTTTCAGACTTTCATCAGTAGCAGGTCAGACTGGCGATATATCACAAAATCAATTAGGCCAAAGCGTCCGCTACTACTGATTCAACAACTGCTCAAGAAAAAAGGACACGGCCACACACACAGCATATTTTCGGAGACATGTTGATTATTTGACGGACTGATAACATCCGAGTATGAAATCGTCAAAACTTGTTCATTCAATATATATCTTTTGAGTACCAAAAGCATAAATCCAAAAAACTTTAACGGTTTAACCCACAGAAAGAGTGGATTCATTACCGAAAACAGAATGAAGTTTGCACCGTAAAACGGTACAAGATCCCCCAAAAAAAAAAAGAAACAAACGAATCTAGTCAGGAAAAGGGTTTTCATGGATCAAAACGGCATAGCCGTAGCCGAGAATTATTTTTTGCAATTTGTTTCTGAAAGTTCTCTCCCCTTTTTGTTAGGATGGACGCTTTGAGCAACATTGGCAACCACGCATCGGCGCCGTAAGCAATGTTTTCAGTGGCGGCAGTGACGAAAAGGGCAAAGAAGGCGGGAGTTTGGGGAAGGGCCATGCTAATTGAGACCTTCATCCTTCAACGAAGGTCTGGTTTCACAAACCCTTGTTTTTCAAAGGAGTATTGAATATCGTGTTTAATTTTTCATTAGTACTGTCTTTTTCGTTGGAGCACAATATTATCTTCTTTAAATTGTTGGATGCGTTCAGCAATATTTCATGTTCTGAATTAGTCCTGTTAGATTCCGTGTTTGCTTAAATCCTGTGGATTGTGGCATATAATGTCTTTTATCCTGTTGAGAAACCGTGTGATTTATACCGTTTTGGGCGACTCCTCTGTATTTATTTTGGCAGCAGTAGGAGTAGCTGATTGTTTTTAGTCTTTGCTTAGCTTTGTTTTTATAGAGATGAGTTCATTGCATTTATCCTTTGGATCCCACATTTGGAGGAGGGTGGAGCTACTCATGTGGAACTGATGCAATAACTTGGTCCTCCCCTCCAATTGTATCATTCAGTGGTGATTTCACTAGTTTAATGATTTCTGTCTTTCTTTCGAATCAAGAGAGTTTTTGCTCCATCAAGTTACAGGACCTGCTGCTTAATTTGCTCTGGAAAACAGACTGTCTTGTTTAAATGTGGCTATGTATTTCTGGGTTTGCTTCCCCCCTCCTCTTTACATGTGCTGTGAGTGGGTGAATAAGTCTATAGTGGTACGTTCTTATGTGCTTGAATCTAGTTGAGCACATGAGGAAGTATTTGTCCTTCACTAGTGAAAAACGGGCACTTGTTTATGTTGATGGTAATCTGAAAGCTCTCACTCTTTACTTGACCTGAATTGGTCTAAACTCCAAAAATCTTGGATCAGTTTTGAATTACATTAATTCCACAAATTGTTTGCGAGTATGGGTCGAATTCTGGAGTATTATTTCTGTTACTATTGTTTGACGCGGAAGATTCTAGTATCACCAGCTATTGATTTTGTCCGGGTTGAGTTTTTTTTGTTGTGCATTAGTTTGAATGGTTTTAAGGCAAAAAAGAAATGGTGCCTTATCTCTAATCTAATGTTCAAAATTTTATCATTTCAGAATCTAAGGGTATCATCAAGTGGGTGGTTGGCCATGGATGTCGTCAAACAAACTGGGAATGAGAAGCTACTTACTATGTAAATTATAGATTATCATTCACTACTTTGTTGGAGAAATTGAGAATATTGTAATCGTAGTTTCATTTGGCAGCTGAGAATTTCTTGTGTGATGTAACTATTATGTGGTGCTACTGCTGTCCATTAATCATTTGGGATTCCGGCTTAGTAGAAGTTATTGCTGATGTTCTGATCTCTAATGTCCTTCGGATGCCAAAACTGAATTTGAATGAAATTGCGCTATAAACATATCGATAACCTCATAATAGTCATCGAAGTAACCAAGAATGAATACTCTATTAGTCATAAAATAATTGTCCCTTAAACTAAAAATGAAAATTTAAATTAAAATAATTATTTTGAGACGGACAAGATCGTAAGAAAAAGCATGTAAGTGAGAAAGCCCACCAGACGTCAATTTGATTAGAGTCCCTAGCCCAAATAGCTGTCTCGGCCCAAAAAATGATTTTTTCATAAAGAAACCGAAACCGCAAATAAGCCCCTAAATTCTTCTCACTCAGGTAACATCTGGCGACGCATCCAAGCTTTACTCGACCGGGAATGGACAGTGCAAATCTCCTTTATTAAACATAATGGGAATGAAGTTGCAGATACTTTGGCCAAAATGGGCTATTTTGCTCCACCGGGGATGAATATTTTGTTGATACCCCCGAGTCTAGTCTTAAGTAAATTAGCTTTCGATATCCCATTTGTACCTCAAACAATGGGCCTGTAGTCCAAGTTTCTCAAAGCTTCCACAGTATGTAAAAAAGAAAAAAAAAAAATCTTCTCACATTGGTCTTCTTCCGACTAAAACAATCCTTTCCGACCACGTTTCTCCGTTTCCTTTTTCCGATTCTCTCCAGAAGCCAATTTCGACAAGGTATTTAAACTATGGATGTTCGATTCGGTGCAGAAATTTCAAACTCGCTGTATCAATCACGATTCACTATAGGGATGGAACCAGCCATCTGCTGGGTTAGCACATTTTACTTTTTTTTTTTTTTTTTCTGACTAGACTCTTTTTTTTTAAGAAAAAATTTATGTTTCTTTTTGAATTATATGGAGTAATATGTTTTTAGGTGATTGTACGAATGTTCATCCTTATAAGGCGGAGACTGGGGAAATGATTTTTTTTTGTAATCTTAAAAATAAAAATTAATGGTTGGAATCACCGAAATCGTTTTAGAAATAATTTTAGATTGATTGAATTCACCTAATCATGAGTAACGATTTTTTTTTTATAATCTTACCAATGGAAGGGAGATTAAAAGTCCATTATATTATTTAACAACAAAGGACATGCTATTATCGTAAAAGTAGACAAAAACTTTCAAATCTTATAGATATTTAGAAAAATTTATGAAAGACTTACTAATTTCAATATTAGATTTTCTCAATTGAAGAGTTGTTGGCGAGATTGCGCCGATATTTGATCGTTAATGATGAGATAATTTAAACAAGATTATAACATATTAAATGTTAGAGAAAGAAATAATTTATCGACTTTGACGGGAAATTTGGTTGGGTGTAAGTGTAACAACTAAAAAGAAACACTATAGTACAAGAAAGAAACACCAAATATCAACAAGTAACCAAGCTATAACATTCAACCACCAAAGAAGAAGAAAAACTTACGAGTACAACTAACTTGTACCGTCGGATCTTCCACCTTTAACCATAGGTCGAGAGTTCCGAACTCGCCATATATATGGAGCAACTTTAAATATTTTAGTAAGTTCTCTCCCCCCCCCCCTAAGGTACTTATTATGAGCGAGAAGAAATGTCAATTGTTATCAACGGTGAACATCCTGCTGTAATAAAAAAAAAAAAAAAAACTTTTAGTGTCAAATGGAAATAAAAATGACTAGTTTCTTCCTTTGTAGGCTAGATTATCGCCGGTCTCTTTTGCTTGAATCTCAGCTACGTCTAAGAAAACAAACATACACGTACGAAAAAAAACTCAGTACAAACTCTGACAGGAAGACGAAAACTCCCACAAGAAGGGAGGGGAAAGAAAGTGTAGGTGATGATGGTAACCCACTTCCGATTCCGCTCCTCCTACTTTATGTCGAAGGGAAACTAGCGTTTGTTGGAAAACCACAGCAGACACCTCATCTTTGCACGAAATTGGGAAACGCCAATCCATGATTTCATAAAATTTGTTGGCGAGGAAGTGGCATTGAATTACTGTGCCAGTATAGGTCCTTAAGAGTATCCGATCATGGTTCCAACAAGTCAATATGTTGGGAAGTGACATCTGAAAGGAATCTTTCTTAGACCATGAGAATGATTGCTTCCCATCTTCTTCTTCTTCTTCTTCCTGCACCATCATCACCCAGACTTCAACCATATATATCATGCACACACTTGATGATCAAAGCAAGGTTATCCCCCAAGACGGAATGGAGTTGTAGTATAAATAGATGTCTGCGGTTCTGTGTTCGTGTATGGACCATTTATCAGGCTAAAGGTTTCAGTTGAGAAGTCAAACTTAAGAATCACAAGAATACTTGTGTCCTCAATTTCCCCTGACCAATAACAAGAACCATTCACAAACACTCCTCCAGCAGGGGCAAGTTTGCGTATCAAACATTTCTCCCAATATATTCCAGGGCTAGTAAAACCCTTCAATTCGAAATCAAGCTTAGTCCAACGGTTGGAACTGAGTCTATAAATTTCAACATATAAAGACTGACATAAGTTTTTATAGCCAAACACCCCATCCTCAAGACTTTGTAATCGTTAGCTAACTCATCCAACCCAAAACCCAACACACTATTATCCCAGCAGCCATTCATATTCCAGCAATTCGAATCAGGAAGTCTCAGGTGTTCCCGAATGGTTGGATTACACAAATAGACAGGGTCACGGGATGCTTTTGAAATGCAGAGGATTCCATTGTAAGATCCATATAAATGAAGGCCCGATTCATAAGGCAAATATAGATCAGGGGATAAAACACGGAGACACATATTGTTTACCATAATACTACAAGAATTACCTTCGTCGCCCTCCTCAGTATTGGGAGTCAACAAAAGCTCATGGTATGTCTTGGATCCATTTAGAAGAAACCTGGAGCTTCCCAACTGTCGAATGAGGAACACCGCATTGTTACGATTCTTTTTGTTAAAGTAGTGATTGAGATGCTTGTCCCCAAAAGAAGGGTCCCTAGGATTTCTCTCCAAATTTCCTCCGGGAAATAAATTCCTTCCATAATTCGTACACCCATATTTTGTCACTGGGCGTGAAAATAAAATATCTACTACTATATCAGATTCTAAATCGATGTAACAATAGAGAATTATGATGAGAGTTGAGTTTCGTGTAGTTCTGTTCACTCTTCTTGCCTAATTTGTAATTAAACCGATTCCTTATCATAATTGATTGATTGATTGATTGCAGGGTTATTGCTCAATTTCCTATTCTATCTAGTTTAATTAATCGTTTCCCTGATCAGATTTGGATCTCTTTTAAAACTAGTTCGACCGGATCGCGCCTTGTAGACTTGTCTGCTCTTTTCCAAGTGCTCTGTGATTCAGTTAGATCTTGAGAGTGCTTGAGCTGCTGATAATTAAGACACCAAGTCGATTTGCCTTAATCTGCAAAACCATTCCCAGATTTTTGATGAAATTAATCTTCCACTCTCCTGCCGCCCTTTTTGCTAAACGGATTCAAAGACGACCCATCAACCACTATGATAGCATGAGACGGATGAGGCGAGAAGTTGTGTCTCTGAGCATCTCTCTTTAGATGAAGCTGAGTATACAATAGAAGGCACGCTACAAGCTCTGATTGTACTTCTCTTTTGAAGCCACACTTGCAATCAGTTGCTTGTTGCTTCTTTTTAAGCTTGTTCTTGCTAACCAAGTTTGTGATGTCCCGTAGATAAAAACCTTCAGAGAGTGTGAAGAGAATAAAACAAATCTAAAGGGAAATTGTTTGTACTCAGATGGATGGATAAGATATCTTCTTCATCATGATCGCGTAAAGCTTATTTTCCTGCAAGTCATCCTTCGAAGGATGTCTAGTATCGATTACTCCATATTAGTAGCAGCCAAGATTAAAGCTTCCAAAGGGAAGTAAAAGAGCTAGAAATGATTGATTTGTAATTCTGCAGAAGAACTCGAGACATAACTGTAATGCAAATAGTTCGATACCAAGTTACCCCAACAAATGTAACGTAAAATAACTCGTACATTGTTTCAGAAAGGAGGATTTGTCGAAATGGTGAAACTAGGATCTTGCAGCGGCGGAAGCTCAAAACCTGACATAAAATCATCCCCAAAGATAACTGCACCGGCAGCTAAAGCTCCAGCACCGAGCCCCATCCCAAAACCTGGTCTGGCCATTGGTCCAGATGAGGGCACGTTTATGTAACTAGGCAGCACATTATCAGTTCTAGGTAGAAAAGTAGGCATGAATCCAACATTTGAAGGCGGAGGTGGAGGGGGCCGGGTTCTTGGTGGTTGATAGCTTGTCCCGGCAGCTGTCGCATAGCTCGGCCCAGCAGGTATATTGGAATAATTTCTAGGAAATGGCAGAGGGTGAGTGTACTGCTGGCTCGTTGTCTGTGACTGAGCTCCCATCTGCTGGGGCATAGCTGGAGGAAACTGCGAATGCAAAGGCCCAAACCCACCATCTAAGTTGATAAATCCACTATTATCCACGAGCTTAAATCCTTCCTGGTCACCTAGAGATCAAAATTTTGAAGCATTTCTAAATTTCCACTATAGCATTTCTTTTTCAAAAGTAAAAAACTTGCAAGAGAGATAGAGAACGGCTCATCTGTACCTTGGTGTGAACTGGGCTCTTCCTTTTCTTCTGATATTCGGATTGAGATATCAACAAATCCTTGAGGTTTTTCGGAATTCTTCTTCCTCAGCTGAAAACTTCCCAACTCTTCCACTGGCTTTGGAACCTCAGAGCTTTTCAAGTACTTTTCCAGAAATTCTTTCAGAAGCACAGTTGCTGTTCCCGTGATCTTTTCTCTAAGAAAGACAGGTTCTCTGCTGTAGACTTCAACATGGAGGGCCATATCTTGGAAGTCTGGTTCAGAAGGATCAATCAATGCTGAAAACTTGGTTTTCCAAACTGGATTAGCATTCCCAGAAGCATCTATCCGGGTGCAGTATTTGTTGTTAGCATCAATCCATCCAACAGCATACCACTGAAGCTTCCACAGAGAAGACTTTCGCCGCAGGCCCCTAGCTGAGATCAAGCAGACCTCCACCCATATTTTTCCCATCAAGGCTTGTCAGCACAATAAGGAAAGGGGAAAAAGAAGATGCGGCTATTTTCTTCTAAAGTTGACAAAGAAGGGAGAAGGCTTTTGCATCAGAAAAAGTAAAGGCCAGCAGAATACTTTATTATCAATCTGGCAAATCCTAATGATCACATTACTTTTCCTCAACAAATTACCCGTAAGGCACCATTACAGAGGAGAGGAATCAGAATAAAAGTCAAAAGTTTGTGCAGTATAAAGCGGCAGAAAACAAGATGGATGTCCCCACTCATGTGGTAATTTATCTATAATGTCTCTCCAAAGAATTGTTTACTATTAACGATAAGGTATTAATGACTGATAATTAATTTAGCTAAGTAAGGCATCACTTTTGAATTGGATGCCAAACTCAAAAACTGAAAAATCTCAGCCAAGTTAAACCCAAATGGTAACATGTGAATGAGATCCCTTACATTCTTTAAGCTTGTATGAAGCGAATGTCCACCTGGGTGACTATACATTCGTCTGTGAGGATGAAGGAACCATTCAGCATCTTGAAGGATATCAAAATAGAGATTATTCTCTTGATGGGGGAAATGACAGGATCCTTTTCCCAGCGTATACAACCATCTGCTCTGCCTCTGGACAGCTAGATGCGCCAGTGTACATCATTGTGGTGGAATTCAGAATGTCATCTCCAAATCCACATGCCGTAAAGAATAACCTGAGGGAAAATTACAGAGGCAACATGCGTTAGCTGCTAGAGATCATCCTCTTCTGACAAGCCGCGGCAAATAATGTCAAACTTAAATGAAGAAAGTAGTCTGACATGAGAATAGAACATAGAATCACACAAAACAATAGTGAATAATATCCTTTTACCTCTCTTGGTCAGAACAAAGGGCAGATATATCATATACCTCTCTGCTGGCGAGCAATCTGGAGTAGAAATAGTAATGCTTAGACATATTTTCAAATTAGCTTTCAAAACTTACAACTTAACATTCAGATAATGTTGCAGCTCCCACGACCAACCTTCAACACAGTCAAGATGCATCATAATTTACTACTTCCTTTACTAATTTGGAACCAGAAAACCTAAACCCCCAAATTTTAGCAAAGTATAATTCCCAAACTGAACACTTTGAATTGTAAACATAATAATAGTTAATCGTGCGACAACCTTATGATTTTCTGAACAATCCTCCTGCCGATTCCTCTTCCTCGGAGAGCAGGGATCACCTGCAATTCACTGAAACACCATCAAATCCCTAAATGGTATGGAAAGGATTAAGAAGTGAGAGGATTAATACTAAATTATAAAAGTAAGGCGTAATTTTCTCTGGAATAAAAATTTCCCACCATCACATCATGTATAGAGGCAGTTAATCCCAAATCCGATACAGCACGGCCGAACCCCACAAGACGACCGTTGTCCGGCGTCACCGGCATGATCACCTTCTGAATCCACTTTCCACCAATGCCCATTGATTCAATTACTAGTTCAGCACTGGAAGGCAAGTTAGAGATGAATTCCGGTTTGGTGAAAACCGAAACGACGACGGAACTGTTAACCAAAGCCGTGCGGAGCTTATTGTTATCGACAGGCTCGACGCGGCCGTGGGAGTCGAAGTTGGGGAACCGGTGGCAGGAGTGGTTGCAGAGAGCGTAAAGCTCTTGGAGGTGCCGGAGGTCGACGTGTGATGAATCGGTGGATATATACAGCGGCGGTGTCGGAGATCTTTTGCAGGTGATTTTGAGTGGTGGATGAAGAAATTTGGAGGGAACATAACCGCCGTATGCGGCGGCGGTAGCAACGGCCATACTTTGTTAATATTCTCCTCCTCCCACTTTTTCGCTGATTTATCCATTACTTGGGGTTGGAATATAAACGTTAATTAATTAAAAAAGAAAATAAATAGTGTATCATTTCTATTCTTTGAAATATAAGACTTGATTAGTAGACTATGGGAAGGAAAAAAAATGTCACAATCTGTTTGCTTCATTTTTTCAATGGTTTTTTAACAATAATATAATACTCCCCCGTCCCATAATTATTGTCCAGTTTTACTAAAATGAAAGATTTTCTTTTTGGTCAAATTAACTATATTTTACCTTAAACAACCGGATATACCCCTACATAAGTAATTGTTTAACCACTAAGATTTTATGGATAATGTTTTTTACTAAGAACAAATGTGTAACTTGATCCATAAAAAGTCAAATTGGAAAATAATTTTGGAACAAAATTTTTTGGGCAAAGTGGACAATAATTATATGACGGAGGGAGTAATAATTGTCTCATCCCGACATACATTTTTACATTTCCAATGCTCATTTTTACATTCTCAATACAAGAAATACATAAAAACACACGCACTAAAAAATGAACCAAACATAGTAGTGCATAAACTAAAATAATATTGTAACACAGTTTTATTCTGGTTTTGAATAGCAAAATCTTTACACTATGTACAAATATATTCTGATTGAATCATGACAAAATTTTGATCTTGGAAGCATTCTGATCTTGAATACCTATTTGAAAGGAGACAATAATAAAATACCAAATGGATAAATTTATGCGAATCTAAAAGTAAACCTGAAATGTGACACCATTGATGGGCTATTATAGTGGGTAACGAAGTGAAGAGAATTTAGTATATGCTTCTTGCTTCTTAACTTCTTTGTCCAAGATAAAACTTGGACTAAGTAACTTCTTTGTTGATAAAACTTGGATTGAATAAACCATATGCACAATCCACATTAGTAAGGCCTCAAAACTCCATCACGGTTCCTTTTGATTAGAATATGGACACCTTGACCAGGTTCTACAATCATCCTATAAGCTGGACAATGTCGATATTTCGGCGATAACGAGAAAGTGAAATTGGAAACAATGAGGGATATCACCAGTTTCAGTTGAGCCAGAGCAAAATTCCGGCCAAGGCACAACCTTGGACCCAACCCAAATGGGATATAAACTTGAGGCAACTTGCAGGCACCAGAAACGCCGTTGGCAAATCTCTCAGGCTTGAATTCATTTGCATCTTCTCCCCAAATGTCAGGATCACGATGCAATGTCGGAATCAGTGTCCACGTGCACACCCCTTTTGGCACCGAGATGTGGCAGATTTGAGTCTCCTCCAGCGCCTCCCGCGACACGAATGCTGCCGGTGGATATAGCCGCATCGCTTCGTGAATTACCATCGTCACCTGCAGTGTGTGTGCGCGCTCGAATAATAAGGATCTCATCGGTGAAATCATTTAGTGAAATGACGTAGAAAACTGATGTACTAGATATACTCATTTCACTTGAACTATATATACATTAAGTGAAACTGACACATTATATGGAATGATTATGTTCTATAAGGTACCATTTTCATCTTGGAAAGTGAATCAGCATCTGGCACACCATTGGGACAAACTTGAGAGAGTTCTTCGCGAATGCGGTTTTGCCAATCGGGGTGAAGGGCAAGAAGCATCAAGCACCAGGACATCGCAACGGCCGTCGCCTCGTGCCCGGCAAAATACATGTTCTTGCAGTTGTCAACAATGAAACTCTTTGATGAAGCTTGGCCAACATCATTGATGGCCCCTTCTAGTATTTGCTGCAACAGATCCTTCTCTGTTGAAGGCTCCTCCTCGCATTCTTTCGCACGTTGCGCTATTGTTTCAAGAATCGAATCCTCTATCTCCTTCTCCATACTTTGAATTTCCTTTTGCTGCTTGCTAGGAAATAACCTGCGGGATACATAATTGTGACAATGCAGTTAATTAACCGATCAGTTTCTTTTAAGAGAAAATAAATTCTAATTCTGCTTCGAAATCAATCGTACCCGAATGTGGAAGCACCAAAAAGCACACTTTGATTGGAAATGGTTTTCTGAAGAGTTCTGAGCTTTGAGAAGATCTTTTTGCCTTTGAAGTAAGAGCTCCCGAAACAAGCCCTGGAGATCACATCCCCTGAAAGACTCCTTAGATCCTCATCCACTTTAATATCTGCAATTTTTCCACCCTGAGCATCAATACTGGATTCCCACTTCGACAATAATGGTTCGGCTGATTCCAACATCAGACCTACCATACCCTGTAATTATAATATCGAGTTCCGTTAATAGAATAATTAAATTGTAGAATCAATAAATTGTCACGCCAGTCGCTATAAACAATCGTAATGATTAATTTGTGGTGTGTCATTGCTCTATATACGCACGACCTAGGGAAATATCCCGTCCATTTGTATTACCTTGACCTTGTCCATGAAAAATTCAGGGGCTAAAATTTTCCTCTGTTGTGCCCAAAAGCTTCCATTAGACCTCAAAATTCCATTGCCAAGCATGGGTTGAAGTCTTTTTGTAATGTAGGTAGGTTTTCCGAGTTGCATAGTAACACTCTGGTTCATTTCCTTCACCAGCTCCGGATTGTTTATGTACAAATGTTGTTTGTTCCCAGTTGAGTATGTATATACAAGACCTGTCCATATTAATAAATCCACCAAAGAGTAAAAAAGTAGTTTCAAAATCCAGGCATCAGACTCAACAAATGACCGAATTCAATGCCAAAAAAACAAAACAAAACAATGGTAATGTCGACATTCCTAGGTTAAGAACCACATTAGAATGGTCAATGCACACAACTTCACATGATTGGCTTCCGTGTGTTCCCCAAGTGAAATTGTAGTAGTACTATGGTAGTCAAGTATCAACTAGCTGGATCGTGTCCTGTTAGTCCGGACAATTATTGGGTTTTTCTGAAGAAAAATCTTAAACAGCTCCGATGAATTATGATGTTCATTGCAGACATGCTATGAAAATCGTACCTTAAGTTTCCTGTAACATGCTATTCTGGAAAAAGTAATTAACCTGTGTTTAGGATTTACTTTTATTCACACAGTAACAAGTGAAAAGGTCAAATTAGCTGCTATTTTATACGTCCTTTTCAGATTGCAAAAGCTGCTCCAATACTAAATCTTTCGCTTTATTGATGATAAGAAAAAGAAAGAATAGTAAGTCTCCATGATTCCAATGTTGCTCTGAAGAAGAAAAAGTTTGGTTGATTTTAACACTCTCAATCTCTTGACCAAATCGTTGCCACTTGTAAAAAGTTCATAATTTCATATGACTTCTGCTTACACTTCAATAGTCCAAACGTCATTTCTCGAGGTTAATTTAAAAATGGACACCATTCACCAATGCTCCTTATGTGCATCCCATATGCTAAAATTTTGTTAAAAAAAAAAAAAAGTAAAAAAGTAGCACCAGTCACCAGAAAGATGTTTGAAAAATAATGGGAAAAAGTTTCAAGCAATTGGATGAAGAGTCATCAATTAATATTTGTCATTAAAATTGGTATTGACATCGGGACTAAAGTTGATGAGCCATCATTTGAACAAGAGATATGGGTGATGTGAAGATCGTTGATATTCTTGTCAGTGTGTGAATTCAATAATATTTTTCAAATAATTGAGATGCTATATTTGGTTTCGAGAGTACTAATAAAGTATGCCACAATAGCATGCCTGCCCTCTTCCAGTAGGGTTTGACAATGCTCCAATAAGGACCAACAACATGATCATTTCAAGCGCCCAATCAGATGAAAGTGTAGATCCTTTTTAAGGGAGTTTTTTTTTTTTTTTTAATATATACATTGGTTCGTTTCCAATTTGGTTCAGTAAATATGATTATTTTTAGAGATAACACTACTTATTTGAAATCCTTCCTTCAAAATAGGGAATAAACGAGCCTCAACCAAAAAAGACCAGAGGATACACAGTAACACAGGTCCTACCCCAATTAAAAATCGAAACCGGCGGTATGGGAATTGCCGGCTTGGGAGTTGGGGACATTCAAGAACTGACAAAATTTTTGTGCTAAATAAGAAAAAATAAATAAAAGCTCAAAAACCACTCTAGGTTTAAGTGGTAAAAATATTGTATCATACTCTGTCAATTCCAAAATAGTTATAAAGAATTTCAAAATTTAAAGTGAAACAATTTTTTTAGAACAACAAAGAGAGTAATTAATATTTAAAATGCGAGATGAGTGAGTTTTGATAACAATGTTCTGGATGTAACATGCCTGGCTAAGAAGAAAAAATCGCCATGCAACTTGTAGTGGCTACCTAAGAAAGAAATACTATTACTCTTACCCCATGGTACTGGAAAATCATGTGCTCAAACATACCTGCTTCTTCCTTTCCCTTTTTTTTTTTTTTTCTGTTTTAAGTTGAGCCAAGTCGTGGTCTACTTTAAATTGTTACTTGTCGAGATCTGGAAGTTTCGAAGAATTATATTTTTTCAGTTTGAGTTTGTATTAGATCCATGAAATAGAGTTTTAATCAGAAAAAAAAAGTGATATGTTTACAATGGTACACAACATGTCCAACAATTGAAGAATTTAACTAAATAGATCAAGATTGGTTGAATTGCAGTAAATACAACAGTTTTAAATTAAATATTATACATATAGGCATTTGTCATATTTTAGTGGTTATATCCTTTCCTGTCAATCATTGCTGGACAAATTTCGGTAAAGTTAATACGAATTCTTTCTTTTTTTTAAAAAAAAAGAAAAGTTGGGACGGTTTTGAGCAACTAGAAAACGTAATCTTCACATAAAACATGAATTTAAATGACGGCCCGACCAATCCAATTTTTTTCTTTTAATACACATAAACAACTTAGAACAAAAGTTAAACTATTTAGTGCGGAGCCAAATACTTCAAGCTATTTAGTGCGAAGCGCAAACAAAATAGCAATAAAGACGAGTACGTAATACACTATACTTCTTCATTGTGGAACAAAGTCACAAACAGCTGGATTCTTCGGTCATCAACTTTGCTGAGACTTTTGAGTTGTACATATAGAGTATTATATATAACAATTTGTTGAAATTATTGCGCATATATATGAATCTCCGTTTTAACGGATCAATCAATCATACGTGATTTTTTTCTGTTGTTTTTTTTCATGGTACGTCATTGATGGCCCATTATTAGTACCATAATTAAAGAGCTTGATGGGCACCCATTATTAGTAAAAAAAAAAATCTAAAAAACACTCCAAAAAGAATAATAAAAATAAAACAAAACATAAATATTTGTATATCTGAGAATCTAAAGCTAGAAAGATGGAAGAAGAAGGTTTACCGTATTCTTTTCTCCATTGCTCGAAGTATGGGAAGATAGTGGAAGTGTAATCATGGGCCACAAATTCACCATAATTTGGAGGTTTCGTGGTGGTGGCGGCCTGAATCTTCTGCATCTCCTTGACGTTTCCAAACAAGAAAGAAGGACGAGGCCCTTTAATGCCTTGCCTTTGAAGTTTCCATCTCAGCCTCTGAGGATCTAACCACATAACGTTGACTATATATGAAGCAAATCCGATCAGAAGTACTCCCAAAACAGTCATCCACGACAAGTTGTTTTTCAGAGGAAGAAGAAGAAGAAGAAGAAAGGGAAGAACGAAGATGAAGAAAGGCTTCATTTTTTGACACCTTTTTTTTTTTTTTTCCCGTGTGGTTTTTTGGCTCTCTGCTCTTTGTTTCTTGGAGTTGAGATGTATATTTATGCGTTGGTGGTGCCACAGAAAACGACAAATTAACGAGGAGAGAATAAAATATATCTATGGGAATGGGAATCCCCAATAGTGCCTTTAGATTTTTAGTAATATCCGATTTGTTTTCTTATTAATAATTGTGACGGCACATTAAAATTAAAGATGAGTATAAAGAAGATATTGATTAAGTTTTTTTTTTTTTTTACAACGAAAGAGGCGAAACTGAAATTATAACGCTACGTAGATAAGACACACCAATTAATGGTATGTTTGTTTCGTTTTTTTAATGTGTGTTTTTAGTTGTTTTTTGTATTGGAAATGTGAAAAGGTGTATTGAAAATATAAAACGATATGCTGGGATGGGACAGTTATTATTAAAATAATCTGAAAAAAACATCCAAAAAACCAAACAAACAGAGATTAAGTTAACTATGATGTTCCGAAATCCGAATCAGTCAGACGCAATGTTAATTATCCAACGTTATGAAGTCCATCGGTATTGATTACAATAAAATAAGTCAAAAATTTAAAATCAAATCAGACTATTACATTTCGTAGAAATGAAAATGACGTAATGTCATTATCTAATTATTGTTAGATGGTAAACTATATATCATCAAGAAATCTAAAATAACTTTTTTTTGTAGGCACAACAGAGGAGATAATAGTAACCTTTCAACTTATTTTTTGGCGAATTAATTAACTACTAACGTATGAGATCAAATTGTATTTAGAACACAATGATGTTGTCGGCTCTTTTACCGCAATCGGTTGTATGTTGATGTTTAAACGATAATGAGTTTGCGGTGGTTAATTTAGATGCATATTAGGTTGACACTTGTGGTAGGGGCCGGAAAGCTTTGATTTATAAACCTAGAGAGGTGAATAGCCGATGCTTATAATTTGGCTGGATGCTTAACATATTGGAATTGGAGTAGCACGTACTTACTAGACGCATGTGGAAGATAGACTACTGGCTATACGTACATATTCCTTGGTGATATATAATAACTGGTAAAGCATCATCCAATATTCCAACTATGAGCCAATCCCAAATAGTGCACCTTTTGTGTTTTTTGTAATCTAATGTAACACTTCGCTTTCAGCATCCTTTTGCTTTGTTGCTTTGCAGTTTTTTTTTTTTTTTCCCCTAAACATTGATTTACTTGCAGTTTCTATCAAAGACTGAGTGCTTAACTAAACCTAAAATAATTTTGTTTTTCCAAATGAAATGGAAAACCCAGTCAAGAAGGTGACTGTCATCATCAGCTGCTTCCACTGGTGCGCAAGAGTACGAGTGATTGAGCACAAAACTCACTTAGATTTCCAAAAAACAGTCGGTAACTTTCCATTATCTCAATCAGCAGATTGTTAAACATCGTATTCATTCAGCCAACCTCATCACAGAGTAGTACTCCATCGGTCCCATAATTATTGTTCAGTTTAGATTTTTGTTTCTAGTTTAATTTGTACTAAAAATGAAAATCCAAACTAGACAATAATTTTAAGACGGAGAGAGTAACAAGTGTCTATGTAATTGTTATTTTTCCCGAGATAGTTGTCTCTCCATAGTTCACTACCATTGATCACGCGATAACTTTAAAACATGTCATGTATCATATTTATACCCCAGTTACATTTTATTGTCTGAAGCTAAAGAGACGTCTTGAGCAAATTGAAGAAGATATGCGACAGGAGGATGGCAAATTGAGACTAGTAGTAATGAAGATGGTTCAAAACGCCAAACAGAGATATAGAAGATGAAAGAGACAAGTCCAAAAGGCCGTGTTGTGTGTTTTGGTTCAATGCAATGACGAAATACACTCCCCCCTTCGAAAAAACATGTAGATGTAGGAATCTAACAGTGCACGAGTCACAAACACGTAGAAAAAGGCAAATTCAAACGATGGTTTTGGCCTTTTGGACCTTTGGTGATTGACTACGGACTTTACTATACAGCGTACATATTCACATGAAGGAGAGAATTATATGGACCCAGTTTTCCTTTGGTTCACAATTAGCATCATTTTCTTGCCCAAAATCATGTACGAACTTGTCAGTCTTGTTACAAATGTGAGCTTGAATTTAACTTGTACTTGAAAATATATTTGGGATAATTGAACAGATAGATAAAAACATGTTATGTGAGCAATTCAATAATCTTAAACTTTGCAAATCTATTCCGTAATCATGAAACACCCACAAATTTATTAATTGGGCTCTGCATCAAAATATCCCAAAATTTCAACGTCCTGCTGACAAACTACGAGAAGAAACCAATTACTGAACTAATTAACTCCTTAAGTACTATATTCGATCAACTCGAGTTAAGCGAATCTAAAGAGAAAGTATTGTACATTTAAACGTCCTACTGACTTTGATCGCTATTATGGGGCATAAAGCCATATGCATGATCACTATATATTGAGGCCTCGAGGGCCAAGAATGTAGCAATATTACATGATCGACAGAAGATGCAGTACTAATGTCGTCTGTATGGTTTATATGTGGCCACAATAATTAATAAAAATGTCACACTCGAGACATCATGAAAACCATTATATTTTGTACCTTCCAACTTCCGCTTCCTTACTTCAATTCATTCGGTCTCCATAATTGAATAGATATGTCAACATCCCTTGACACTATCACATGGTAATGTACTTCCTTTCTTCTGCATTGCATTTTCAATTCGTAACTCTACTAGCCTTCTGTCATTTGATTGATCAATTAAAGGTATCCTGATTGAATATAAAAAAAATAAAATAAAATGAAATGGAAGTTGTCCATGCATGTAGAACATATATTTTTTTTAGAAACAAAAAATCATTAATATGCATGATCACTGTCAATTTGAGGCACTTAAGTTGATTTGCATCAATAAACTGACACGATGTGACAAAATGAAGCCGATTATTATTTTTTAATTTGTTTACCTGTTTGACGCTAGTTCTGTTAGAATAATACTCTGGTGGGTCTTACCAGCGTGATGTACTAGCTTAGTATTTCAGGCATTTGTCTACTTTATTGTACCAAAAAAAATAATACTCTCTCTGTCTTAAGAAGATATTTCACTATGAATTTTAAAATTTATATGAAAAACAGTAAAATGTGAAAATTTATGTGGATTTTTTTCTCAGGACAGAGATAGTATCTGTCAATCAGTACATGCCAAATTAAATATGCACAAAAACATAAAAAGGATAGCTAAATATTATGTTCGAAATATTTGGAAAAAAATATGAACGACACACCCCTTCATCGTTGTCTCATGCAGGTAGTTCGTGGTCACATGCAGCTAGTTCCAATAATCCATTTTTTTCCCATTAAATTCGGACCGTGCTAACGACCCAAAAAATGGGAAGATTGGTTCATTCGCAATTATTTTTATTTAAGAACCCAAGGTGAACAAATATTGTGCCTGTACACTCAGGGGAAAAACCATTATCGGCCCAAGTTGAATATCTACAAAGTTCCTTAGAGCGGATTATAATGGGCCAACACTTTTCATTTGATGGATCAAAATTTTATGAGTCCACTTTTGAAACCAGGTGTTCGGCCTAATTGGTCAAAATGGCATTTAAGTGGAGGAATCCTTTACCCAAATAAAAAATTATGATCCAGAGCAACATTTTGCTTCTTTTTTACCATAAGTACCCTAGATTTAAATAAATTTACTTTCATCTCTTGTTAATTTTCTTATGTATAAAAGAAGGGTGATCTTAGTAAGAGACACTTTATTTTTCCTATGTATAAAAGGAGGGTGGTCTTAGTGAGAGATGCTTTGGACTCTATAGTTTTTGCAGTAAAGATTCTTTAAGTTCATATCGTGACTTTAAAATTATAGAGACTTTACCTCGAACAAAGTATAAGGATGCCCTAATTTAAATTATTAAACTTTGAATACATTGCAAAAATAATAAGTAATTAAATAAATATGTATAAGAAGTTAAGTTTAAACACTCAATTCGTAAATAGAAACTCTTCAATCCCTAAACTGCTCTACTCAAAACTTACCAAATAGTAACTCTTTTTTTGCTCTTCATGTAGGAGCGTGGAGGAACTGAGTACCTTTGGCTCTTCGAATATTCCCACCCCCACTCTTTCATAGTTCTATGCGTGAGTTTTAGCTCCACGCTTTGTTTCAAATGTTCTTCGGTCAATAAATATAAATGCAATAATAATCAATAAAATATCATTAAAACTTACCTATTATATAAGAGATCCACCATTTATATTTGTGCGATGCCAATCAAAAGCGATATGGCAATATACACAACTGGTAATTCTATTATTGAATATGTGTTTAGCCCATAATTCTCGACCAGTGCATTCCATCATGTTCGACAATCACTAAACACTGTATAAGAAGAATTTCCAACTACAAAATCTAAATTAATTTTGGATTCAGACATATAATTTTATTAGAAAAAATAATATTGACAAATAAATTATAGACACGGTCTCTACCATCAGAAAGTAATGATTAATCCTTGCTCTCAACTCTTAAGGCTACGATATCCTTCTTGACAGATCCCGACTGTCATCGGTGGAGTATCCACCTATTGTATTAGGCCAAAGTTTTTTAAGAAAACGGGGGTAAGAACTAAAAACAGGTTAAGGAGTTGGGGGAAGAAGAAAATAAAAGAAAAAGAAAGCAAATTTCCAAATTGTAATAACAGTTTCAAAACGACTGTCAAGTCCAATTTGAATCCGGATCTATCTTAAGATGAAATAATGAAACGAATCGGACGGACGTGAAGTGGGTTTTAAATTCGGACACATTCATAGGTGTCACTCATTGCCTCTTTGGACACCGCTTTAGGCCCCCTTACGCTCTATTCTTCTCTCAGTCCTCATCCCTCCATTCATTCGGTTCTCAAACCCCACTGTGTCGTCACTCATATATATCCTGCTCCGATTTTGCAAATCCCATCTTTATCATTCATTTCAAATGAGAGCTTCTTCTTCTGACGATATTTGAATTGGGTTCTTTTCAGATTCTCACATGTAGGGAGTCAGAGAATAAACTTTTATTCTCTGATTTTTCCCATCAGGGATACATCTTTCAGGACCTTTTGGGGCGATTAAAGCCCTAATTTTGAAATTGGGGTTCTGAGATTTACTGGGGGTTTTATCAACTTACTAAATTTTTCGTTTTTAAAGATAGCTTGAGGAACCCTTTTGGTATATACATAGAAAACATACATAGATTCATGTGTATGTCAGTTTGGGTTTTGTGAAAATTCTCTGTATATATTTTGGGGGTTTGGGATTCTTTTTTGTTGTTGTTTGGGTTGTGTTTTTCCACAGCTTTTGTTGTATCAATTTCATTTTTTTTTACCTTTGGGGGTGGAAAAATGGACGGTAGGAGAATAACGGCGAGTCCTCGCCCATGCTCTGGACGCCGTGTGGTGGCTAAGAAGCGACCCCGTGGATTGGATGGTTTTGTTAACAGCGTCAAAAAGCTGCAGAGGCGGGAGATTTCATCTCGGCGTGACCGTGCTTTTAGTATGAGTGACGCCCAGGAACGGTTCAGAAACATCCGATTACAGGTCTGGGTTGCTTGTTTTCCTCTTAACTCTTTTTATGCCATAGATAAGTGGTGGGCGGTGAGAAGCGGTGGAGTTTTCTGATATTTGATTGGTCTATCTATCTGGGTTTGCATGGTGTTGTTGATCATCCGTGGATAATTTGAGTTTTTTCTGATTTGAGTTCTTTTGTTTGCTGATTATGCAAGTTAGGGTTTTTCAACCTGATTGTCCTTTTCCTGGGCTGTCTGCTTAAAATTTTGTGATCTTGTAATTCTTTGTGTAATCATTCATTTGGGTTTTGATGCAGCTGGAATCTAGCTTTTAATTTTAGTTTGGGCTTGCTTATGTTGTATCTATCTGAGGAATGGCGTGAATAGTTCTGTCTGGATGATTAATGAATTTGGAGACTTTGTTGTGGCTGTTGAAATCTAGGGTCTTGTTGATTTATGAAGCTGGAGACTTTGTTTTGGGTGTCAAACTTTAGGGCTTATCTAATTAATTCAGTTCTGTCTGGAGAAGCCCTTGTGTGCTGATTTAGAACTACTTTTCCAGTTTATGTTAAAGCTTTCGGTGTAGCTTTTAAAGAAGGTTTTCGGTGTAGCTTTTAAAGAAGGTTTTTAAATAAAACAAAACAAATGAATGATGTTAGTCACTTTGTGAGATAAACCCCCGAAAAAAGTATTTCCTATCAATACCATCCGTGGTGGCGATTTTTATCTTAATGTTCTGTCATTTTGAGTTGCTTCAATTTCTTTATTTGGCTGATTTGGGATCTTGGACACAACTCGGCACGATCGCCTTTTTATGGGAATCATTAAATAGTTTTAATTGTTAATCTGTATACTCGCTATATTGTTGCATGCCTTCGTTGAGCCGTTACTTTAAAGCGTTGACTTCCTTATGACAGAGAAGTGATTTGCCCTTTTTGCAGGAGGAATATGATACACATGATCCGAAGGGACATACTGCTGTGGTACTTCCGTTTCTTAGGAAACGGTCAAAAATTATTGAAATAGTTGCTGCTCGTGATATTGTGTTTGCGCTTGCACAGTCCGGGGTTTGTGCAGCATTCAGCCGTGGTAGGGCCCTTAGATGTTGAAAGTCATTCTTGTGAAATGTCTTATATGCACACTTTGTGAATTAAAACATTTGATTTGTTGGATGCAGAGACTAATGATAGGATATGCTTTCTGAACGTAAGCCCTGATGAGGTCATAAGGAGTTTGTTCTACAATAAAAACAATGATTCACTTATAACTGTTTCGGTGTATGCGTCCGATAATTTCAGCTCTTTGAAGTGCAGAACCACAAGGATTGAGTATGAACACTTCTCTTTCGTTTATAAGCTTTTTGTTTTTACAGGATTTTTCTCCCTCTCATATCAGATTATTGATCTTTTTACCAGATACATCCGGAGAGGCAAACCAGATGCCGGTTTTCCTCTGTTTGAATCGGAGTCATTGAAGTGGCCTGGTTTTGTTGAGTTTGATGACGTGAATGGGAAGGTTCTCACTTATTCTGCGCAGGATAGGTAAGTATTCAACAGCTGGGCTATATAATAAATTTTTCATTTTTCTACTTTGAAGTTATAGTTGTGAAGTTACGCTGACACACCGTTCTGATCTCTATTTCTTTCACAGCATATACAAGGTTTTTGACCTGAAGAACTATACAATGCTGTACTCAATCTCTGATAAGAATGTTCAAGAAATTAAAATCAGGTAAATATGCTAAGATTTACTCAATCATAACACAGTTTGGATACAACAAGATGAACTTAAAGTAGAACAGGATGATTGATGAAGTGCTTGAAACTGACTCACTGCTGTTGACGTGTTTACTTAATGGATTTCTGGCTTGGCATTTGGCTTACCAACTGTTATTCCTGTTTTTAGAATGCAATTAATCTTGATGTTTGATTTGGTAAACAGTCCTGGAATAATGTTGCTGATATTTACAAAAGCATGTGGTCACGTTCCGCTGAAGATTTTGTCAATTGAGGATGGGACTGTTCTCAAATCTTTCAACCATCTCCTTCACCGGAATAAGAAGGTGGATTTCATTGAACAGTTCAATGAAAAGCTCCTTGTCAAGCAGGAAAATGAGAACCTCCAAATTCTTGATGTAAGTTTTCTTCAGATGATTTTGAGTATCTGTTTTGTCTTATTATTCAGCAAAACTCAGGCAGCTGCCATTATCATTTTAGGTCCGCAATTCTGAGTTGACTGAGGTTAGCCGAACCGAGTTCATGACCCCATCAGCATTCATATTTCTATATGAGAACCAGCTATTTTTGACATTCAGAAACCGAACAGTTGCTGTTTGGAATTTCCGGGGGGAGTTGGTTACTTCATTTGAGGATCACCTTCTGTGGCATCCTGATTGCAATACCAATAACATTTACATCACTAGTGATCAGGACTTAATTATTTCGTACTGCAAGGCAGAGTCTGATGATCCAGTAGCAGAAGGAAATGGTAAGCTTACTGTTGGCATTGTATCTCACTGAAATGGACTAGTAACTAAACAGAAGTTATGGATAATAAAGCAGTGTTCTTGTTTAGAAGTATTTTGACTTGTACATTATTTTAGAGTTGCCCTTTTGAGTGTCTGATTATGTGAATTTTGTGGCTTGCAGCAGGTTCGATTAATATTAGCAATATCCTGACTGGAAAATGCCTTGCTAAAATAAAAGCTAGCAACAGCTCTCCTTGGGATGATTGCTCTTGTATTGCTAGTTGTGGGGGAAGAAATTGTAACCCGCGAAGACGTGTTCAAGCTTCTAGAGTAAGGAGCACTGTTGGAGAAGCTCTGGAAGATATTACAGCCCTTTTCTATGATGAAGAGCGAAATGAAATATACACCGGCAATAGGCTTGGCTTGGTCCATGTATGGTCTAACTAGAGTTGGTATGGTAACCCTGTGGTTGTGGGGTTATATAGTTCTTCGAGATGATTGGATTTGTTGCAAAACCCTGTTGCAATAATTCTGTAACTGTATCCTTAGAGGTTGAAGAGATTTGGATTTGTTTCAACTTTTGCTTTGTTGTGCCAGTTTATGTAGGAATTGTGTGACCCCCCTCGAAACGAGGGGACTCCCTTTGATTCAATATTCTGCTGGCATTTCTTTTTCCTGATTTATCCTGTGTGAAGATTATCTTCAGGGGCCGTGTAGATGGCCGTTTGTAGTAGGTCACCAGGAGTGATCTTTTACTGTGTATTGAAATGACAAGCAAGTAGTTTGTTGATATATGTATGGAAAGTAACTTCCGTTTTTATGATGCTTTCCTGTGAGTTTCCAGTACTTATATGTTGTGCGTTGTTTGTATGTGTTTGATCCTGGTAGGAATTCGAGGGGGATTTTCTCATCTTGAGTTTTTGCCTTGCTTTCATGCCCAGATGATTTTCTCCATTGAACTCGAGTCTAGAGAGAATGTTTCTAATTATTTATATGTAATAGAAAAATATAGGTTGATTTTGATAGTCATAGGTTTTTAGAGATTAGGTTAAGATTTGGTGTTTAATCATCAAGTATATTTAAAGCATCCTTATTAGTACTACCTGATTTTATTTTCTCAAAAGTCAAAAATGGAAGTCATTAATTTTCTCAACCATTTAATATAGTAACATCCATTTCAAAAAATAAAAATAAAAATACTACTATAGTAACACATTAATAGTCTTATGATTTTTATGTTTGTTACATCCATGCTTTTGTTTCATCCCTCGGGTGTGCCAATGCTCAGTTCAACCAGGTCTGATTTTGTATCTGTTTTCCCCATAGCGTTTTTTAATTAAGGTTATGGTCTCTGCGTATGTTTTGGATTTCTCTCTTAAGAAATGGAAGCAGGTTAAGATCTACGTAATTTATTTCTTGGATAATTAGGTTAACTATAGTTAAGCAGGTTGATGATGTTTTACGGGCGATAATTGGAATCAAGAACCATGAAGGCATAAACGATAGTGTTTGTGAAAGGCGTCATGTGGATTGTGGACAACAACTTTAATGTGCTGTAAAAGGGGGCCATAAAATGGAGGACAACCAAAGACGTGAGATTGGTGTTTGTTAAAATGGAGTGGAGTGAAGTGATGAAAATTTTTTTGCAACAAGAAGATGTTGCTTCAAGAGTTTTCCACCTTTCTCTTTTGGCTAACCTTCGCCTTCCAAGGCAAGGCACTAGAAAAGTAATAAAGCTACTCATCTATTCTTGTTACAGCATTTTAATCTTCTTCTTTTTTTTTTTTTTTTTCCCTAATTGAAATTTGGATTTCCCAGTGGCGTTTAAAGCCTTCGTTTTTTGGGACAAAGTGCTGTTTATATAAACTTTAAATCACACTACCAAAATCACTAATAAATAACATTTCATACGCCATTTTTTTAGGTATTCGATTTCGATCTATATCATTGTGATACTCTACTGAAGGTTTTCGGCTTAAAACCCACCGGATCACAGTCCATTTAAGATTTTTTTTTTCAATGGGATTAAATATTTTTTATGCCGATTTTATCTAAATTTACTGTTTTTATTATGTCGAACTGACTTCTTTATTTAAAGGTTTTTTTTTAAGGGAGATTTATACGAAAAAAGCAAATCAGCATTTGAAAAAGGGACTAATTTATAGAGGACTAATCGCCCCCTATTTTTCTTTGTTTGTCGGTGTGGGAGAGGTTACGCCTAGTCTGAATCAATCAGCTAATCAAGAAATATTAATGGTGTTCATGCATTTCCAAATTGAATGCGACGGAATGTGCTTTGTTAGAAGACTATGTCCATTGTGCTTTCAGAAAAACAAAAACATTGTTTTCAAGAAAAAAAGGAAAAAGAAAATGTGCATGTTTCCTGGTCACCCCACCGTGACCAGAAAGACGGATCAATTAGTTGTGAATTGTGATGATGATGATGATGATTATACCATCATTAATGAGATCCTTATTCCCTTCAAAGATAAATACGTAGTATTAGATACAACACCTTTGTTTTTTCGAATTATGTGGTCTCATCATCTCAAGATAATTGTACTAAAATTAAAAATAAATGGGACGATCATTTTGACACATGGAAAATATTAATTAATTATTATTTGACGATTTCCCATGAAACCATAGTTTTTTTTTTCCCTCAATAAAAGGAGCGTTTATTAACTATTTTAACCTTTACTAATTTTTGCTAGGCTGATCAAAACTGAAGGCAATAGAGGTGATGGGTTTTTCTTAGCTATGCACATTGTGAATCAAATATCGAGGGGCATATTGGTCTCTGAGCTTAGGGAATATCACTAGACAAAAGACTTTAATAATTCCACCAACAGAGAATCAAATTGGTTCCCATGGATGACAACCAAATAGGTTTTTTCGTTTTTTTTTTTTTTTCCGAAAAACCAAACAGGATAATATAATGGGGGGTTTGGTTGTTCTTATCTACACCAAGATCCAAATCTCCCCTAAAATTAGTAAATTATAATCTATGTCTACAAACTCCATTCAATCAGACCCTTCCACAAATTTGTCTGAAGGCTTTAGCAGTTATCACGAGAGTCGCATCTCCTCTAATTTATACTTTTTTTGTCCCAAAATTATTATTCAGTTTATATTTTCATTTTTAATTCAAATTGAACTAAAATAAGAAATTTAAATTGGACAATTTTTAAGACTGAGGGTGTATGCTCTTTTTAACATTTTGATTTCGGCTTAAATGCAGTAATATTTCGTTTCGTCATAATGAAGTTGGCTTTTCAGGAAAATTAGTGAAACTATGTAACAAAAATGTAAGAATTTTCAAAGAAAAGAATGTTAGTACAACAAAAAAGGATAGGACTAGTGAATCGATCTTTGACCGATCAATTGCTAGTCACTAACTAATCTCATGCAGTGATAGATTTATAATTTATTAATTTATTCCTGATTACCAATTTCAAATTGAGGAACTTTTCATCTCATCTCTCATTGTCACTAGCTTTTATGTAATTTAACCATTTTTTTAAAAAAATAAAAAAATATTAATACTAAATAATCCATGGTCATATGACATCACGCGCCTCAGAGTGTTGGGGTGCATGAGAATCCGGGTGGTCCGTTGTCTTTACATTTGCTAAATTCTAGTACACGTTTCCATATCTCACACCACGCTCTCTCTCTCTCACGCACTCACTCACTCTCTCTGTTGTTTCTTTTCTGTTTTCCAATATCTCTCTCATTCTCTCACACACACTAAAACGTGCCCTCTGCTTTTTTTTTTTTTTTTTTTTGGGTCTTCCCCACTGGAGCTCACTTCATCCTCCATCCACCTCCTCAATCCAGTTCAATTTGTCCCTCAAAAAGAAATGCAGGATAAAAAGCTACCCATTATTTAATCAATAACTGTGACCCTTTTTTCAGTTAAAGATTTGAGATCTCCGCAACCAACATTTTGAATTTCTTACTCTGTATCCTTTGTTTTTTCTCTTTCTTTCTGGGCTTCACTCACTGCTGTAGAGCAAAGTGCTGAAGTAAGTTGTTCTTTCTTTTTGAATGTGTCTTTTATGCATGGATTGCTCATTGTTTATTCATGTTTTTAATATGTGGAGCCAGTGCATAAGAGATGAGGATTTAGTCATAAAAAAATTTCAAATTAACCTCAAAGACCGCTCCTTTGTGTCGGTGAGTTTAGCATTACATTTGACCTTCCTGCTTGCAAGATTGTTTTTTTCCCTTCTTTAAAGGATGCTAGATCTGATCTTGATTCGTGGGTTTATGTAAGAGATTAGAATTCTTTGCGAGAAGGTTGTATTTAAGTGACCCATTGACTTCAACGGTGATTATGTGAAGCAAAAGAACAATCTTTATTTGTGGCCATTATTTCAGTGTTGATGAAATTTCATATTTTAGAGTTGTTTCTTGCTTGGAAGATTCAGAAACTATTATTTTAGGTTTAAGGCTCTGGCAATTGCTGGATAACATCTAGAAACCAATGCTTCAAAACTGTGTTGCTACTTATATGTCTTTCGGTTGCGTGTGTAAAAATGTCGTGCGCAGTATATTTTGGTTGATTTCCGTTGAAGTGGTGAAACTGTTGGTCTAATAAATGATCTTTCTATTATTTATTTCAGTGCAAATGGAAGTGAGGTCTGCCTCTGGTCTGGGTTGCTGAATGCTTATTGAATTGTCTGGTTCCAGGTGTGTGTATGTGTATTATTATTAATTTTTTGAAGAATGTTAATGATTGGAGGAAAAAAGGAAACATTTTTCCTCTGATATATGGAAAGATTTAATTTTTTTGCTCTCCTTTTATTTTCCAGATTATTGTGCATCATTTGATTCGGGCTAGTAGAAATGGCGAAAGGGATACATGACGATATCCCACTTGACTACATAGAGCTTCAGATTTTCCCAAGTCAGAACAGGTAGTGCTCTTGGGTTACGTGTGCCTGATTATGTTTTCTGTTAAGGTGGAATAACTCTTGACGGATTTTCTTCCAACAGGTATGACTCATACATTGGGAAGGGAAGCAGTTCAGAAATGGTAAAATCAGAAACACTTGAGCCATTATTGTTGCATTTGCCTGCCATCAAAGAGTTGCATGCGAAAGGATATGATGCCAAATATAAACTTATTGCACCTGCTGGCGCCAGTGGTGCTAGATGGTTTACTAAATCAACGCTACTGAGGTGCTTATTTGCTTGTATTTGGGATCATCACTTTGCTTTCCATCATAGAAAAACTCTGTATTAATGAATTCTTTCTTTCGCTGAATTGTTTATTCTTGTCAGATTTTTACATGTCATTGGTTCTCCAGAAGTTTTGAAGGGGACCGATGCTATAAGAAATGAGATATCTCAGCTAGAGGATGCCCGGAAATTTCACATCTCTTTATATGCAGGTTTGTTCTACGTGTCGTCTGCAGTCAGTAAAGTTAATAATGTAATAGAACTGCCATGAGGGACTTTTAGAGTAATACCTCACGTGTTAGAGGCAGACACCTTCCTATAGAGTTTTAGTCTATTTGAAGCAATATCACACTTGAAATGCCAACACTCATATTTCCTCCCCCTGCATAGGTTTCCTCGTATTTGGTTTTCCAAATTCTTTAGATTTGGTAACTCAATTATCTTCCATATATAACTGCAAAATGTGCTAATACGTGGCATATTCCTAAACCAAATTAAGTAAAAATTATATATGCCATATACTGTTAATCATCCTGTGAACGGTGTCCAGTGCCTTAAAATTTTGAATTACTACCCGGAGAGGTAAAAGAAATCATACTAAGAATGGCGCCCTATGCCTTCAAATTTTGAATTCTTACCTAAAGAGGTGAATGAAAATCAACGCGCTGTCGGGCTTTGTTGTAATCTGCCTGATAGTTACCCAAGGTTTTGCTAAGTCAAATATGTTGCACATCCAGTCATCTATACATACCATCTCTTAGTGTTGACATGAATTACTAATTTGAAGAATCCCGCTTGCACTTATCTTATTAACATCATACTGGATAAATCTGACGATTAGCAACTTTGACAGGGAATTCTTCCAGTGGTGATGCACCAAACCTAAAAGTAAGTTTTCTTCCTCTATTTCTTTCTATCCAAGTTTCACTTGAGAAGCCTAAAGATACATTTTATTTGGTAGCTGATATGATAGATGGTGTCTCAACAGGCTGGAATTGGTTCTTCCTCAGATGATTCCAAGTACATTCTAGAACCTGTCAGTTATTTATTTGATTTGTTATTACTTTTAACTTTTTCTAAACATCCATAATGATTAACTTAGGAATGAATTACTTCGAGCAATTGATTTGAGGCTTACGGCTTTGAGAGGGGACTTAGCTGCCGCATTTGCTGAAGTGGCTGGGGCTAGATTCTCCAATAAGGAGATGGACTACTTGGAAAAGTTTTCCCATCATTTTGGAGCTGCAGAGTTAAGGTAACCCACCTCTTGCTTCCCTTTTCCTTCAGAAGAGTTTGCATTCGTAGATACTTACGTACAATGTCAGAATGTACCCCTCATCAGAAGCACCTGTTGGATTAAGAAGGATTTTTCTGATCAGCGTTAAGCATCCATATTGTTTTCAGGGACTCATTGTGCAAACTTGTAGAGCTGAACCAAGAGAAATGCCCAGCTGAGTTTCAGAGCCCAAATCCTGGCAACGTTTCTTCAGGGAAAAGCAAAATCAGTAGTAACCAAGAGACTAATCAGAACATGAAACCTCTACTGACAGAGATTCCAGTTAAATATAGTGCCTCACCTGCGAAAGCCGCACAGGTTGAGAGAGAGAGCTCATCCGATTGCGGGGAGTCGTCATGTTCAAGTGAGGGGGAGCAACCGTCTGTTGAAAGAAGCAGGACTATGATAAGATGTGCTTCACCCAGAAGATCAGCCTCTCCAATGAGGAGGGTTCAAATTGGAAGGTCTGGATCCCGGAGATCCACTGCTTTAACAATCAAAAGTCTCACTCATTTTCCTAGAGAGAGGTTATTCTCTACAAGAGATGCAGGTGCACATGATAGTGATGAAGAATCATCTGAGCATCTGCCAACAAGTGCTGAAGTAAATGTGACGAGAATGAGTGTGCAAGATGCAATTAGTCTTTTTGAAAGAAAACAGAAGGATCAAACTGGGGAGAGTCAGATAAAATCGTCAACATGTGCTGCAGTTGGTACAAATAAAGCAGTGCTGAGAAGATGGAGTTCCAGTGCCGGTGAAAAATTTTCTCAGGATCCTGTAAGTGTTGAGGAAGACCATTCTGTTTCCTTGCCTTCAAATAAATTGGAGAGTGCTGACCTAAAAACTGGGTCGTCAGAAGCCAAAACAGATTCTGATCTATCCTCATCTGAAGATGATCAAGCTCTGCCTACTGAAGTTGCACAAAGGTCAGGCTCCTCTGAACAAAAGTCACTCTCTCCACATTCCTTTCAGGAGGAGAATGCTGTTCCTATTCAAACAGAAACTAGTAGAGAATTGATTGACTCAGCCGAATGGAGTCGACAAAAGGAAGCAGAACTCAATCAGTTGTTCATGAAAATGATGGAAACAAAGCCTGTTAAATACCAAACTAAGGTGTCTGACAATAGGAAAAGGCAGAGCTTGCCTGGTGAACAGAAGGGTGGTTTTTATGATCAGTACAAAGAAAAGCGTAATGAGAAACTCCGGAAAGAAACTAATGGAAAGCGAGAAGAGAAGGAGAAACAATTTAGAGCTATGCAGCAAGCTATTGATCAAAGAAAATCTGAAATGGCCTCTGCAAATGGGAGTGAAGCTGGTAGGAAGCTTAACGTGAAGGGCCAGAAACCGCAAAAGACTTCATTACAGCCTGCAAATCAGAAGAAGGATATCTCAAAGCCATCTGTTGTTAAGAAAGCGTCAACTCCTTTGCCTGTCACACGGAAGTCATGGCCATCTACACCCTCGCCAAGACCTGCAGGTACATCACCTGCAAAAACCCCCCCAGGAGTGTCTTCTGCTGGTGCTCGGCCTACGCAGAGAAAACCGCTGCCAGCATCTTCAGTTCCTCGATCAAGTCCCAAACTTGAAAGACCAGAGCCAAAACCAAAGCCTACCAAGTCAACCCAGATTAACATTAAAAAGGGTGTTAAAGATGTGAATGAAAAGAAGCAGCAATTATCAAAGAAACCTACCAAACCCACGAAACCAAAGGGTCAATCTGTTAATGTGGATTCAGCCACCTTACCAAAGCCTAGAGCAACCAAGAAAAGCAGTGTTGTCCCTGTTGAATCTAAGCCTTTCCTTCGCAAGGGCTCTCGCATAGGCTCTGGTGTTGGCCCAGCTTCAAGGACCAAAGCATCTTTGCCGCCTGAGGAAGCCAAGACAGACAGAGGAGATCTAAAGAAAGCCGAGGAGAATGAAATAGTTTCTAGCACTTCTGATCATGTTAATGAACTTGAAATGAATCTTGAACCATTAAGTAATCAACCGGATGATGAATCAAATTCTCAGACAAGCCAGCACCAAGCAGAACATGTAGAAGTAATTGATAAGGTCACTAATATGGCCTCTTTCCCATCTGAGCCTGCTCTAAGTGTGGAGGATGCAGAAGAATCAATGATATCCCCAACAGCGTGGGTGGAAACTGAAGAGCAGGAGGAACTACCAGCTCCATGCAGCGATAATGTTTATGAGAATGAATCACCACGTGCTGCTGCTCCTCCAGTTGGAATGCCCAGTCCACGTGTACGCCACTCACTCTCTCAGATGCTATTGGAGGAGAGTAGTGAACCTGAAGTGATTGAATGGGGAAATGCAGAGAATCCTCCGGCTTTGGTTTACCAAAAAGATGAGCCCAAAGGATTGAAAAGGCTTCTGAAATTTGCTCGAAAGAGTAAGACTGATGCAAATTCATCGGGTTGGTCCAGTCCATCTGTCTTTTCTGAAGGAGAAGATGATGCTGATGAATCAAAAGTCATGAGCAGGAGGAGCTCAGAAAATCTGTTGAAAAAGGCAACCCTCCATTCAGCTGCTCATGGAACTTTTGGTATTACTCCTCCTCTTGACTGAATTTGTTTGCCAAAAAAAAAAAAGAAATTTACTTAAATTGTGGATAGTCTTAATAAGTATATTTCGTATGATTCTAGGCATCTGAGTTACATCTAGTTTCAGCGTGTTCAGTTTCTATCTTTGTTTTCCATTTACAAAGACATTCATAGGTTACTCTAATGTTTCATTTGCTACTTTTGATATTAGATGATACATTCTCTCACTTGTAACAAATTATTCTTGCAGCTCAAGCCAACCTAGGGAAAGCCACTGCTCACCGTCTATCTGAGAAGTTGCAGGAAGGACAATCACTAAACACTACCAAAGGTTATTCCTTGATCTTGCATAATGTTTACTTGTTAACTTTCTTTTTGTGGCCCTTGTAGTCGCTTGGACTGTTTTGTGGCTGCATCTTCTCTTAATTCTCCTCAACTGCAATTTGCTTGCTTTTTTGGCTTTTCAGGAAATAGGTCATTCTTCTCTCTTTCCGCATTCAAGGGTGGAAAACAGAACGAGGTAAAGTTCCGGTGACAAGCTAACCTTCCCAATGGATGTTGGACAGTTTGTGGCCTGGTTCTGTTGAATTTGGTTCCGAGGGGATTTTTTTACCTTCCTTCTGGACATGATCTTGAGCTTCTGATTGCATCGAACAACGCCCGAGCTCTCCTTACTGCTTATTCAGGGCAGTGTAGGCTCATAGATGAAATGGGTTTTCCATCAGGTGCAGAAATATAGTCTCATAGTTAAAGATGGTCTTTCATATGCAGATTTGAGGTTTTAGTTTCTTAGGATGACAGGGATCACAACTCCTTGTGATACGGTGATTCAATTTATATTGTGACACGATCCAGAATGTCACGTAATTTTTCTTTTCGGGTTCAATTGCTTTAAGAAAAATCCCCTTTCCTTCGCATTCTCTGTCAATGCCTAATGTTGCACACATTACCAATTTTGTATGCCTTATCAGAACAGGTTTGCAAATCGTTCGAGTCCCGCAATAAAGTGAGTATTCCATATATTTGAAGGCCTAAATTTATACCAAGTCAGAGCTATACAGAACTTTAATTTTTAGAAAGACGTACAGAATTAAGTCACAATAATACTAAGAATTTCAGGTACGATGGAGAAAGAAGTGCTCCAGCTGTATACTAAGCACTTCGATTAAAATCCAGTGACAAAGTAGCTTTAATTGCTATCGGATCGGGGCTACCATTAGGGGCAGTTCATTGAGTCTGACAAACTCCCTCCTTAAGATGTTGCAGAAGCGGGAATACGAGACTTGCATGCGATCCATAATAGCGGGCAAATATTGCAGTAGCTAGATTGAGGCTGTCCGCAGCAGTGGCATCTCTTAATGCAAGTTGAATGGATACGAGTTTTAATAGTTCATTTCCAACGGCAATGTGATTAGAACCATAGAGCTTTTCCAATATCTGCCAAAAAAAGGAAAACTCAGGGCAACTTCTACATTGCAGATTGCCTAATTTGGATGCAATGAGCCTCTATTTCGTGGAGACAAGTTTTTGAGAGAAAATGTCTACTGGCTTAACTCTCACAAACATTGCCTCTGAAATTCCCGCATGACGGGGTAAGAGTAAGATGGCAGACTTAGATAAAGGTACCATGACTTTGGAACATGAGAGAAAAAGTTCATGCACGAAACTTAATCATCATTTTTTGTATCCAAAAGTTCTATTCAATCCCTCCCCTCAACAAAGTCAGCGATGGATATATCTTAAACCCTAAATTAAGAAGTCATTTTGAAAGATTACAGCTCATTGAATCATTACCTCGATAGATTTTTGACAATGGTCCATAGCAGATTGCAGTTCACCAACCAAACAAGATGCTTGAGCAAGAGTGTCTTCCACCTATGAAGATCAGAATGGCTGTGGTAAATACCTTCATAATTCTGCTAGCATTATGAAAGTATAATGACATATGTCAAGTACTAATAAGTTCACAAAAACTTGTTTGCTTTGTAACGAGAGAAGGAAATTCATTGAAGAAACAGGTGGGGGTAAATGAATGAATTCTGACCTCAGCTACTCTCTTGTTAAAAGGATGAAATATCTTTGTAAGGGGCTCAACATATCTCCAAGTCTCTAGGAGTGAATTATTAGGGATGGCATTGGAAGAAATTGCATCCTGCAACCTAACAATTATACATTTCAAACTATGAAAGCAGAGATGAAATTCTCACAGTATCATAATATATGCACCGCACAGAAAACAAGCATGGATCTTATTTATGAAACAGATGGTGAAATGAAAATTTAGCTGCTAGAGCAAATGGACGATATAAGACCCTGCTCTGGCTTCACATGTTGACTTACCCTCTAAGATGAATTTCAGCTTCTCTTACTGCCGCACGTGAGGCTTCCAGATCACGCTTGGTATTACAATTCAAACAATACCCAGGCTCGACTGAACAAGAGTTTCCATACACTTTGCTAGCCACCATCCTGATGTCATCAATGTCACACTTGTCAACCTGTAGTTCGTTAGAAAATAAAAATCAGTTAAGTAGACAAAAAAGTAAAATGATTGTTTAAATATGTTCTCATAGTAAAAACTTCAACATGATAAGCAGCATTTGCAAGATATACAGGTGGTACAGCCCAACTCTTGAAGCTTTTAGGTGTGGAATTGAACGTATGCAAGTATACATCATCAAACAGCTGGACCACATATTTATTAAGAGATCTCAAGCATAACCTGATCAAGAGTGTTGAGAACGTGGCTTTTGGGGTCCAAATTGAAGAAGCAAAGCTTCTGATTCTCATATTTGGCTACATCAATATCTAGGACTACCCCCAAGCAATCTGTTTTATCACACCGATAAGCATCAAGAACAAGGTCTGACAAATTCAGTTTCGAGCAACCTCTGCACTCACAAGTGAATGAGTACCGGTCCTCCAAAAACTGTTTTCTGTCCTTGCAGTTCCACTGTCCTACCTGGGGCCAAGAAGAAGAAAAACATAAACGACATGTAGGGACATAGATGCCAATCAACCTAGAACTTTGCTGAGCAGTCTAAAACTACAAAACCAGAGGAAAAATGAGAAGCTAGAATAAGGAATTAGAACCTGTGCGCCATAAGATAGCTCGAGGTCACATCCACTTGCAATGTACTCTGTAGCTCTAACATAAAGAGTACGAGAAATGAAATATGCATGTATGTTTGGCTGGCAAGAATGGTTAAACAGACTACCGGCTGCGTAAACCGCTTGACCAACTCTGATCTGTCGAATGAAGTGAGAAAAATTGGAAGAAAAAAAATAAAAATATTGGAAGTAGAAATCCCGAGTCTTTGCATGAGAACACAGATACAGACATGCTTACTGACAACATAAAACACAGCACAAGGTAATGCAACTATACAACAATTAGCATGGTAAAGAAATATACAAAATGAATAATGAAATCAATTTCACACCCACCTGCTTCACAGCAGCAGTAGAAGCACCAGCAGCTAGGGACAGTTCAGGCTGCTGATTAAAAGATCCCATCAGATCAAAGGAAGCCACACGTACGATTGCCATGGAATTAACTCGAATTTGAGATAATAGCAAAATAAGCTGCATTGAACAAACAAAATTGTAGTAAACAGGTAACTAACCACACAAGTAGTGGCAAGAAAGCTAGCATGTGAAACCCTGTTTCAATTCCATAGTCATAGTCATCATCAAAATTACAAAGAAGTAGTACTCTCTCTGCCATGAAGTGATTGTCCAGTTTGGATTTTCACTTTTAGCCCAAACATTTGGGACAGGGGAGCATTATAATAGCTGGTGGGTACCAACCGCTAAAGAGAAAAGATGCAAAACATTAAGACACGTAGCAAACCTTTCATGAGATGACAGAGGAATTTTGTTGGATCCAAAGTTCCTATCCATGCTATGATAAACAGAGTATAGGCCATTGAAAAAACACTACTTTCTGAAAATAAAACGTTCTAACTAACTGAATCAGTAATTTAGTTCATCAATACATGAGGGCAGTCCTTTTTATTTTGGTGTTATATCTCTAATATCTGCCTTGAGAATCAAAAACAGAATTCAGCAGACGAAAGAGTGCTACCTGTGAATTAGTATTTTCATTGATCGGAAGCTCAGCACCATAAGAATCCTGAAGACAGTTCATCAATATAATTGAATATATATGGAACTCGAACTTATCATCTGGAGGTAGTTGAGCATAGTTGTGGCAAAGGTCCTAAGTGAACAAGGTAATGATCAGCTCGCAGAAGAAGCTCCAGAGATAATTCGACAAAGAAATCAAAAGCATAGAATAGAAAAGATACCCAAATTCCTAAAAGGCTAAACTTCAACCCAGAATGCCTTTGTTGCTCAATACATTTTGCTAGAACTCGACCAGCCAAAACTACATCAGATGGCAATACAGCAGGCCAATGCACACCTTGACACTCATGGACATGTTCAATAAATTTCTTGACTTGTGGCCTAGAAATCTGAACTGAAATGACATTTGAAATATAGTTATTTAGATCCTCTGGTAAGTTATCAATGGGAAGATCCCTTGCAGTTGGAAGTAAGTGTTCTCCTCCAGCTTGCACTTGGCATAGATGAGAGCAGTACAATGGTATACAGCAAGATGAACAAGCTACTGGATCCATAGGTAATTCGTTGAAGCAGAAATGGCAATGAGTTTCCCGAAAATGCTTCAATACTATCTGCACCAAATTGTAGATAGTAAGAAATATTTTCTCCACTACCAAAGAAGAGTCCAAAACTAAAAAATACAAATCATGAAGAGTGGTAAGGTACAGCACAGAAGAGGACTCTTAAAAAAACAACTTTTCCACTGTCTGTTATTATTATTAGTAATAATGAGCCACAAGTCACGATAAACAAAGAATGATATAGGGAAAATGTTGTTAAGCATCCTTTCTTGTACCAGAAAGGTCTCACCTTTTTAATGGCAGAACCACATTTTTTAAACGGATTATCACACACCAAAAATTTCGTGCAAAAGAAAAAGCTTAGTTAGTGCCCAAGTAATGAAAACAACTTATTATGGGAAAAATTCCCAAAATGAGTTTCATAAAGTGAATGCTAATAATAGGACTCTAGACAAACTCTGCCAGTCCCTAAATGGAAAAAGAAAATCAGAAGGAAATGTGTATTATAGTACTGCTGGATACAGCAGAAAAGAGATGGAAAGAAAAGCAAACTTATGTAGGTGGTATTACATGTCATTGTGAGAAAGAGGTTTAAGTTCATACCGCAGCATAAGGATCTTCCTTGTGAATTAAAGATGCTTCAGGTATTTCAGCCACTGTAATCATTCCCCTTCCCTTGGTTATTTTAGAGACGCACTGAAGTTCTACTTGGAGAGGCTCATCTGTCAAATAAGACCTACATTGTAAGAAATAAAAGCAGAAGAGCAATCTGTTACAACTTACAAATAGAATAAGAAATCTAAAGATACATTAAAAAAGAAAGGATGTACAGCCTAACATCTTCGCAAGATACACCCAAGTGAAAGAAGTTCATAGATCACAACACCCAGATGTACCTTCCAGGTATACACAAAATTCATCCAATAAATCTAGTGGAGAAAAAGGTGTTCAACCTCAAAGTAGACAAAGGCTTTATGATTAAAGTGATCACATCAGACCTTCAACTTATGCATGCTGAATGAAGACAAATCTCAATAAGCTTACAATCAAGGAAGATGAAACAAATAAACAACTTTCAAAAGAATTTCTGTCTTCTCATATTTATAAAACATGGTGAAAGTAAAGAACTCATGGACGATGCGTCAACTTTGTAAGAGCCACATTAGTTCATACTTCAGAAGAACCTATAGTAGAGTTCACCGAAGTTATCCATGAAATGCAAAGTGTATCTCATACAGGTTAAAATCAAACAATATAATATCATTCGTCACTAATTTCAATGCATACGTAAAAGTGGACTTTGTATTTTCTTACATCCATAAACCTTAAATAGGAAACACTTAAGTTACCTGTGCTGTAAAGTTAAAGCAATCTTTACCAACAGCTAATGATTAGAAGAGAAACATGATACAGAAGGTGTAAAAAAACATAATAGTGCTACCACAAATATCTAAATAGATAAGAGTAATACCACAAATTTCTAATCTGCAGCCCTCGTATCGCTGTGGTGGATAGTTTTTTTGCTTATACAGGTTGGCTACCATCTTCATCTCATTCTCTATGAGTCTCTTGCCATTTGAAGACACTTCTAACTTTAACGAAACAGTAAAGTCTCGTCGTGCATCAAGATGATAACCTAAAGAAGCATTGGATTTGCCTCTTCTAAACCATGCCTGAATAAGTATTCATAGACACATTCATATAGATGAAGTCAAGAGGATATCATGAAACTAGTGCCCCAATCTCAGAGTATGAGGTGAAGCATAATGACCTTCGCATAGCCAGGAAAAATTGATAAAGCCCTGCTACAATCTCGTACGGACTCCGCCAGAAGACCCATTTTCTGCACAAAGGGAAGACTTTGTCAAGTTTCTAATGAAGTTCACATTTCTAACCTCTAGAATTCTACCAGTTAAAAACATCCCGAACGAATTTGCTTCGAGTTGTAATAAATCTGTTAAATTTCGATTTCCAAAGGTTGTCTTTTCCCGTAAGAAATAAGCGAAAGCGGCTACAAAAGAATGTGCACTGTGATCCAAGAATTGGAGAAAGAAACTCACGTAGAGTGCAAATGCACGATTAACATATAGAACCGGAACTACATCCTTCACCACGCCATCTACAGCTATAGGAGCAAACCGTAATGCCTGTTGAGTTAAAAGCATGGAACATGAGCCAAATACTTCCTTTCTGAAAAAAAAAAAAAATTAGAAAAACTTAAACAGAACAGAATCGTTTTACCTTGGTATATAATTTCACCGCCTCAGAAAAATCTCCCCTGGAGAAGCAATCATTGCCTTTAAGCTTTGTTTCCAAAGCATCCCTCTCATTCTTTCTACACAGACCCCTTTCTAAGCCAGTCAAATCCCCAAGAACCTAAATTAACTTAACACAATCAGCTCTCCAAAATTAAACTTATCATTCACATAGCCATACAGCATCTAATTCCAATCCAATTCCACTAAAAAATAAGATAAAAGACTTCAGCGCCATTAAAATGCTCTAATTAGCAATTAAAAAAAAGAAACAGAAAGAATATTATTGTTTCTGAAGAGAAGGGGATAAAAGAGAGAGTACTTGGTGAAAGAGTGGAAGGCGATGAAAGAAACGGAGGAGGTCTGATGACGTCGATGGGAGGTCATCCGGTGAGCTTTCTGCGATTCTCCGCTTTAGAGTTTCCGGGACTGCCGCTTTCAGCTTCTCCATTCTCCGGACCGGAATGCCGGCAAACACCTGAAGAAGCCGCTGGAATCAGTACGAAACTACGAGTAACGAAAACTGAAGATAGAAACGGGCGCGTATCCAGATTGAAGTGAATTATCTTATTTTATATATAGGGCCCAATAGTTTAAAGGTTTAAAGCCCAATTCCAGGTGGCAAGAACCAGAAGGCCCAAGTTGTTTTTATTCTACATTAATTTTTTTATTTTTTATTTTTTTTTTCCCTTTCGTATAGTATATACCCCCAGACGAAACAAATTGAAGGCGATAAGGCATTAAGAAACCAATAACATCAGAGACTATCACCTCTGGTCTCTTCTGGGGTTTTCAATTAACTCTAAACCCTTCTCCTCTTCTTCTTCTGCTTTCTAAATTCACCATTTTCTGGTAAGTTTTTCTCCAAATTCATCTACCCTTTTCTACTTATTTGCATATTTTCTCCGTTCGTTAAGTGTAGTGGTTTTTTGGCGTTCAGGTTATGTTGTATTTTAGTAAACTTTTTGCACCAGTTTCAAGTTGCTAATTCTGGGAATTTTTTTAATTATGAGTTTGATTGGTGGTTTGAATTGGAATTGATTTATGCTGCTAGGGAATGGCGGCGCTCTTGGCAAGAGAATGGCAAGGGATACAGATGTTCCCTGCTGCCACCCAGACTAAATTGTATGATTATCTGGGCAAATTGAAGGAGGAGGTTCGTTTTGTTTATTTTCCCCCGTTTTGCTCAATTCATATACCCATATGCAATTGCCAATTAAGTCACTTGGTGTCTTGGTGGAAAAAAGGGGCAAACTTTGTATTATTTGAGCTATTTACAACTACATGTTTGAATGTTGGATGAAGTTTGCAAATTTGATGATGACTTTGATTCTTTTGTAGAATGTTAACACACTGACCATCCTTGTCATGGGGAAAGGCGGTGTTGGAAAATCTTCCCTGGTGAACTCGATTATAGGGGAAAGAATTGTACCTGTCAGTGCTTTCCAGGTACATTTGCGTCGTTATCATAATGAGATGAAGAATGTAAATCGAGGGGTGTTTGCTCACTTTGTTCTTTTACACGTTGATTTTTTAGTCAGAGACCCCCAGGCCAATGATGGTTTCTCGAACACGGGCAGGATTTACGTTGAATGTTGTTGATACTCCTGGCCTTGTTGAAGCAGGATGTGTCAACGATCAAGCTCTTGATATCATAAAAAAGTCAGTTTCACTTTTACATTATGTTCTATTCAGTTGCTCACATGGAGTTTACAATTCCAAATGGTTTCATGTACTTCGTGATTTGAGCTAATTTCACTTGGCAAAGTGATCTCAAAATAAATTGCATCTTGTTCTACTCTGGTTTTTATGTATTTTCGGCATTCGTCAGAAAAAGGTCTTATTTTGAACTAACTCTGGATTGGGGTGTTGAGCAGCTTTCTTTTGAACAAGACCGTTGATGTTTTGCTCTACGTGGACCGGTTGGATTCTTATCGAGTTGACACCTTAGATAGACAAATTGTGAAAGCCATAACAGATGCTTTTGGAAAAGAGATATGGCAGAGAGGTTTAGTGGTCCTTACACATGCTCAGCTTTCACCTCCTGATGGATTGCCTTATGAGAACTTCTTCTCCAGAAGATCTGAGGCTCTTCTTAAAGTTGTTCGTCTTGGGGCTAAATTAAAGAAACAAGATATTCAGGTGTGTCTCGTTTCTTTTGTATTGACTATACTCAATTTCCTTTAAGCCGAATTGACTTTCTGTATGTAAGAAGAGTATGGTGCACAAATAAAGTCTTTCCAGATTCCTATTTCGTCAAAGCTGTTAACATTGTAACTTTGTTTCACAAGGACTTGACCAGCCAAAAATTGTTCTTTTGTACTGATAATATTTGTTTGGCCAGATCTATGATTACCCTATTTGATGGCCTTTTTGTTATCACTCTCAAAGCTACCATGCAATTCAGATGTATGTGCTATTGCGTAGCCTCTGCTGTCAATTTTTGTTATGTGCAATGCATGACTCCTGGATATTGTTGGTTTTTTGAACTTGTGTATAGATATTGTCCTGCGGTTGACTGAGGACTATGTTTTTTCTTTCTTTCTTTCTTTCTTCTCTTTTTTTCCTTTTTATATGTTTCTGCATTTCTGATAGATCCTTTAATGCATCTGTACACCCAAAAGATAAATCATTTCTTAATCTTGGGGTTATTTGTTAGGAGTATAATGGGTCCAAAATTTTCATTCAAGTGCATTACTAAGATGAAGTAATCCAATAAAAACGCGCTGATTACTGAAATTGGCTGTGTGGAAACTCAACGTCACCTCCTTGGGCACCATCTTTGCATCTGATATGATTAACTTGATTATACTTATTGAAAAACTTTCTATTTGGATATTTACTTTTGAATCTCCTTAATTGTTTTCTGCTTTCAGAATTCAACTATTCCTGTGGTCTTGGTTGAGAATAGTGGGAGATGTAACAAGAATGAAGATGATGAAAAGGTCTGTTGTCTCATTTTTCCAGTTTTGCTGTCTTCATTTTCTTTTGCATCTGTGGTGTTGTCTGTTGAACCACGTGATTGGATGACAGATTCTACCTGACGGTACTCCCTGGATACCAAATTTGGTTAAAAAAATCACTGATGTTGTCCTGAGTGGAGGCAAGGGCATTTTAGTTGACAAAGCGTTGATTGAGGGGCCAAACCCAAATGCCAAGGGGAAGATCTTTATTCCCTTGATTGTTGCCGCCCAAGTAAGCCTTGTTTTCCTTTGTACAGAACAGGGTAAAATACCTGTTCTTTTTTGGTGGGATAACATATGAATCTTATATCTTATTGTATTTTGCAGTTGTTTCTAGTTGGTCAGATTAAGAAGTGGATCGAGGATGATATCTCGCAGGAGGTTTTGCCATCATGGGCTTGAGTTATCATGAAAATGGACGTCTAATTTTGGTGTCTATTTGCAATGTTTAGGCGGTTAAATGAGTTGTTGCCGGCTTTGACTTGTTTATGTTGTAAGAGTTACTACTAGGGCCTTTGTAAGACAAGTCTTTTGGGCAGTTTGAATTCGACATTTCAATCGCTTTCATTCTTGCATAGCAGTCTCAAGTTCTATGTTTTTACCACTCAGTTTGAATTCTACTTTTCAATCGCTTTTATTCTTGCATAGCAGTCTCAATTTCTATGTTTTTAGTTTTTGCCACTCTTTGGCCCGACCTCCGTTTTTTATCCTTTCTTGCCCTTTTTTCTGTAAGCAAGAAACTTCAAAATATATGTGAAAGAAAAAGTAAAATCCTGTCAAATTTTGAACTATTTCACCTCGTGACCATAAATTTGCTTATTTTTTGAGATGACTATTCTATCCGTATCCTATTTCATCCATTTAATTCAATGCAATGAAATTATAATGTGAAGAATAAAGTAATAACTACAAGTGAAAATGAAATTATAAAGTTGGTGGGCTGAGTGAGATTTTTGTTTGAAAGCATGACTGGCCCATTAAGTTCGTATATGATCAGCCCATCTCTTACAGTTCCATCCAGCCCATTTACTACATTCATAACTGCTACTATTCATCATCAGCCAACGGACACTTCCCATTTCAATGGCGCCAACGAATTGAACAGACCTTTTCTCAACTCTCATCCACGTTTGGAGTTTGCCAATATCAACTTCCTCTTCCAATTTTTCGGTAAAATTATTGTTCTTTTCAACTGGGTTTTTCGATAATTCGAAAATGGGGGAGAATTTCGATCCGCAACCTCTTCAATCTGACTGGTACTCACCAACTCGCCTCCGTAGCAGTCCCGTGAAGTATGATTTTCCGGTAACGCGATCTCTTTCTGCCTTAATTATTTCATGATATGAAGCGTATATAATTTGATTTTCATAAATTTCTTGGAATGATTTCATCGCCGTTTGTTTCTCATACCTGACTGAAAGTTCGTTCTTGAATTGTTTTTTTGCCTTCAAAAGGGAGATAGATTTATACCCAATCGCAGCCTGATGGATCTTGATCAAGCTCGAAGCTTATTGACGACCAGAACCGATAAGGAGCTCGAAAATCCTAATTTTAATGTCAGTAATGGATTCTTTCCTTCTGGGTCCCCTTCTCTTTTGTTAATTTCTATGGATGTGCTTTTTAGAAGTTTAACGATTTTGAATGGTTCTTGGTTTAATTGATGTTGAATTCTTACAATTTGGCCCCTTTTTTCTTCTCTTAGGGACGATTCTGTAGATTACCCATATGATTATGTGGTTTTGGTTTCATGAGTATGATGGAAATATGTGTTGAATTTTTTCGTAGTCTTGAATCCTTTGTTTGTGTCAGTGAGTTTTTATGAATTCCTTGAGGGGGATGGTTGGATTTCCTGATGAATTTGAATAGTACTTTAGTTATGAGGTGGCTGAAATAATCGTGGGTTCTTGTTTAACAGGATGAATACCGCCGGAAATTGAAAGAAAATCTGACGTTGGATGTAGAAGGGAGACCATTCAGAATGCTAGTCTTCAGGGGAAGCCCCAAATCAGACAGAAAATCATCCCGTCTTATCGTTGAGATGCGACGTAGTGATGAGGAGGTTCCTTGGAAGAGTAACCGAACTCGATCTTTCCCCAAGGTGAAGTTCTAATAATAGAAGTATTAACTTCATAGTCCAAATGTGATCTTGTTACAATATCTAGTAGGGTTTTTTCTTGTTTTTTCATGGGAATATGAAAGAAGCTCTTTATTCTGATTCCTGATTTTTGTTTTTAAGAACCTTTTGCTGTTTTATCAATACTTCTTCCCTTGCTTCAGACTTTGGAAAGAATTTTTCAACCCGAAAGAAAAAGGAAGAAATGTTTCAGGCAGGGTCATTAGCATATTGAAAAACATTTCTGATGTTTTCTTTTCTTCTCTTTTTTTTTTTTTTTTTTTGGTTTCAGAAGGAATTGGCTATTTTGGATGCACCTCTCTTGGAGAATGATTTCTATCTAAATGTCTTGGATTGGGGACATAGAAATGTGCTTGCTGTTATTTTGGGCCCAGCCTTATACACCTGGAATGCTTTTAACAAAGCGATTCATAAGTTATTGGAAGTAAATAGTGACGATGATTATCCCACAAGTGTTGCCTGGTCTGATGATGGTAAAAGAATTGCAGTGGGATTTATGAGCTCCAATGTACAGCTCTGGGATGCTGAGACTTCAAAGCTTGTGAGTTTCAGTCTCTTGAAGGTGCTTTTAACTAGACTGAGATTTGTATAAGGCCTTTAATATGTTATGATCACCTTCATTTCAGGTCAGAAGCTTGGGTGGGCATGAGGACAAAGTGGGATCAGTAACATGGAAGAATGGTCATGTTTTAACCACTGGAGGCAATGACAAAGCAATTATTAATCATGATGGTATGTTTTAGTTGGTTATTGCAGTCTCAGTCTGTGCTGATTCCTTTAAACGACCTTAATTTATTTTGCTATGTGCTTTTTGGGCAGTGAGAGCAAGAAACAGTTTGACTTGTTGCGTGAGAGTGCACACTGATAAAATATGCAGCTTGAAATGGTCAGAAACAGGCCACATTTTAGCAAGTGGTGGAGATGACAATCTTGTGTACATTTTGCATTCATCCAAAATGAGCTCTTCGCACTACCTGCACTGCCTGAAAGATCATTCTTCTGCAGTAAAAGCCCTGGATTGGTGTCCTCATAACAGCAGTGTATTAGCATCTGGAGGAGGTCTCCATGACGGCTCTCTCAAAATATGGGACGTGCAGAAAGGAGTTTGCATCAACAGCATTGATACGAAAGCTCAGGTAAGCTTAGATTGTCATGATTAAATGCTCTTTCATTGATTTCTTCACTACCTTTTGCCGTTTGGTTTCTATATCAGTCATGTCCAGTTCATGTTTAGATGGTGATTTGGCTAACTATGTTGTAAGCCATATTTTGCCATTTACTTAATGACGTAGTTTGGGTGCAGATATGTGGGCTGCAATGGAATAGGCACCACAAAGAGATTTTAAGTGCCCATGGGTGGGGTTCCATGGGCTCAAATTGCGACAACCAGCTCTGCTTGTGGAAATATCCTTCCATGTCTCGGATCGGGTCATCAGTGAGACATGAATCCAGATTTCTTCACCTAACGCAGGTGAGAAATTCAGTCTTGTAATTAGAAGTTTCATCATCGAACAAGGAAACTGAAAATGTAACAGCAGTGAGCACTTAAAAAAGTCGAAACTGTTCTGATAATAAGTAATTGTCATTGCAGAGCCCCGATGGATCAACAGTGGCAACAGCTGGAGCAGACCAATTAGTTCGTTTGTGGGAGGCTTTTGGCCAGCCCCTAGCAGATAAACCAAGTTCAGGGCTGGATGATATATTGTCTTACAAGACCAGCCCGCTTAGGTAGTTAGACCATTTGAAGCTTTAGGTTGTATAAGAGAAAATTGCTGTGAAAAAAGCTGACAACTATGCTCTCTCCAATCTCCATGTTGTCATTTGTAATAGCCATTACCACAGCAGTTCCCTGTACAGTCATGAAATTATAACGAAATTTTGCAAGAAAATGGTTGTGGTCATGTTATCAGGACTAACCTGTGAACAAGTTTTCGTTAAAACATAATCTGCTACTTTCAGTCTACAGTTCTACACCACCACAACGATAATTGCTTGTGAGAATGTTACAGAAATAGTATACATGTAGTATCATATTACAAATCTGGACCTCTTTTTGTGACTCTTGAGGTTGCAACAGACTTATTTAACTGGAACTTGTTTGGCATTCTCTTGGAAACAAATTGTGCTTCTTTCAGTTTACCTTCAGCTTCAAGAGCAGCTTTTAAATCTTCAAGACATGTTAAAGGCTGCTGTATTCCTTGCTCTAACAATTCATAGTAAAGTTCAAATGCCTCGACAACTCTTTGAGATTTACACAGGCCAATTAGGAGCACGTCGTAAACACCTATATCAAATCTCTGACCACTCTTAGTACCAAAGAGTAACAACTTCTGAGCCTCTAATAACTTCTTCTGCTGGCAGAGGAAAGTAATTATTTCTTCAAAGTTAACCAAATATCCATTTTCATAAAGACAACTAATAATACCGAAAGCTTTGTCCTTCAAGCCACCTTCATATAGCATTTTTACAGTATCTGTTGCAATGTTGGCATTCTGTCTTATCTTTTTCTCTAACATCAAGTTCACCAAACTGTATGATTCTCCAACGTAACCTTTTCTAACAAGCTCGGCTAGAATACGATGGAAAGTAGACGTCCTAGGAAGATGAGAACTTTTTAACATCATCTCTAAGGTTTTATGAGCAAGAACTGCTTCATCCATCTGCAAAAGACCATCAATGACGAATTCAAAAGACTCAACATCCGGCAGAAAATCTCTCCGTAGCATCACAACCATGAGATCAAAAGCTGCCTTGAAAGCACCTTCTCTGCAGTGACCCATGATTAGAGTTTTGAAAGCAGAAGCATCCTGTTTCCCTCTTTTCAATAGCTGCCTTAACACTCTATCAGCCATCTCTGTTTTACCAGTTTCAGACAAGTAGATAAACATGGAGTTATACGATGCAACAAGAGGTGTACTCCCATCGTCACGCAATAAGATCTCCTTCTCAAATAACTCTTGAAACAATTTCTCTGCCTTATCAAATTCCCCTTTCTCTGATAAACTGCGAATCAACACACTATATGTCACGGAATCAGGTTGAACCTTCAACTCTACCATTTTCTCAAAAACCTTCATTGCTCCATCCAAATTCCTGTCATTGCAATGAGCATTCATCAGAGTATTAAACGTACAAGTGTCAGGAACAAATTCAACATTCTCCCCACAGCAGCCATCCAGTATCTCCTTCACCTTGTCAAGCATTCTCGCCTCGGAAAGCCCTTGTATAAGGGTATTATATGTGATCTGATTAGGTTTCTGTCCCCGACCGATCATTTCCTCAAAAACACGCAAAGCCTCGTGTATCTCATGTTTACCACAATACCCTCTGATCAAAGTAGTGTATGTAACAACATTAGGACTCCAATGTGGACCTTTATTTGCCATTCCCCTCACCACATTATGCGCAATCTTCACCCTACCATTCCTACACAACCCATCCACAATGGTATTGTACGTGATTACATCGGGCTCCCGGTTGAACTTCTCCATTTCCTTAAAAATCCTGAAGGCCTCGTCGACCATTGAGTTCTTACAAAAACCTCTAATCAGAATATTGAAACTATACAAATCAGGGGTCACACCATACGTCTTAAGCATTTCATCATACAGTTCAAAGACCTTCCCAGTTCGACTCCTCTTGAACAAAATCAGAAACAAATTATTAAAAGTAACCACAGAGGGGGAAACCCCAATCGATTTCATGGTCTGGAAAATATTCAACGATTCCTTAAACAGCCCAGCTTCGCCAAAAGCCCGAATCAAGGTATTGAAGTGTTTATCCTCGAGTTTGACAGCGCCATTAGATTTTTGGGGGATGGAGAACAGGAAATTCCGGGCGGAGTGGAAGTTGCGAGCTCGACAGAGGATTTCAAGCATGAGGAGGTAGGATTGAGGGGTGTGGCTGAAACCGGAACGGTAGGCCCAGTGGAAAAAATGGAGGGCTTTGGAAGGTAATTGGATGAGGCGGAGGGTATGAAGAACAGCGGTCTGGGAAAGGGATGATTGTGGGGTGAAGGCGGCGGCGGCGGAGAGTGAAGCTTCGAGGTCGGAAGACCAGGGCCGGGAATTGATGAGTCGGGCCATGATTCGGGATCGCTTGGTTTTGGAAGAGAAAGATGGTTTTGATTTGGAGTTTTTAAGGTTGAGGCCATTGTCGGCGGCTTTGGTGCTGCTGTTTCTGGGGATGAGATTTGAGTGTTTGATGAATTGTGAGGATGATGGTGGTGGTAATGGCGACTTGCATTTGTACAGTGATTGGGTTCGTGAACTGAGTGAGGCAGCCATATTGTTCGGAGTAATTGCATTCTGCGCGCTCCAGTTTTTGGGAGAACTCAGCCCAAGCACAATTAGGAAGGAAGGACAAATAATTCGGTAAAACACTACTAGTAATAATTGGTTTACTCAAGTAAAATTCACGAGTAAACCACCTGACTATTCACGAGTAATTGATTTACTGGGAAAAGGTCATGCTACCACTGAAGTATCTTTTTTTTTTTTTGGTTACTCCTGTAGATTAAGTTGCTTTTTCTTTTTTCCTATTAGTGATAGGTGAACATATCTCATATCACTTGCCTTAGTATGACAGAAAAATTTATGTCTTTTAGATAAATTAACAGATATTGTACCAAATGAACCAAGGTTGTGAATGTTATGACGATTTGTGTGATAAAAAACACATTAGATGGTATTTTTGTTAAGACTCGTTCACTCAAATGTCAATAAAAAATCATAACTTTATCATGATGTAGTTGGTGTGTTATACCAACGCTTTGTAATAATATAGTCTGCTATGCAATATGCCTTCTTTACTTGTACAAACAAAAATAAATAAATAAATAAACTTAGGGGGGGAGGGTTTTGGGGTATATTGTTAAGATTTGTCATAATGTGGCTTAACTAAGTGTCTGTACAACAAATTTACTCAAGTTTCTTTCATGTTGTTCTTTTCACTCGAAGGCCTATAAAAAAAATGAGAAGTCTTTCTTTTTCCTTTTTAGAAATATCAAAATGTCCTTTTATGAAATGGTTATAAACTCTCTTTTTTGTTTTTGTTTTTTTTTTTTGATCTGAAATTTAATTGCGATAAAGTAAAATAAACTAGCGTAACAAAAAGGCCATCAAGGATTACAAAGACATTGAACTTATATTTCTCCAGATTCAAATCATGATATTTTTATGCACTAGAACACAGTGACAAGCAGCTACTGCCATTATATTTTTATGATTATAATCTAGCAAGCAGGCCAAGTTACATTACAAGCAGCTACTGCCACTTTAGCATTAGGATCTTGAAAATGATATCCGTCACGAGGATCCTTTGCGAAGTCGCAAAAACAACTGATATATGCTCCAATCCTGAAGCAACAGAGAACGGTACCTGTTTTAAATCCTTCCCAGCATGGTTTCATCTGCGTTATATCGCATTCGATTGCCTCTGTCTCTTGGATTTGAATTCGCCCTGACAAAACCAGCCACAGCATCACCATCAACCAGTTGCTCATTCCTCCTAACTTCATTGTTCTATTGAATTTTTTTTTCCCACCGAGTAAAACTAAAAGCTGTAAAAGCAGAGGATAAAATTTTAATGTGTTGAGTGTTTGTTTTGGATTAATGCGATGTGGTACTTATATAATGATTTGGTTAAGTAACTGACATTTTCATGGATTTATATCCCATGATTGTTATTGAAAGTTTGGAATCTTGTGGATTCTTTTATTTGACTAGTGCATATTTAGTAATTGGGCATGTAAACTTTTTCGTATGTCATGTATTGTATCGTAATCATATAATGTGGTAGGACAGTGATAAATTTAGATGAAGACGTGGATATAGTTTATAGTACAAAATATCGATTCCACTACTTCGATATCACAACCTTTATCTCATTGATGATACAATATTACTAGTGTGTAGTACTGATTAAACTCGCATTCATTGTGAAAGTTCTTAATTGGTCTTTGTTATACTCTCTTCGTCTTATAATCATTATCCAGTTTAGTTTTCATTTTTAATTCAAATTATACTAAAAATGAAATCTTAAACTGGATAATAATTTTGAGAAGTAAAAGAACTGACCGTAGAGTAACTGATATCATTTGGGCCCTAAACTGTTACCAGGCTTCAAGATGTCATCTATTGGGCTAGGAACTTAAATAAGCCCACAAAGTCCATTTTTTCAATCTGTTAACAGAGCCCACTCGGAGTCCTCTACTATAGAGCGTAGGCTGCAGTGCAGTGAGCTGATACTCTCTATCGCCTCCCTAATCTCCGTTGGCCGCCGGAATCGACTGAAAGGATCCGTCACCATCACGTCCGAACCATGTTCAGGCACGCCGCAAGAACGCTGGCTAGAACCACTACCGCCTCGTCGATGAGGTGGCGCCGGCCATTCTCTACGGATCTTCCGGTTGAGACTCCTGTTGACCAGAAGTTTGTTGATGCTTGGAAATCGATTATCCCAAACATAGAGCCTCCCAAGACACCGTCGGCGTTCATGAATCCTCGTCCACCTACCCCTTCCACCATCCCCTCTAAGCTCACTATCAACGTCTTCCTGCCTTACAGCTCTGTTTTCTCCGGCGAGGAGGTAAACATTTTCTTTAACAAATCCCATTTACCGATTACGCGAAATGTTTTTCATTTCTCTCGATTTATGAATTTCTGGTTATCTCTCGTTAATTGGTGTCCCGAATAAGGTTGATTATTGATTAGATTCAATATAGTCGATATTTTATTGGAATTGCTGTTTTGTAAAAGAAGGGTTTTTTTTTTTTTTTTTCCTTCTTTTTGTTATCGAGGGTCGAGGTTTGGATGTCTTGATTCTAAATTTTGAATATCGCTAGCAGATAGAATATAATTTTGATCGTTATCTTAGCCCCTTATCTTTTAGGTTGGAACATCAAAGATATATTGGTAGAATTTCCGAAATTAAGCAAGCAGGGTTGAAGATTAGTAGGACCTAAATTTCTTAATTCGATGAAATTTATACCCCGAAGCTCCAATTATCTTCCGTAGAAACCCTTTCTAATCTTTTGAACCTAGTAAATGGGCGACTTTAGCCTCTCAAAAGTTTAGCTTAAATTTTCAGTTCTTATCCTTAAAGTTTTATCTTTTTGTTTGATTACTAGTAATTGTGGTTGCTTTAAGCTCTGGTTTTAAAGTGATAAACCTTATCAACGTAGCATGAGCAGCCACTTATGCAAATGGTGGATAAGAGGCTCAAACACTCTTTCAGTAGCCTATTGGTTCGCCTATCTGTTTAGATGCTTTCAGTAGCCTCCTTTTAAGCCTACAAGCAAGAGGACATTGCCTTTGACATCTATTTCATTCCTATCATTACGTTGCTTGATTATCTACCTCGTAGCTTTTTACCATCCTCTTTCCATCAGGCTTTCCCCCTTTGCCTCTTGTTAAAAGGAAAGAGGGCCCCAGGTTATTATCTTTTGGGGGTTGTTGGTGTTATTCTTGCTCATTTGTGTTTGTATTTTAACAGATGCATCTTAGATATGTTAACATAATGGGTTAATGTCAAGCACAGAATTCACCTTTTGGTTACCCGATTCATCCTGATAAAATGTAAACAATATGTACTTTAGGAAAGTGTACAATGTCTCAATCTTAATGCATTCTCCGTGTCTTGGTTTTAAGTACCCAGAGAATCGATTTGCAGATGCTTAAAGCATATGGATTGTTTGCAATCTTTGCCATCAGCCTTTTATTATGAGACCCAAGGTCCCAGAAGCTGATTTTTGTGGATTAATGAAATTAAAAACAACTTATTTGGGGTTGAAGTTTCGTGTATGTTTCTCAACCTCGTGTTAATCCCCTCTGGATGACTATTTGTTTCACCCTTGCACATGTGAAGTGTCTGAATCATCATTCGCAGGATGGAAGTTACTGGATAATTTAAATAAGATTTGCTTTTCAGTGTGGTAGATGTCCTCACGTACATATAGAACAGAACCCATTAGATCTCTGGGGCATGACAGGCTGATAGATGCTCCTTATTTCTTTCAGGTTGACATGGCCATAATCCCGGCAACGACTGGACAGATGGGTGTTTTGCCTGGGCACGTGCCCACTATTGCAGAGCTCAAGCCTGGTGTCTTATCAGTTCATTCAAGCAATGACGTGAAGAAATATTTTGTAAGTGGTGGATTTGCATTCATCCATGCGAATTCCGTTGCGGATATTATTGCTGTTGAAGCTGTGCCTATTGACCAATTTGATCAAAGCCTAGTTCAAAAGGGCCTTGCAGAGTTCACTCAGAAGTTAAGCTCTGCATCAACTGATGTGGAGAAAGCCGAAGCTCAAATTGGGGTTGACGTTCACAGTGCTATTAATGCTGCTCTTACTGGTTAAGCTTTACTGGATGAAAGTCCACCAGGCATTTATGTTTTGTTTCGGTTTTCAATGTTCACTGGATTGACTCTTTTGTACCTAATGGAGAAAGGCAATTTCAAGTATATTTCATATGTACAACTATCTTGGAGTCGATACCTGAGTTCAAATAAATTTTTAGGATTGAACTAAATAGCTTTACATGGTCTCCTTGAACGTTTGTTGTTAGATTCACATTTCTTTCGGTACTAAATTGAGGCATCCCAGAGATGCATGGCTTTTTCTTGTTGGAAATTTATAACGTGGGTGCATTGGTCTTATTTCCATTATGACCAGTAAGGTCAACATGGTTATTCTATCATGAAACATCAACCGGTCATATTCCAGTTTCTGTTGATATTGGAGTTTATTCTTGATGGAGTAAAAGAAAATCCATTAAAATTTTACAACCAGAGCATTCTGTATTGATCACCACCTTACATCCTCCTTGACGGTTTATTTTCTACGCAACTCAGTTTCCCTCTAGTCCTTACTTCTTTAGTATAGTTAATGAAAGTAAGAAACTATAATTCTCTTTTTTATTATAGATCTCGAGACACATGCTGTTGTGTATATTAGTCGCAATTAGCTAACAAACATAGCCTACAAATTAACAATTTGAAGGACCAAAAATAATACTGTACTCCGAAAATTTTCATCAATATATTCTGCCCCTCAGTCTCAGAGTCTCAGTCCCCACTGTTTTTAGTAGGGCGCGACTCTACTTTCTCCATTGCACATACAAAATTTTCTTAGGAGAAAACTATTATGGATAAGCCTAGTATACTATTATATTCTAAATAACAAATTATTCAGGGTCTGAATCATCTGCGTCGCTTTCTAGAACCATTTCTACATTTGGGAGAAGTCTTTCTTCCTCATCTTTCTGTCTTTGCTCTTCCTCTTTTTCCTTCTCGGCTACTTTGGCTTTCGCTGCCTCAAGCCTTGAACTGACTGCTTCCCACGATACAAGCTTCTCCATAAAGGTTGATATGTAGTCTGGCCTCCGATTCTAAAACAAAGACAATACACAGGGTTCTTTGTAAGTTTATCACTGCAAGTCTCATTCGTTAATTAAGATGTCAATAACTCTTTCATCAGATGGTCCTCACCTGAAAGTCAAGGTAATATGCATGCTGTAACAAAAAGCAGAAAGGAGACAAGTCAGGACAGTTGTAAAATTCACAAAGAACGAATTTAGGGGGTTGGCGGGGCGGGGAATCAACTCCGAACACTGATAGTTACCTCCCAAACATCGACAGTGAGGAGTGGCTGCAATCAGTGGAGAACATTGTTAGAATTGTTCAATAATCAGGGATGTGTGGACACTAAGTTCGAAATGAAAATGATAAATGAAATATGACAATGAAAATACTCACGTAGTGATTCCAAACCAGGGGATTTACAGAATTTGGACTCTTGACCACAACAAGTTTTTTGTCCTTCTCTGATGGACAGGGATTCTCGGCGTTCCCCACGTCGAGTGTATTTCCTTTGTCTAGAAAGACAGCAATTTTCAGGAAATGTGAACTAATGATGTGCATTTAGCTATGTGAAAAGTATATGCTCATATAACAGATGAAACTCCACTCTGTAGCTACAACCCTACAATAAGTCCTTTTTAAATTTTTATAGTGTTTCCTTTGTTTCATCTTTTACTCTGCGTTTTAGAGGGATGAATGTAATAAGGAAGGACAAAGCTTAAGCAATGAACTGCGTACATGTCAGCCAAGCCCAACCAGAACCAAATTGAGTTGCTGCAGCAGCCTTGAATTCTTTCACAAATTCTTCAAAAGAACCAAAGTCCCTTTCTATTAGTCTTAAAAGCTCCCCAGATGGCTGTCCTCCACCTCCTGGTTTCATTGACTCCCAGAAAAACTCGTGATTCCAAGCCTAAGATGTCCACAACATCGAAATCAGGCCTGAGGAGTATTACAAGCATTGACAAGCAAAGAGGGGGTACAAATGGTGGCTTAAAGTATCCATAGGTATCGAATCATGCAAGAGATTACTGTTATATGAAACAGAGCAATCTGAATCATTTGACTGTCAATCAACTTATAATTTTCAAACCTGTGCAGCATTATTGAAGGGTGGGAGGAGATTTCCCTTGTTGTAAGTAGATAATATTACGTCTTCTAGTGTCATTTCATCCAATTCTGTCCCTGCTATTTGCTTGTTCAGATTATCCACATAAGCCCTATGATGTTTTCCCCAGTGATATTCCAGCGTTTCACGACTCATGTGAGGCTCCAAAGCATCCTTATCAAACAAGAACGAAGAATCAAAAAACATTGTGGAATTTTGTACAAAGGCTGATAGTATCCGAATTCTGAATACTCACCAATTGGTATGGTGGAGGTTTCAACTCCAATTTGGCAGTAATTTGAGCAGAACCAGCTTTTCTAAGACACTTTCTCTGTGCAACAAGGACTCAGTTAACAAAAGTAGCACATAGCATAGATGATGAAGACCAGTGAATTTGAGCTCATATCCACAACTATACTCTGATTCGTCAAAGTTTCGTGCATCAGATATTCAGATTGCTAGTTCATATACCAAATTAAAAATGACTAAATGGCTCCAAGTCTCATAAACATTATAATCGAACAAACAATAGTGAGCTGGATTTAGCAATTCAAAATGCAATGACTGTTGCTCTCAATTTCAAGTGAGGATTCTGATTATCCATGAATTAGCTTCGACCATGCAACAAGAAAGAAACTAACCTAGACAAACGAGTCAAGCCTACATTCCCAAAACAATATCCTCACACAAACATTTAATCAAACACCAGTCGCACATCACAAAAGGTAGTATATTCACTTCAGTGAACCGTAAAAAAAGAGCAGGAAAACTGCTACTTTCTATTAAATGTCAAAACTCTGCAAACAATTATCGTCAAACGCCAACAAAAAGGAGATGAGAAATGCGGAAACCCACCTGAATATTGTTCCACCGCAAACCACTCCGAGTAGACACTCGTAATCCTGTAACCCAGAATTCCACCGATAAAATTCAAACATTGTTAGAAAACCAGCTCGACCCAGCTCTAAAACCAAACAGAAGTAACCCATGAGACAGAAAGAGATTAAGCAAAATGGATGAAAATGTAGACCTTGGTGGGTAGGTAATGAAGAAGTTGGCGGGGTAAGAATAGCAGCAGTTGTCGTCGCCATAATTTGGCTCTCCCCCTATTCCTAATCAGTTTGAAATTGAGATTAGAAAGTGAAATTTCCGTGGTTACCACACGCCAGCTCAGTTTATTTTATAGCAGCCGCGCGTTGGGAAATGGGAAGTACAACTTAGACCTTGGTCTAGCCAAAGTTCTTGCTTGTACGTCGTGGTGTACTACCATTCTATATAGTAGGTTAGAGTAGTTTTAGTACATCGCGTAGTTTATTTAGTAGTACGCTTTTGTGAAAAAATCCTTACCCAGATGTGGAACGTCGTCTTTTTCTTAGCATGTTTTTTAACCACCTCTTAACATGTTAGTCAAGCGGGTTTTGAATTTTTAGGGTTTGTTTGTTTTGTTTTTTAGTATGTATTTTTATGTGTTTTTTTATTGAGAATGTAAAAAGATGTATTGAAAATGTAAAAAGATATGATGAGATGAGATACTTACTAATAATTTAATTTGAAAATACCATCAAGAAAAGGAAACAAACAAAGCCTTTTTAGCATACCAATCAAGGGATCAAGGAGAATAAACAGAAGAATAGGAAGAGGGAAAGAAGCTCAAGCTGTGGATTAATCCATCAACATTCATTAGGATCATCAATAAATAGCCGAGAGAGGTGTATTGCATAGCTTGCAAGCTAGTGGACCGACATTAGGATAATTAAGCATTGCATATGAAAGACAGAGATCAAGATAAGCCAAATGATCTGTTATTTTTTTATTGTATTATTGTTACTTGTGTGTTGCTTGTTTGTATAATTTTTCACAGTTGGATGTGGTGTGGCATCAAAAGTTATTTGTAAACTATTATTTTGCCAAGACAAGCTAGGCACAATATGCATGTTGTACTCTTGTTGTTCATTTCAGGTATCAAGATTATTATCTCCCCATTATATCAAGAATATTATGTCCACATTATGTCGATATTATTTCAAGGTTATTATGTTCCCTACTATGTCAAGAATATTATGTCTACATTATGCCCATATCATGTCAAGGTTATCATGTCCTTCATTATGTTAAGAATATTATGTCTACATTATGTTCACATTATGTCTATATAAGTTTGTCTCTTTTGAGTTCTTGAAACTAATATATTTGATTATATTTTGTGATGACATGAAACTTTATAGCTAGAACTGGATGTGAAGGTTGTCTAAACTCCAAAGTGACCACATAGGTCCTTGGCGGCTTTGTAGTTGTGTTCAATAGTTTTGGATATAACCATCTTTTGTAAGTCTTCGGATTTTGGGCCACGTTGGTGTGCATTGAGGGACCTAAAGTTGGATTAATGATATAGCTGTAGATCTACATTAGCAGCTAAATTTGTAAAAGTTTCATTGCCATTTTGTGAACAGTCAAACTTTTCATTATTTAGCAATTTGGTAAATGAACAAGGTTAGATTTTGTGATAGCAATTTTGTTGCAAATTTCCTTTGTAAATTTATAGATTGTATTGAGTCCTGGCGCGAGTCAGGTAGATGTCCGATTGAACCTCTGTATAGGATAGGGATTAGGGGATTTGGTTGGAGCGTCACACTTGCTATGTCAAAACTTTAATATTGGATTAATTTAAGAAATTATGTATGTAGAAAAAAAAATTATATTGCAGGAAAAAATTTTCAATCCCAGACAGTACATGGGGATCTACACATAGGACACGTATTATTTCTAAGCAGCCAACCAAAGATGCAGTCAAGATGGAACTTGTGGGAACAAGCCGCCCGACCGAGCTCCCTCGGCGCACATATCTTTTCTAAGCAAATTGGACATACATCATCATCGTCTCTCGGCCCACAATATGTCTCTAAATGTGGCTTCACTTCAAGCAAATTGGACACCACCGATCCTTTTCTTCCTGGTTTAAGTCGCTTCAAAATATCAACCACTTCTTCCTTAATTTTGCAAGATCTTCCGAGCTCAATGAAGTTACTACTCTCATCAATATAAGTACTGAATGTCTTTGACACGGCCATTGCGTCCGCCTCCGCGCCCAACGATTCTTTTCCTTCTCCAGAAGAGTTGGTCGGAGAGTGACATAAATAAAAATAGGTTTGAAATCATGGAACAAGTTTCTCGGATTAAAACGAAACCTACAGCGCAAGTCAAGTGCGACTCTCGTGGCTAACCAACGAAGGTTATTGCACGAATGAAGACCACGAACCTGTTTTAGGGCGTCGTGCACCATTCGTATTGTGGGTTTCCCGTCGCGAAGTAGGTACTCTAGAAGACGGAATGGTGGTAACGAAAGGATCACGATTTCCTTATCATATGATTTGCTGCTTCGGTTATATAAAACCTCTATGGCAAAGAAAATTGAAGGATTATCATAGCAATATTGCCTCTGTTCTTCCGGATTTGCAATCAACACCCGAAGTTTCACGCCACAGCGCTTGCTTATCGTCATCTTCCGTTTCATACTAAATACAGTATACGGCTTGATTTAACAGTGATACAAAATGTTCTTATTCAGAGATAAATGTTTTTTTTTCTTTTTGGTTGATAATAACGGTAAAAAGTCTAATTGTATTTTTTGGTAACAAAGATATGGCTTATTCTTAGAGAGACACCGTCAGATATATACTCATGACTTCCATAAACAATTGTTATTACGGAGATAATAGTTATTGCCGAAAAATATGGCCTTGTTATTTTCTTCAGTTTTTATGAAGATAAAGATAAGTATACGTAAAAAACAAAAGACGGTGGTTTTGTTTTGAACAAGAAATTTTCAATCAAGATCATTTGTTAACTGATGAACGATCAGCTAGATCGAGGTCAAACTTATTTGATCGCAAGTCTAATGTACTTTTAACTTGTGGTATCTGACGAGGTAATGTCTACATAGATTAACAAACCAATTCGTTCATCCAAGAATGTTTTTTATTAGAGGAATATGGCAATTTCTGTTTTCATGCAAGTTTGTTTTTTATTAGAGGAATATTGCAATTTCTGTTTTCTTACTGTAATAGTTCAATAGTTCTTGAAGCTTTCCATTTTTCTTTCTTTGTTTTTACCCTTCTCTTTTTTTTTTGGATTAAATGACTAAATTAAATCTACTGTACCCATTAGACCGCGAATCAAAACTTTTGACATATTCTTTCCGGTCCTATTATAAGCTATTTCGATTTTTTAAAGTTTTGATTAATATGTTATTCCAATTAAAAATTTATTTTTAAAAATAAATACAATAAATGTTGAAATAATATTCTAAATAAAATTTAATACAAATCAAAATATCTTATAATAAAGATAAGAGAATACGTACAATGTTTTATGATTTGAATTTATCATGGAATAGTAACTAGGGAAATCACTATCGTCCAATCAACTAAACGGTTCACTCAAGAGTATAAAAAGTCCATTTTATTAAAACATATTTATATAATAGGATATAATACTAATTTAGAGCTCATACTTTTAATTATTTTTTACAATCTCGGAGCCTTTATTAAAAAAAATCTTTTTTTTTCGTGTCCAATCTTAACAAAAACTTTTGGTGTTTATCTAAAATAATCTTGCTAATACGAGAGTAACGGCCATGTTTGAAGGGTAATAATGTTAAAAAGATTACCTATTTTTGAAAAAACTAAAAATAGTAAGCACAAAAAATTTTTGATTAACCTGACACGATAGTAGAAGTTTCTCTCTCTTTTTTGAGGTCATGTTTCAAAACCCGTTTTTTTAGAAAAGAATAATGATTGTTATAAGTAAAATTTCCAAGAAAAATGAACAGAGAATGAATTATAATCATCATTAGTTAAAACTTATCTTTACAGGTTTATTATTTATTTAAGAATTCGTGGATGGTTAAGATTTAGTCATATCATTCTCGGTTAAAATTTTCTATATATATCACTACTTTTTGAAAGTTTAGTATATTTTCAAAATGAGTGTATGCAATTGACCTTTTCTGGAAAATTTATAAAATTATATAACCTAAGAAATAAAAAATTCAAAAATTTGTACCAACGCACGAGTTTAGAACAAAAAAATTTCCTTTTTTTTTTTTTGAGAAGCACAGGCTAATTAGTATTACTTCCATACTAAAATAAAATATTACTTTACATGAGATTATATATTCAAATTTCACAAAATTAAATTTTTTTTTGTTGCAATAAAAGAGGCTCAAACCTTATGTCAATATGGCTATATTTCACCGGTACACTACACATATTACATCATGTTGAAGTCATAGTTTGACACCTATAATATTACAAACTAGGTAGTTGTCCCAGGCAAATGCCCGGGGCATCCTCCCACCTAATAAATTAATATGTAAATAATCAAAACCGATTAGGAATGAATTTAGTTTTTGATGAAGATAATTGATTGATCGAAAATTAATTTTTTAGAAAGTCCTAAATAAGTGGAGAAAGAAAGTTCCATTCACTATCAAATTCAAAATTTGAATGAACATGGCCATCTGATCTCTTCGTTAATATTGTAAATATATTTTTTGTTTTTAAAAGGAGGTGACACGTGGCAGAATGATTTATGCAATATGGTGCATTTGGAGTCAAAACCTTTTAATAAGAAATTGCCACATCAGCATCATGTTTTCTGCTTTAATAGGGTAAAAGGGATTAACTTAGTTAGCCCAAATTGGTGCAACAATATTTCACTGTATTTGAACCCCGCATATCATGTAACCTAGCTATGAACATTCAAACCAGGATCCATGTCCAGATTCATGCTATTAAAACAATTGATTAAACCAATTGATTCGAACAGGAGACGTGCCATCACTGTGCTGAGTTACTGGAGATGTCAATGGGAGTCTAAACTATGATGTTGATGATTATTAAGGGACTTAATATAGTTATGGATGATCCATCATTGTTATTGTTGTTGTTGAACAAGATTATGGATGGAAGCCGTTATAATTAGTGAATCTTGCTCATGACTAGCACGGTCAAAATTAAAAGTAGTAAGAAGTTGCGTATTGATTCCGGTAAAACATGAACATCGAATGGAAAAAAATCTGATATATGAAAACGAAATACATAATGGCGCTGAACTACATGTACAGTATTTGCTTATTCCCGTTTTTAATAATAAATAATCATGATAATAATAAAAACAACATCATATTAATCAAAGACGCTCCTAAACTTCAAGATTTTTCATTTATCATGTCAGAATTCAGATAATCATCCAACATAACCTTTCGGACAATACATTTCACACGGATAACTCTCAAATAGACGAGAAAAAATACAAGTAACGATTTAATTACGAATAATGACTTACCATCGCAATCCTTCGAAAAGGACACGAACATATTCAACGCACTCAAATAAAATCACAGTTCCAGATATTATGTTTATATAAAATCACAGTTCCAGATATTATGTTAATATAAACAGAAAAAGAATTATTTGTCATAAGTCGACAGAATTTTTTTTAAAAAAAATAATTAGGACAATTTGTTGTAACGGTCCAATACACTATATATACAGACCCCTTCATTTGTAAACAGTCACATCCCTTTGCAGCTTCCAACCTTTTCACATCTGTTTATAAGCAACAACATTGCTGCTTAATGCCCTCATCGGAGTCATTTTTTTTCTTCCATTCATCCGGAAGTTTTTTGTTGTCTCCCTTAATTTCTTCTTTACTTTCAAAACGATCGTCGAAGTTTATTAGAAGTGTTCTGAAATGGAACCTAATAACAATGGAGGTACGTGTTATTATTATTAGTATTTCTCCCATGTACATTACTTCAATTGACTAATTAATTTTAAATTTTTTCGAACTCATAATTGATGGATGCATGATTGATCCGTCTTGTTTGAATATACAGAGGCCGCCAAGAGTTCAAGAAAAAGGAAGATGAAGGATGTTGTTGTGACGGAGGCGACCCCGACACCAACTTCGGTCGTTCAAAGTCGGCTCCCTGTCCGATATTTCCCGATGCACCAGCCTCCTAATACACCGAGTCTAAGCCTCAATATTCATCATCCGTCAGCCGTCGATTACAACCAAAACACTAGTAGTACTTTCCGGTTCGACCTCAACACAAGGCCGAGTCCAACCCGGGTTCCAAATTCATTCCCCAACGAAAGCCATGACCCCTACTCCATCAAACCCGCATCATCCTTCACGGAATTGTTGACCGCGGGTGATGACGATCTTATGCCTAGATACGTGATGGAGCAGAATGCTCACATCGATCAGTTAATCGCCGCACAGGTAACATTTCAAAATCATGTTTTTTTGTTCCAAAATTATGATTTAGTTTAGATTTTGAATTTAGTTTAATTTATATTAAAAATGATAATTATAAACTGGACAATAATTTTCGGGACAGGAAGTAGTCTTTTCTTAATTCACATTTGTCGAATACATGGATTTCGGGTTATTGTGGATTAGTTGTTAAAAAATGTGGTAACGTGTGTGACAGGGAGACCAGCTGAGGCGTTCATTGGCGGAAGCGCAACGAAGGCAGTACTGTTTGCTGTTGTTCGATGCGGAGGAGCGGGCCGCGAAGAAGCTTAAGGAGAAAGACTTGGAACTGAGCGAGATGGCGAGTCAGAAGGCGGCGCTGGAACACAAAGAAGTGGCGCTTCACCGGGAGATTTCTGAGCTGCAGAGAAGGGTGAAGGCGCTGGAGCGTGAGAACGGAGCGTTGAGGCTTGACGTTCAAGAGGCTTTAATCTTAGGCGGGAAACTCGAGTCTAGCGGGTATTCCGACGAGAACGATGACGTGCAGTCGGCCAACAACGTGGACCCGGCCGGAAGTAGAGTGGAGCCCGTGCGGCTCGTGTGCAAGGTCTGCACGAGACAGGTCGCTAATATGATGATGTGGCCTTGCCGCCACCTCTGCCTCTGTAAGGGTTGCGCCGGCCCCGTTCGTGCTTGTCCGGTTTGTAGACGCCGTAGCATCAACACGGTTGAGATCAACCTTAAAGATGAGTGATGACTATGCACAATAGATTCCATGGTTACTGAAATTCCTCTTCTGCTAGTTGCTACTTGCTAGTACTATATAATTTTTGGAATTGTTTGTGTTAGATCATGACACAAATTAAGATGGGAATATTGTTTTATTTTGTGCGTATTGAAATTTTTATGTATATTTTTGTAAAGTAGTGCTCTGTTTTTGTTTTTTTATTTTTCCTTTCTTTAGGATGGTTTACAAGTTCAGAAGTATTGCACTTTGATAATTAAACACTCAATGTTACTGTGTTTTGTGTAATGATTTGTCGAAATCTCGATTTCCTATAGTCAATGAGCCGAATCAATCACCATTTAGTGGAGTTTTAATTAAAATTTGTGATATATTTGATATTATAATTTAGTGCATGACTTGACCGATAACTGAATAATTCCATCGAATATATCTAGATTTTAATCGATTGAAATACAATGAATTTTTTAATTAAATATTACTCCCTCCGGTCCTTATTATAATGCATCTTTATTTTTTCTAAAGTTCACTTTGTACTTTGTACGAATTTACAATTGACAAAAAATCTTTAAAAATATTTCATAACAATCAAGAGAATACAAGCAATGTGAAAATATATTTTTATAGTATTTTATTTATCAAATGTTGCTAGACAAATTTTAGTAAATTCACTAAAAAGTCTTGTTTAGAAAAATAAAAATAAAAAACCTAAACCCTAAACTAGCACAATCTCTGCACATTTCTTTTCCCAAAAGAAACACTCTTCCTTTAGCTCTTATTATAAAATATTTTAATTTTTGCTAAACTTTATTTAATATGTTCTTTCAATTGAAAATAAATCTTGAAAATATTTTATAATAGTTAGGAAAATACAGTAAATATTCAGATATATATATTTTTTAATTAAAAAATATAATAAATGAAATTAGGACAAACCATAGTGCCTTATAATAAAGGCTGAAGAAAGTATTATTATTTTACATTTTCCTTACCGATAAAGTTGTGGGTTATAATAGCGAATGGTAGCATTCTAACTTTTTTCCATATTCGGTGTCAACCCCCTCACCCCTCCCCTCCCCGCCTCCACCCCCAAAAAAAAAAATTATATATCTTCCAAACTTTTACCAATGAATAATGCCTAACGAATTTACCATATAGTTCAGGATACATTCTTTTTATTATTATTATTTTTAATTTTTTATCTTCTAAACTTTTACCAATGAATAATGCCCAACGAATTAACTATATAGTTCAGGACCTCCAATACACATTCATACTAAAACAAAAACCAAAAAAAAAAATGAAAAAGATAGAAAAACTTCTAACTTATACTTTCTCGGTCTCAAAATCATTATCTAGTTTGAAATTTCACATAATGTACAACTTGTAATAAAATAAAAATTCAAAATTTGACAATTATCTTGGGAGAAAGGAGTAAAACAAAATTTTAAAAAAATTAAAGCCGATACCCTAATTCGATTAACTTTTATTACATTGAATTAAAGAAAAAATTGTTCTATAAAAAAAAAGTTGTAATTTTTTAAAACTTTATTTTTTTCATCAAAAAAAGAAAAAGAAAAAGTCAACGTCTGGGACGGTCACGAGCGAGAAGATACAACTTTCCAATGAGCTTGCGCCGACTGTTTAAGGCCGTAGCCGTACAGACTACAGAGTCAAATACTAGACGCATCTCATGAGTCATGACCCAATCGGCGTCCTTTAACTCTGAGAGCCTTTCCTTACAAAGAAAATTTTGTATAGCGCAAAAGTTTTCCTTATTTTTTTTTTTTTTTCTTAAAGCCATTACTGATTATATATCTCCTATGGCTGAGAGAAATGGCATAGAAATCCAACAAGAATCGCCATCACTTTTTACGCAACCGCCTTCTACACCTTTACGTTTGACCGGTTTCTTAAACGGCGACCAAATTCAAGTCCAAGGAGATACCGGCGGGTTAGAGTTCTCTATTCAACTCAACATCCACAACAAACGAACTCCTGACCAAAACACTAGTAATTACTTTCAGACATAGATGTTCCCGAATTCCACCACGCCTCTCCAAATTCTGCAGCCTCATCATCATACTTGACTCCCCATTGTCAAGATGAAAATCATCACTCTGAAGAAGAAGAAGAAGAAGATGGTGGTGTTGGGAATAGAATTGTCACAAGGTTGAGAAGCGGCGTCTTGACGCCGGTTTCGAGTTATCGTCCTACCCGGAGTTACAGGGAAACTGAGATGAAGACAAGTTTTAGGAGTTTGAAAAGGCGGATGGAGAAGATTGAGAAGAAAAGGGATGCACTGGAATCAGCTCTTCGAAAGAGGAGTTTACCGATTAGGCCATTGAATTCTTACGGTTTCTTCTTGATTGCAACCTGGGGTACCGTCAAATCTTATTCATTCCAATCCACCAGCAAGAAATTAAGTCGGTTGTGGTGCAAACTGCCTCAAGATAAGAAGCATGTATAAAATGTTATTCCCTTTATCCCAAAATTATTGTTCAGTTCGAACTTTTTATTTTTAGTGCAATTTGAACTAAATTTGAAAATATAAACTGGACAATAATATCGGGACGGAGGGAGTATGTGAACTGACAATTATTTAGATGGTCAATTGATTTGGTTTCTGTATGTTTTAAAACAAATGTGAGAATGGAACGAGGTAAATGGTTCACTGTAGGTGGTTGTGGATATGGCTTCCAAAGATACTGCTAGGTACAAGAAGCAACTTATTCTCTTGAAAAATCACCTCCCTCAAGATGCGAGTGATGAGACTGCTAGGGAATTTAAGTCGCTTATTCAAGGTCATTAAGTGTATAAAGGCGAATTAGATTCGGCAATTAACTCACGTTGGTGTATGTGTCAACTGTCAAGTAAAGCATCTAAACTTTACTCTTGTCTGCGCATTCAATCCGCTAAGGATGAATGACTGATTCCGCTAGTTGTACTGAATACATAAGTAGTACAGATTAGCGAGGCTGTGTGTGTGTGTGTGTGTGTGTGTTTTTTTTTTTTTTTTATCTTTTCTCTTTTCTCTTTTGCGGGTGATATGGTAAGGAAGAAAGTATATGTATGAGGATAGTAAATTAGCAAAAGGATTGATGTTTTTAAGAAAGATTCATAGCAAATTAGACATTTACAACATTTGCCGCAATCTAGCTTAAAGTTCACAGTGATGGAAACTGTTGATCCGATAAAATGTAACTCAATCAGACAAACATTAGCCGGCCACGAGTAGATGTTTGCATTTAATGTGCCTTCTGCAGACAACAGACAGCCTGAAGGCAGTCGAGCCTTCTGTATATAACACAAGACAATTTGTAATGAATAGCTTCTGGCAATGCACTGAACGTCATCTTCAAACTGAACACAGTTGGTGATGCCATTTAATTAGATAATCAGGAGACGGGTTTGGTATTGAACTCGCTACAGCGAAAATGGCTTTGTGTACACATCAAATGCTTCATTAGCGGTCAGTTGTGGTTCCTGCAACAGAATGGAAACAAAGTCTAATCAATCATTCACATTGATTATATCCTCTAGGTTTCTTTGGTGCTTTGCATTGAGTCACGTGAACTTGGCCTTCTATATCTGCATAATATTGTCAATTCTGATACAACCTGTTCAAGACTTAATAGTACAACATCATTAGCATAAATTAAGCAGCTTATGATGGCGACGTATGTTATACGGTCAGTGGAAGACACAGGGGAGATAATAAGGCATCCAGACTTTTTCTCCAACTAGGAATCTACTAATACATGAATTAATCAATTTTCAGAGACAAGCATACCTGTCCCATTCCAATGCCAAGACTACTCCCTCCACTTAAAAGCATTGTGAGAAGCGAAGTCACAATACCACCTCCCAAACCACCCTCGTTTTGGGTGATGGTTGATCTCATAGCGTTTAAAATGCTGCCGTATGTGGCTCCTTGTCCACGTTCGAGCGCTTCAATGAATGCATAAGTCATGGCCCCTGTTGATGTGACTTTTGAAAGAGACTGTTCATCATGTAGATAGCATACATTACAGTTTACACAAGAAGAGTTTTTAAGCTGAAACTATTGAATGTGCTCAAGTAGCAACAAGCTCTAATTTAAATTGATAAGAGAAGGTCTTGTTAGGAGTGTTTACATCTGTATCTGCAGAAGTTTGATCATCATCACAACCACTAAAAGATATCGCTTCTCCGCCACTTGTTCCTTTCCATGCACCTGAACGAGGACGATGGTCCTCCCATGTGTATCTCCCAGTTCTACAAGGAATTAAACAGGCTTCAAAGTTTCCACTGTGGATGTTGAATAAAAAACTTTTGTAACCAAATCCATCTTTCTGAAATAAAATGAAAGTATTAAAAGATGCTGAACCTGTCCATCCTGCAAAGATACGGTAGATCCAACACAGTTCCACTGTGACAGGCATCTATGATGGCATGAAGCTTGGCGCCGCGAGGAAGAGGCCTAACAATAGTGGCATTGATTTCGTCATCTACAATCATTCCTTGTGACTCGAAATCCAGAGGACAGAGCGTTTCATCATATCCGTCAATCTCATCGCCGTTGTAGTTCTTTTGTTGCGAACCGTGACCTGAGAAGTGGAAAACTAACGAATCCCCTGGCTGAACACCTTGCACGAGCCAATACATGGCCATCCTGATATTGTGCTTTGTTGGGATGCGAAAAGGATCCGTTTCTTCTTCTGGAAATCACTTCCATGGTAAACTATGATCAAAGACTAGACTTTGAAATTTTGATTGAGGCAATGACAACAGTTCCAAAGCATGCATCTTCAAACTAAACATAAAAATTCCTCCTTTGACACCATTCACATTAATGATTCTCTATGTAGACAACGAAAAATCGACATTAACCAGGTGGAGCCTGATAGCCATTAAGCTGGTTTCTTTTTACTTCTATTTTCGCATACTTACGAGGAGTGATATTTACTACTCCAGTCTCCAGGCACCAAAATTTTCTTCCCTTTATATGATACTACTCTATAATTGATATGAGGGACCCTCAGAAAAGACTGCTTTGATGATCATTGTATGACACCGTGTCTGAACCTTAGTGAACTTCTTTATGGTGGCCTAATGTCAAAAGCATATTCAACAGTACTCATTGTTGTGTAAAGGAGACTCAGATGTAAGATTCAGAACCTTTTGGATGTAGATTTCAGAAAGTGAACCAACTTTCAACAAGGAATCAGTTCCCAAAGTGACTTAGTTTGAAATTATAGCCATCATAGGCTCTAGTTCCTTCCAATTGTTGCTAACAATCTTGATCAATTTTATATGGATCATATCAGCTGTCATTCAACTTATTAAGAATCTTGCACAACGACGTTGATAGTGGACTAGCAAACGAATTCCCTACTGCCAACAAAATCGGATTAAACTTACTTTAAAAAAATAAAACGGATTAAACAGGCCAGAGCAACCACAAGTCAATATCCATATACACTTTTTTCCTTTATTTTGCCAAATAATTTAGTACTATTTACTTTAACAAATGGATCTTCTTCAATTGAAACTTCTAATTAATTTCATTAATATCGACGGAAAAATGGAAATGTACTAATTAACCGCAACTATAAGTTTAAGTTCTTCATGGAGATCTAGTTACCGATGATTCGTGAATAAATGCGAGCGATGACAACTGGATATAATTGGAACTGAGTTACAATTGAGATGAATAGTAAAAGTATAAAAGATCAGACTTAAATGAACCAAAAGGTGAATTGCCTCCCAAGTTTCCAGAAATCAGAAAAAGGTAAGCTTTTTTTACTTTTGAAGTTCACTTTTTGCTACTTGAAAATACGAAATGCCATTGCATTAACTTGACGTCAACAATTTGAACTCAGTTAATTGAAATAATCAACGAACGAACACACAACTTCATCCTCCATAATTCTCAATTAACCTAGGCTAATGATTTAGGCCTAAAGGGATGCAGGGGAATAGAAAAACAGCTAGTCAAATACCAATAGTCAACGAAAGGAATGCAGCTGTAAAATCAAAAACCTTTCTCCCATCAATTCAAAAACACGGTAGAGAAGGACTCAGTAAACGACGGATTCATTGCACCCAAAAAATTTTTTTTTTTTTAAAAAAAGGAAATGAAAACGATGACAACATCATTGAGACTTGAGAGGCAGAGTACAATGATGAACAGAGAGAAGGTCGTATAATGGATTACCTGTTAGCATGAGAATCGAATCAGCAGGGAACTTGAAGCGATTGATCAGCATAAACTTCATGCACTTGGCGTCATTGATGCAACCTTTGAGCTCCTGTTTGGAGTTCTTATACGAAATCCCACAAATTACAGCTCTTTTCCGACCGTGGACCGCGGGGAGTTGACCTGACGGAGCTTGGTTGAAAGGCGACGGAAGCGGCGCCGGCGGCGGGGGCTGATGGTAGTGGTAATTATGAGGTGAAGCCGGCGGTGGCGGCGGCGTAACGGCCCTCGGATCAGCCACAAGAGTGACGGCGTGGCAGATAACACATCTGATGGACCTGGCGCCGTGTGGAAGCTCCAGTGGGGTGCGGCAGTTTGAACAGTTGATTAACATTAACATCTTTTTAGATTTGTCGATAATTTTTTGTTTAGTTTAACTTTGATGATGAAAGAATTTAAGGAATGGAAACAAGGGAGATGAATTGATGAAGATTGGTGATGGAGTGAAGTCAATATATATACAACGGGTTGGGACGAAGAAAAAGTAAGAGTTGGTAAGGGGAGAAAGAATGAGACGTTTTTGGAAGTAGCTGACTTGTGTACAACTCGCAAGAGGGAGGGAAAATTCCTCAATAATTAATTGTACTTTATTACTTAAAAATATAATGATTTTACGGCATAATGGATTCATGTCATGTCATTGTCTTTTTTCTCCTTTTTTTGGTACTGAAGTGTGATTAGTAGAAGAATACGAAGTCCAACATGGAGCAGTTATTTACTGAAATAAAAGAATACACAATGAATATAAGTAAGTCTTCTTCTTTCTTTCTTTCTTTTTTTTTTTCTTTTTTTGTTTTTAGATACTAAGAGTTAAAAAATATTAATATTGGAAGTTTATAACCTTCTTGAGTTAAATAATCATACAAAGTAAAACCACTACCATCATGATTCGTAAGTATTTTTGTTTTCTATTTTTACTTTTTCATAGGGTAAGGTATTTACATGAGCAACTAATCTTCAAGCTGAGAAGTAGATGCTTTTATATTTAGGCGAAACACTAACTAACTAATTAAAGATTACCACATGCTGAAGGACCGGAATTCTCAAGTCTTTGGTTTAGACTTTCTTGTTTATAAACTCTTACAACGAATTTTATTTCTCTTTTTCCTCTCCAAACAATAATACAAATGAGATTCACTGGCAAAGTTACCTATAAGAGAGAATCCACTGGTTTGACTAGCTAATACAGAATACTTTTGTTGAAGTCAAAGCTCAAAACTAAATTAATGTTAGGTGCAGTAACCATACGCAGTGTTTTCCCTCCACTAATAATAAAAGAAAAGACCAGATAAATCCATACTAAGAATTTGGAAGTTGCCGAGTCCAAATTAATACGGCTCACGACTAGACCGTCCAAGTTCAATAAGCAATTTAACCGGTTCCTGAAAATTTCTAGTGCGGTTGCTAATTACTTTTCTATCAAGAAAAAAGTTTCACAAACAAGTAATCTTAACTCTATAAATATGGATTAATCCCTCACATCAAGGTATGTTCTACGCACCACAATTCATACCCCTATTACAATTACTCTTACTGACTTAAATATCGGAGTGTTTACCCTCGAGAGATCCTGAAACCCTCCTTTGCAGGTTTTAGGGTTTTAATACCGCTATGGCCGACGTTCAATAAACTGGAGACGTCGATACAAATCCAGGTTTCGTCAGAAGTTGAGTATATTTACAATTTCATATTCAATCCGTCTCAAAAATGAATGCAAAATAATATTACATTTTAGGACAGATGAAATAGATTACTTTTTCAAGTTGAGTTTTTATATTAGTTTGATACTTAAATCGACATTATTACTCGAAAAAATGCACGATTAACAAAATTTAGATGCATTAACATTACTTGAAAGTGGATAATTGCGGTTGACTTTCATGCAAAGTCTCCGTGTCTTTGCTGGAATTCATTGATTATAAATAACACAAGTTGCCATGTTTTGTGCCAGTCTGGCCAAAAAATTTGAAAATTTGAGATGGAAAAAGAAACGGAAAAAAAAAAGAAAAAAGAAAACCTGAAAAAGGAATAACATCTGGGGAAGAGAAGACCCTTTCAAACCCAACAAGTCAAGTCTTTAATTAAGCATAGTTTTAGACTTTATTTCTTGTCCGTGGGAGATGCATTCAAATTAATTATGTCGTTGATGAAGTATTAAGTCATTAAAAATAAATAGCAATGTTTTTATATTTTATGATTTTTTTTCTGTTAGATATTCTTATTACGCCTCCCGTCGCGAAATGTTTATTCAATTTAAAATATTAATTTTTAGAATAAATTGTAAGTAAAAATAATAATTTAAATTAAACAATCGTTATAAAACAGAGAGAATACGTATGTTACAATCACAAATTAACTCCTGGGGATTGGATTTTTTTTTTCCCTTTTTGTTGGGTTGTTTGTTGGTTTTACAATCACAAATCCGCTAGCTGCTACGGAATGGCTGTGAAAATCTAGGAGACTAGGACTCGATCGGTTGCATAAAAATGGCTTTACCGAACTTTTGTGGTCAAATACTCCTTCCAATTAATAAAAATAGTTTACAGTTGTATTATAATTTACAAATTAATATGAACTATTTTTTTAAGAAATAGGTATAATAATTATGGCCAACTTAATTTCTTGTTTTGTTAGATCCACGCTCAATGACATGCAGTACAATATGAGTCGATAAGTTTATTTCTAGCGGTTTGTAAAATGGATGTGTTTGATGTTCACAGTCATGATTCGTTTGGTTTGGTTATAACAATGTGGTTATAACAATTACTCTCTCCGTCTCATAATTATTATCCAGTTTAGAATTTTATTTCTAGTTCAAAATGTACTAAAAGTGAAATCTCAAACTGGACAATAATTTTGGGATAGAAGGAGTATTATATATACTACCAAACTATTTACATTTGATTTAATTTAGCAATAGAATTTTGGTCATTCAAGAGGTTCTGTCCCGACTAATAAAATACATTAAAGGAAAGAGGAAAATGTACATTATAGACTTTATCACATAATTTGAAGTCCGTAAAACTAAGTTTTAGAACATAAGTTACCTATGTACCTCTGAAATGGCCTAATTACAGATGGGAATACTTCAAAATTGACATGGCCAACTTTGCCACATCCTTGCATCATATAATGTTACATCAATGGTTGTCTGGGTACCTTCAATAAATCTTAAAAGGATACAATAGAGATTCACTGCTAAGACACTTTGCTCATTTTTCTTTGATTCCCAGACAGTATATAATGATTTTATAACAACCACCATATTATTTGCTTTACACAACAAAAAAGCCGAGAAATAAAAAACTGATATTCGATGCTTGTCAATAATTAACTTTATCACCTACCAATCAATAGGAGTTCAGTTTCTGTAAAGGGATCCTCTCGCATTATCTCTTGATTTTACTAAGAGAACAAGTGCAAGTGTTAAATTAATGTGGTACTCTATTCGTCTTAAAATAAGTATTAATTTTTTCTTATATATTTTTCTTTATTTTTAAAAAATATTTTATATTAAATTTTGAAATTTCTATTAGAGCAACGTTATTTTACGGTAAAAATAGTATCTTTTTCCATCAAACTACAAGTTGATTGATTTTTAATATTTTTCCTCTTTTTTTATTTTGTCCTTTTGGGTTTCCAAGATCATGTGGTCTATCGACCAGAATGCACAGTTCGGATCAATCATTAAGCTAACTATGGATTCTGATACATTTTATTATATATTAAAAAAAATCTAAAAGCAAATCCCGTTTTTCCATAAATTTCATGTTTTATCATTAGAAAGAACGAGTAACGCTCACCGAATTTTTGCATGATCAGTAATTTACAATAGGCTATAGCTATTGAATTGTTTCGTTGGATATGATTCGTATATCTAATCAATATTAATGATTGAGTATTCCACAAATCACTAATCTTTTGGAGCCGTGGATTGAACGAGCAGCTATAAATGGAACGACGAAACAAGTAGTGCATGTTTGACTTCATTTTCCACCAAAAAAAAAAAAAAAGAAAAGGAAAAGAAAATGGCAAGTTTGAGGATCCAAGTGATGGTTGTTTTGCAGGCAGTAGCTGATTTAATTGTGTTAGTATTAAGGACAATTTAAAAAGTCATAAAATGCCCGCGGTCTGCTGGGAGGAAAAACCTAATAACGTTTTAGTCCAAAGTCCAAACTTTTGGGGAAATCCGATACAATTAATCACAAATACTGAATTACTGAACGATTAAATATTTGCTCCATTTTAATTAATCCTTCAAATCTTGACGTTAGTACTAATAAAACTAGTACTACTATAAATCGAGTGTAATTTATTAAAATTTCTTTAAACGTTGAGACAATTGAATTAGGCCTTAGAAGAACCGACAAATTAATTGAACTTCATTTAGTTTTACATTATTTACTCACGAAGAAAGAAGGAAGAAAAAAAAAATGGAGCAAAGCATTGATAGGGTATGTTTTTGGCTTGTTTAATTCTACCCTAGAGTGTACACTTCAAAAAAAGAGAGCACCTTAATTCATTTCGTTTCAGCGCCTCAGAAACAAAACCACACAAATTGTTAAGCCAGTAAATAATTACTTCCCGATTGTTCATCTCCTCCTCTCTTCTTCAATCCAACACTTCAACTCAGTTTCTCTTCTCACAAATTCCCTACATCATATATCTATAAATGGCGTAATCCTTCACAATGATGAATTCATCTTCAACCCAGAATCAGAAATCTAAAAGGGAACAAGAAAAAAACAAGCTCAATAAAAATGGCCAGAAATGTTTTTTTGGAAGCCATGATTTTCTCTTTAGTCTTGATCATGCCGTCGACAGTAATGGCCGACGATAACGTACCTGTGCCGGCGGATTTAGCCCGGGTTGAGTCTTGGTTTAATCAGAACGTTCAGCCTTTCGCATCCCGCAAAGGGTTGGACCCGGCATTGACCAAGGCGGAAGGCGGCAAGTGGAGAATCATTAAGGTGAACGCCGCCGGCGGTGGGGATTTCAAGACGCTGACTGACGCCGTGAAGAGCATCCCGGATGGGAACACGAACCGGGTCGTGATTAAAGTCGCACCCGGAAACTACACCGAGAAGGTGACGATTCCGAGAACCAAACCGTTCGTCACCTTGTACGGAGACCCGAAGAACAAGCCGTCGTTTCTTGGATCCGGTACGGCAGCCAAATTCGGGACTTTAGATAGCGCAACCGTCATCGTCGAATCCGATTACTTCATGGCTGTCAATATCATTTTTGTGGTATAACAATTTTGTCCCGAAGATTCTTGTTTTTTTTATAAATTTCTATTTTTAGCTTTTCTTGGAACTGTTGTTTCTTTTTCTTGAAATAGAATACAGCTCCGAGGCCGAGAATGGGGCTGAAAGGGGCCCAGGCGGAGGCATTAAGAATTTCAGGCGATAAATCGGCCTTCTATAACTGCCGATTTATCGGGTTTCAAGATACGGTCTGCGATGATAAAGGATTGCATTTCTTCAAAGACTGCTATATTGAAGGAACCGTGGATTTCATTTTTGGCAATGGCAAATCCA